GGTGAACATGTTCCAAAGTGGCTACGAAAGCAGCTGAATTCACAAACATTGATAAGCGCAGATGGCAGACAACCGTCATCATCCATTGCGAAACATATTGATAAGAGTCACAGAATTGATATCAAAACAGCCTTTACAATTTTGTACAGAAACTGTCAGGGGCGTATACTTAATTAAATTTTGAGGGAGTTGTGGAGATTTGGAATTATTTCAAGTTGTTATTCATCGTAGACTAACATCAGTTGGAGGAACAAAGGAAACCTGGGAGCACTGGACAGCTGTTTCGTCCTAGTATACTTATTTACTTATACTTAAGTTTGTTGAGGCGCTAGCCATAAATAAATTTAACCCCCCATTGTGTGTGCAAAAACAGTTTGTCCTTACATTAAGCCAACCTTGGTAATGCTTATTTTATCGTATTACCAAAATTGTCTTCAAGTCTTATCTTTTATTCCTCTCATTATTTTTCTTATTATTGAATTCCTTTGTCACATGTACCCTTCCCCCACTTCCAGTTTTCACATATAATGCCTTAACAAGTAAATGTGTGATCAGATTGTTCGAAATGTATAGCGCTAATACATCACATTTTTCAGATAATCTACGTCTTCTAATTACACTATCTAAGCTCAACTAATCAGATTCCTACGAGAAAGTGTCCTAATCCAATAGGAAAGTACCTTGGCCACACAAACGTATTGACTTCTAAACAGAGGAACCAGCCAATCATTTTTCACTTCAAATTTCTTCCACCCTAAATAAATTAGGGGGAGAAGTGTCTGTGCAATAAACGTCAACCTCGAAATCAGACAGAGTTCAGCCTAAAGGGAAACAAGAAGATAGAAATTTAGAAAAGAGTTCATCGATAGCAACATATGCGTGGGATGAAAAACAATATTGATTGGGACAATGTTGACATCCTAAAGTCCAAGGTGAACAAATGGAAAGAAAGAATGTTGACTGAATCCATGTTCATACAAGTCACACCTAACACATGCAACAGAGGTGACTCAGCACAACTGTCAACAAAATGAAATACCACTGGCGGGAAATAATGCCGAACCTACACAATTAAAACCCTACATATATGAATTCTATCCATAACAAATAGTACCCATAACTGGTTTGATCACGGGGGGTAATTTAGCTCTCAATATTACCTTAATTAAGTAACATCATTGTGTATATATTCATTACAAATTTTGTTGTCCCAAATAGGACGAAACGTGCGTCCAGGATTCCACTACTAGCCACTATCCATCATTACTGTTCACTATAAATATATTTATAATAAAGTGATTCGCTTCACAATGCACGATTTTGTCAAGAATATAACTACGATCATAGTAAGATATGGTATCTAGAAAAAAGCTCGGCTATAGGTATGTATGCAGTTATATACAGCCACACAATAGAATGGGAAAAAATGAAAGACCTTAAAGGTTATTTGACTGCTTCTAGATTTCTTGAAAGCAGCTGATCTTGCTTTATCTGATGTTTGTATAAGAAATTCATAGTCTCTACTGTTTACTATCTTCATAAGTTTACATTTAAGTTGTTCATTTTTATCCCGGATCGTACTTCCTGGCAATCCTGTGAATTTCTTCCTTGAGACAAAGTTTGCTGACATGTTTGTTCTATTGCTCTTTTGATTTTGTCAGTGGGTATTGGAATACATAGACGAAGATATTTAGGAATAATTTGATTTTCCATGCAACAAACATTGAAAATACGGTGATTTGTGAAACGTGCTTCAGTTGTTGAAAGTCGTGTGTTTATTGATTAGCCTTCGAACAGGAAGACTTTGTGTTTCATTAATGTAAGTGTAAAACTTGGGAAATGTGGCGGAATGTAACTCCGTATTAGACTTGTTTATTTGATTTATAACACAGTGATATAGCATCATTTATTTGATAATAAATAATACTATATCACTGTTTGTTATAAATCGAATACACACATCTAATATGGAATTAAATTCTACCATTGTGCCCAGGTTTTACACCTACCTTAAAGTTTAACCTAGTGGAGTGGAAACTGAGACTGATAAGCCAATCTTTGCTTATCGGGTCAACACCAAACACGTAGAATAAGAATGACTCGCAACTTGTTCTGGATATGTAGGAAATCCTACTAACTATATCACAAAGGAGACGAAAAAATTAGAACTTTAGAAACGATGTCTCAAAATTGTGGAGTTATTTTGGTGCCACTGTGGGCAATAAATTGATTCCAACTGGTAATTCAGCAAACAATACTGCTTTAATATCTGAAATACTTAATAGACTGAATAAAATAGAGTTAAATTCTACCACTGAGTCCAAGTTTTACTCTTATATGAAATGAATCTACGTTTGTAATTGACAACTTCTTGGTTGTATCGTGTTCTCTGAGCTGGGTTGTTTAGTCGTGGAGCTTCCATTGTCTTTCTAGACGACATCACCAGCACTAACTTCAGTATGAAGTCAGCTGCAATATCTCTCCATGAATGATTTAGTAGCTTGCTCTGATGAAATGGTTTGTAACTGGTTGTTTCCTTTGCCTGTTGTGTCATTGACTGCATAGATCTTCCTGTTGGTTGTTCCTCTGGTTGACCTCTGACCTTTCTGTTGTTTATTATTTTTCTTATTGGTTGATAGACTGGGTCTATGTCTACATATCTATTGATTTCTGACTGACCTGACCGCAACTATTGCAGTTGATTTTGTAAATGATATCTGGTTTTTCTTCTTTGGCTATTGCGGTTTTTAGTCTGGATAGGATAGTTTGAAGAATATGTTAGTTTATGGGCCACACCAATTGCAAGTGGTCTCACTAATCTTGTCATGATTTCTGATATATTCTTTATGTACGGTAGGATGATGCATTTGTTGATTTCTGTCGATGACTTTGTAGTTGATAATGCACGGTATAGGCATCTTCTGATAATTATGGACATGAATTCAATACTGACACTGTGGAAATCTTAGACAAAGGAAACACGATGAATATCAGCGAATTCCTAGCAGCTTGGCATTCAGGTCAGTCAGCAATCAATAGATATGTAGACATAGACCCAGTCTATCAACCAATAAGAAAAATAATAAACAACAGAAAGGTCAGAGGTCAACCAGAGGAACAACCAACAGGAAGATCTATGCAGTCAATGACACAACAGGCAAAGGAAACAACCAGTTACAAACCATTTCATCAGAGCAAGCTACTAAATCATTCATGGAGAGATATTGCAGCTGACTTCATACTGAAGTTAGTGCTGGTGATGTCGTCTAGAAAGACAATGGAAGCTCCACGACTAAACAACCCAGCTCAGAGAACACAACGCAACCAAAACCATCCAACTGAGCTACAAATATTCTCCACCATTTCAGCTGACAACTTATTTGAAAATCACTAGCAAATTACATGGTCTACACGGACATTTCTGAAAGATGGGTCGTCTAGTGACTACTTGGCTTCAGTGTGCCAAATTATTCTTTCATGTTATCTCAAGGATTGCAATCCTAACCACAATGTTATGAGGCCTGCCGCAAACCACCGAAATGGTCTTGCAATGTTCAGATCAATCTGATTTGAGTGAAAACGCCTATAGAATAGTGCGGGTGGTTTATAACTAATCATGTTCTTTAATAGTATATTTTAACTTCAGGATCAAAATTTGACCTGATTATCAACGAGATCTATTTTTCTGCCTCACTGGGATTAAAAAATTTTTTTTTTAATAATGGCTTATTAGTGTTACGAGTTTTTTCGCTAGTCTTGATTACAGTGTATCATCTTCAAAATGCTTAACGTATTTCTTTTAATATTTGTGACAGAAAACAGTCTTACCTCTTAGTATTGGTTCCCAGGTCATTATAGAACTTGACATGAAAATCATACCATTCCGTGATACAGTAGCTGGTGAAGCATTATCTATGTTATGCACTTCAAATAAAATTTTTGCTGTTGGTGCCATTGGTATCCGGTCACCGTTGGCTAGTGTTAGTGTTTTATTATCATCTAATACGGAATTTAGATTCTCATCCATATAGCATCTACTGGTCCATCTAAAATCAGCCATATATGTTCACCTTTTTTTAACTTTATGCGTACGTCTCCACAAAGTTGAAAAGATACCATCAGTCCAGTCATTTGTGGCCACATCTAATCTCCCAAACATTTGTGGTGCGGTAATAGCCTTTGGATTCATGCGCATTTCTCGATGTGGATCACCAGTTTCAGTCATTGCTTTCATCAAGGATTTGATGCACTTTGTTTTACCAGCACCAGATGGTCCGAGGGTCATCACACCATGACGAACTCTGAGAGTTTCATAAAGTTGAATACATTTTAACACCCATGGTGGATGATATATAAGACCAAGTTGGTCATCTAAACAAAAGATATTGAGAAATAGGAGTTAAAACACCACTGAGAAATTGGATGTGAAGTTTTCCCTTCTTTAGTATGTCTTCATGATATATTGCAGACATACTTCCTACATAGTTTTAATAGACTGCAGATCAGCCTGGACTTTCTAGCTGGGAAAGTGATTTCTATGATATTCTTGATAAAAACAAGACCCGATTCAAGTGAATATGATAGGGTCTAGATAATGAAACTTCTCATAAATTGCTAAAAATACATTACCATAGTTTGTAACTAGAAACGAGTTAAGGAAGGCTAATCTACTTCAATAGCTTAGAAAGTTCACGAAAAAGGAGAGGCCTATGGAAAAATCATTTAATCAGGTGAAGCAGTTGTCACCCGTTTCATTTCAGTCAAATTTTTACGAATCTAGATACATTTGTTCAGTGAATTGTGAAATGAAGAAAGTAAACCATCTTATTCTATCGGTTGTTATGTTGTAATAAATATAGATTGGTTTTACACCTGTTTCATATCTATGTATATGCTAGCATATAGGCTTCTTGCATTAACACTTTCATATCTTCGTCAATTAAATAGCACTGGCATCTTTTTGGTGGTGACGATCATATAGTCAATATAATGGATGATTCTTAGCCACTTGGAGTGTTGTGTATTGAGTCCAAGTTTAGGTGGGACAACACATCAGATGTAAATGAACTTATGTGACAATTTTCAAAACATATGTCCAGAAGTTTTTAGTTAGCTACCATAGTGATTTCAGCTTACTTTTATAGAATACACTTCAGGAAAAGGATTGCCGTGAAGTTCCGTGATATAACTAGTTTAGTATTTAAAAAATATGAGGCTTGAAACCAGTAAATTTTTGCCATGTCGTCTAGGTTTATGCAAAATACGGCAGTTTGTATACCACTTGAAGATTTTTCCTATTCTGAGATAAATCTCTCCACGAGTTGGAATCTGTATAAATATTTAACATATCACTTCAATTGTACTTCGGCTGATATCATTTCTCCTAGAAGAGAAAAAGTTATGTTGATCGTCGTTTTTATGACTCTGAAATGCGTTGGTTACAGATGATGACATCTTATTTCATTATTTCCTGATAGGTGCTATTCAGTCACATTTATCTGACCAAAATTCATAAAAGTATGAATACGAATTTCACACGTACTTGCAACACTACGCTGCAATTCCTTTTTGTCAGTATCTCAATAAGGTAGGAAATAGACCAGAATGTTTCCTGAATTACTTAAAAAATATTCTTCTTACTTATGACTCCCCCTGCGTTTGCTCTTAAAGTGATTGAATCCTTTAAACATTCGACACTAGGAAGCTGATATTTGAATGGATATTCAAGGATGCTTACAATGTACTTCTTAAAATACCATGCCTAAAAGATAAGGCAATAATATATAGGAGAAAAATATAGGGTCATCACTACGTAAGTATCCCAAGGACAACTAAAGTTTCTGAAATCATTTAATCTAAATGTTCACAGAGAAACTCTTATCCACGACACAAAAGTCTTGTTGAAAATCAGAAATGGATAGTTTGTATTTTTTGAATGTTCAGCAGTCAACCACAGGCTAAGTGGTCGGACTAACTACTTTATAGTTCTTGTATTATAGTACCATTCAAGGTAGTTTCATCGTTACAAGTCAATAAGTAATGTCACATTTACTTACTTGTTTTTCTAATGAAGCTTCGACTTCAGGATAACCTTTCTTATCCAATTGCATTCCAGGGAATAAATCCAAGATTAAGGACATAAATAATGGTTCATCTTCATCGACTAGTTTACTTAAATTCATGTCACGCAATACACGCATAACAATCATTGTCTCAGAATCTTGTGGATTAGAGCGTTTAAATGCACCTAGGGTACGTAGAACTGATAAGATATTTCTTAAGCCGAAATCATAATGTACCTGTAAATAAAATGTAATAAGAAGTAAAGTTGAATGTAATCTGTTGTTATTAGTGATTCTTTCCAGACTTTAGTGAATAATATAGGATTATGTTGAAGTCTAAGAACCCTGTTCGAGATTTTCATTGTGTTTACTAATGATCAACATGAATAGTAATCGACTTGTGCTATCTTTCACAGGTATTCACTGTTCAGGCCAAGTTAATATAAGTGCTGAACACCCATTTCACTTAGTTCAGTACCACGTCATCAATTTTGTTACAAAACCAATTCACATAAGATATTTGAACCATTTGAAATTTCCTATATTAGTCGTCTACTCAGTATAGATTGGATGCATGTCTGACACAAGAAGGTATCTGTAACATTGATAATTCAAAAGAAAATGATATGTCACATAAGAATTTCTCATTTAACGTTCACGCAACTGGGTTTTTCCATTCTTTGAAATATTTATCTTTTTTTTCAGAAGTGACACTTGTCTTTCCATATTTCGAGTTTTATTTGAAAATTCTTGAGCACTTCAGATGGTCAAGTAGTTTCGAACTTCGTCTCAAGTAAAAAATATGCAACAATACATCATTTCAGTGTAACACACTTTATAAATGCAAAGGGTTAACTTAAAAAGTCAAGGGGAAATCAGGAAGCCATGACGGATACAGGAATTGAACGTTAATACGTCAGGGTTTCAGAGTAAGAAAAACTGTGTAGATAAATATACTCTGGGTATAAGTTGAAGCCACACCATATTACGTCACCATTCATGTGATTACAATAAGTCGAGAAGTTCAAAAATAAATAAGCCTATTATTTCCGCTCAATCCGACAGACAGTAGGTTCACAAGTTGGTGCTGTATCTTACTTCAGTTATTATGAACTCTAATCAGTTCACTCATAATCGAATCGCTTGTGTGAATCAGCCTAACTTACATAAAATATATCCTAATCAAGTCAACCGGTAGGAATTCATAACCTAATTTCATATAAATCCACCTAACACTGATGCTGTTTACATAACGAAGGAGACATAGTGATAAATTTGTGTCCATCTTTCAGTGTTTTACCTTACTGATCTTATTTCATAAATGTGTGTAACATAAGAGAGTTCACTACTGCTATATGTACTGTACAAATGTAGATACCTTAGTGTACCACAAGCGTGGTGATTTAGAGAATACCAACATGCCTCCAGATCATTTTAACAAAATCTCAGCGTTGGGATTATATAAAAATATATTCTTATAATGATGAAATTGAACTTGGCGCTCAGTGTCTTCTTGGACATTTGTAACAATTATTGTCTGGATGCGTATCAATCCAGATTAATAGAAAGAATCTCTCCTTGTATTTTCGAAGTGAACAAAACTGGTTAGCGGTCAGTTGTGTTCTAACCAATGAGAAAAACCTACTGCTTATTATTTCAGTGTAATTAAAGTTCAGTATCCGAAAATGTAAAACCTTAACAGTCACGTACAAGATAGGCGAAGAGGCTGCTGAAATGTCCCACATTTTGTGCAACTAGATTTAGCCACTTACATGTAGTCATATTCAAAGTATAATATTTAAGGAATAGACGTAGTTTAGGTGCAAACAGGTATGGCTATGAACATTTGATAATTACACCTATTTCCCTCTAAGACTCTTGTAGTAAAGTTAGCTAATAAAGGTGTGAAACTAAGTTTTCACTCTAACTTAGCCGTTTCTTATCCTAGTAGAGAAACTGTTTTCAGTCACTTGATCAGTCGACCTTGATGTGAAAAGTAGAAGGAAGTAACCCTAATCAATGCATTCCCATCTCATAATGATCCCGGATACTGCCAACAGAAAATATCAAATGCCATCAAAATGTAGTCGGTTATAATATCAAGATGCCTTTACACAAAAAAAGTAACACTACCAGTGAGTTACTTCAGCCTAGAAACCGATGACGAGAAATGTATGAGTAAAATTTAGGCAATGTTGTAGATTGTGATTCAGCTTCAGTTTGTAACTTAGATGTGTCACTCAGTGGGACAATATTGTTTACTGGATTACACTAAGAATACAATTTATTTTCCATACTCAATGTAAGACAACTCAATAATTTTGAGACGACCTTGACGGCACGATTATTGCAAGGGATTCAGTAGACTAAATTGTTTTGTCCAGTTGGAGCAATGGGATCCTTTAACCTGTAAAACTTGTTTCGAAGTTAGTTTGCACGTTTAAATGCAACCCTAACCGAGTGACTCTAAAGGCCACTCTAGCAGCTGCTGAGAGAAAAAATCAGGTTTCTTTATTCCGCCTGGGAAGACGGTTTTTTTTATGAATTACAGAGCTGTAAGTGGTTATTTTACTGGTTGTTAGGGTGACTTTACGGGTCACTCCTGATTTCTACCTTCACAATATCCTACTATTTTATCATCACTAGCATTACTATCTTTTTTAGTGTGACCTGTGTCACCATCACTGGTATTATTTATCGTACCATTTCTGATGAATTTATTTATAAATTCAGGTGTGACTTCAAAGTCCACCCCATTAAACACTGAAATAACAAATTAGATTTCTTTATTCCAACTGAAAACGTAGTTTTTCGTAAGACGCGGAATTCTAATTGGTTATTTCAATAGTTGATAGGCCGACCGTTAGAGGAGTGACTTTAAGAACCACCCTGACAACGACTGAATTATCTCAGTCGTCATTTACAGCACGCCTTCCAACCAAAATGCTGAAATCTGGTTATTAAGTAGTTGCTAGGGTAGCCTTTAAAGTCAGTCATTTCTTCAGAGAACTCTAAATTCGAACAACTTTAAAGGCCACCTCAGCAACGATCGAAATGACCAATTAGGTTTCGCCGTCTCGGCTGGAAAGGCAGATTTCAATAAAATAGAGAAGTTTAATTGGTTATTTTAGTTGTTGCTAGAATGATCTTTAACGTCACTCCTAAATTTAGGTAGGGAGTTATTGTGAGGTGAGATCTTGATTTGTCTAATTTATTGCCACAGCTTCTCGAGAGACTACCCTAACAGCTGCCAAAATAACCATTAAGGTCCCACTATTTCGGCTGAGAATATAATTATTAACAAGCAGAGAAACGTAATTGGTCATCCCAGTAGTTTTGCTAGGGTGGCCTTTAAGTCACTCATCATTTCACTCTTTTACTTAGACATGGAAAAGCCCACTTTAATTGCTATAATGTGAGATGACTGAAGTTGAAGTTGAGATTTGAAAGGGAAGATATCCTGTAGACCACTGGCGTCTAAACTTCCGTCTTATTTCCTTCTTATCATTCACTCCAACATATCTAGATCCCCTTCATAGTTTTTTTTTAATTTATCGGTCAATTTGGTTGCATTCACTACAGAATCAATGAGCAACGAAACCACCTACATTCTCTGATTTTAATGTTGCATGTATCATCTACATGTGCAATCCATATTTTTAGAGCTTGACTCTATATGTTTCTAGGCCAGTTTGTTCCTAAATATCTATAAATATTTATTCAGCGATAATGGATATTGGTGATGCCATAACAACTTCTCTTTGTCTATATGTTCTAAAAACTGCAGACGTCAGACAATCGAAAGCTTAGCATCATTTCCTTGATTGGTACCTAATGTGTGGGCCAATAGTCATCAGTGGTTCCATTTCTATGCGCCTCTAGAGCCACTTCGATCGGAATATTGATGCTAAGACTAATTACACTGGAATGCACCATCTGGTTGTAAATCATCTAGTCTCTGCTTTAACTTATAACAGAAAGTAAGACTAAATTTCGAATAGTTTCTAATTGAGCCTACTACCATTACCAACCACTTCGGTAACTCATAATTTTCTCAAATCTCTTATGCGTCTGACGGAATAACTTGACTTATGAATCTTAATAGTTCAACAAATCCTACTGAGATAGTTTTCAATATTAAAGTAAGCCATTTGACTAACTTAGAAACGGTTGCATATTAGATCTCTTGGAGATTTCTAAACTTTATTCAGAATAACGCTAGCCACTGTCATTCATTACTATTAGATTGATATTACCGGTAATATCGAGGCGTCGTGCAGCCGTCCAAATGACAATAGTGGCAATCAATTCGGTTCACTTAATGACGCAAAATTACGAGCAATTACATCTTATGATGTCATTCACTGATTTTCTAATTTAATCATATGGTCCTGTTTCTATATGTTCATTCACTTTACGAATGTAATCAGATTTGTTCAAAATAACCATTACCTTTATCTGACTTGGAAATTAATACATTTTTATCATTCTGAAAGTTCTTCAAAGCTTCCGTTTCTGATATATCTATGAAAATTTGTGCATTGTGGAGAGAATCAATTTATTGCAAATACATTCTTAACGAATGTTTACACTTCCATTTCCGGTTTTGGCAAACTTAATTTCCTTTTCTGTTGTTTAATGTTAGCATATATTTTGCTCGTATCTACAACTGTCTTATCTACTGAACTTAGGGCTTTTTCGTTTTCGAGAATAACATCTTCAAGTTTTACTGTGTGACACATATAATAAAGGAACTTTAATGTGGACGACAATTAACATGCTGAACAGGTATCTGTTCTAAAGCTTTGACATGCATTGTGCATGCCCAGCCACCATTTACATTGACATGGTATGCTAAGGAATTTGGATTAGATTGAAAGAGGCTTCAGGGTGGCCAGACCAAGACTTGGCACCAGTCTATGAAGTCTCTTGCTGTTGGTCTGAGCTGTTTGGGGAGACGAAAGGAATCAGTGGTTGAGGAGTCTTGATGACATGGTTGAAAATCGGTCACAATGTTGCAGACGTATTCATTACTTTATATCATCTAAGGCTTAGATATTTGTACTAGCCTTTATCTCCAAATTGTGTATTCACTCACACAACTTTGCTTACTTCGATTTCACTCTTTTCCTATCCACCTGTTCTTTGTGTACCCCTATGAAGTGTGGCAACTTGAGCCGATGGACCTGTTTGCGGGGTTCTACGTTGATTTTATCAGTCATTCATCAATTTCAACGTGGTAACTCAGCAGAAAGCGCTCTAGTAAACGAAGCAACAAGCTATCGGTTTGATTCCTCATGCATATGCCCAGCCAGCCGATGAATAAGAGGCTTGGTTACATTTATATCCTGTATTCCACTACCAGATAAACCTAGACAGCTCACTTTTGTCTTCTGTCAATACTAGGTGAGATCAAAATCCACTTTCTTGAAGGCGCATAAAAGTAATGCATGCAGAAATTAAAGAAGTGCATAAAACTCGAGTAAATAGAGCTGTATATTGAATATTTTCCCCGAGTAAGTACTAAACCATTCGCATTCAGTAAGTTATTTGAATTCAATATACTGTAAAACACAAATATATGAAAAGATGAGTTTAGATTATTGAAGTATGTACCGATGTAGTAGTTTACTTGTTTGCAGATCTCATTTATTCTATCCACTATGGATTGGACAGGTGACTTCAAAGACCCCTACTGTAACTGCTAGAAAGGTGGTTTTTCAGAAAAACTAATTGTTTATTACACTTGTTTTTTAGGATAGCTTTTAATGTATTCCGGTGATATCAATCAGTGATATATGTGAAAAGTCATGGTTTCATTATGATTCAAATTAAATGTTTATCCATAATTCAGATCAGCTAAAAAACGTTTGTCGTTGTAACAGCTTACCTACAGAACACTATGTACTGGATATCATTATATTGGAAAGTAAAAGTAACATGCTGAGGAAAACGTAAAAATCTATACGTTTTACCGATGTCAACTAAGATTAAATCTATGCGTATTGATACAAAATGTCAAATATTTTGACTTCGACACCTGAAGTGTTTTCGATTTATTTGATTTTAAATAACTAAGAGAACAAATGTCATATTAATTATAAATAATGTAGAATGCCAACCAATTATTGCAGCTCCTCCAATCTGTCTATCCTTTTGTTCTCCTCATCATAGTTGACGTTTTATGTCCAATGTCAGCACTGTTCATCATATCTTTTATCTTTTCTAAATACTTCTTGCTGTGTGCACCCATTCTACTAGAGACATGATTTGTTCACTTCAGAGACACATGAGCCTGTAAGTAAAGTTGTCAGTGCTTTTCACTGATTCTTAATCATGTGTATTGTTCGTCAGGCTTAGTTTATCCATCGATCAAGTCGCTTTCATATAAACCATCAGTTGAAATAGCCAGGGGATTATTAATGATTGATACCTGGAACTTCCTATTGTTATTCTGGACCAAAATGCTCAACCTCTGTTGGCCTATATGCTCGAATGCAGATGTCTCGATATTGCTGATTAATCATTATGTTATATTGTGCTTGGTAGTAGCTAGCAATAGAATCCAGGAACGGCTGTTTAAATAATGATAACTGATACCTGTTGCACAGGAGGTTGCTTTCAAGCAGCAGAGGCTTAATGGATAGCAATTTGGCATTTGAGGTGATCGGTCCTGTGTTTGAGTTTCAGTGGGAACAAACTCACTCACTGAATTGCAAGGGTGTCCAGTTGATGAATGCCTAATTGGACATAACATACATCTTGGATTCCACTGCTAGCCTTCATCAAGCAAATTACAACCAGTGGTTTGATTTATTACCTATTAATAAGTTATCACTCATGGCTTTCGCTACACTATGTACAGTAGGAGTGATTCTATAATCTGTGTTGCCAAAGTTAATGAATTTACTGATATGGGAATATACAGCTTAACAGGTTGAACAGTTTGACGCCACCTACACTAACTAGAAGCAGGTTCAAATGGACAATTAAAACTGATCTAAAAGAGTAAGGTTATCTTGCTAGTTTTCAATTAATCGTTATCAGTGGTGACCTTTGGAGAAAAAGAAAGTCAAATCAGGAAAAATTCATAATTACAACTCAAAATAATCACCTACCTGTTTAGATAATTGTTCTTCGCAAAGTTTATAAAGTGTGTAGAATTTCTTAGATAAGTCTACATTGTTCAAGAAACCGCAGGCTGCCAATTTAACTCGCATAATAATTGCTCTGTCTGGCACCATCATTGCCACTGTACGGAAGTTAATTTTCAAATTTTCTGGTAATTCTTGCCGACCGGCATAGCCAGGATTCTAGTTCGCAAATGTGAAAACAGTATATTGATTATATATGTGAAAAAAATTATAATAATTTTATTTACAGTTAGATAGAAGAAAAGATTCATTCATTTTATAAATGGTGTTTACACAGGTTCAAATTACTCCGTGCTACATGTAAAGAATAGTGGATATTCTGTTTCTCAGGGTAGCTGATTATCGGAACAAAATCGACTAAAGATCCTTCACACAATAAATTCAACAGTATATATATGAAACATCTTTGTCTTACGCTTTATTGCTAAGAAGAATACACTGAAGAACTACCTATACGCAGTGTTTTCCATCCTCCATGAAGAAAATTTATCAATACAGTGCATAGTGCATAAGGCTATGGACTCGATTTCATGAACTTACAAAACTTCAGAATCAAGGAGAAGTTAGGTTGGGCATAATGTTAAATAACGTGAGAGCACAGATGGGATTGTAACCAAAATATTCTCAACTACTATAGAATTTGCCTGAGGTTTTAGCAGGAAAGTAAGTCACAAAGAGAGAACAGTAGTCAGTGGAATGAGATACACTTTGCCAACGAATTACAACAGGTAATAAACTTAGATCCAGGGCTTTTCCCCCGATGTCATCCGACCGCCTCCAACTAATCAAAGTGCACCGTGACTCTGAATCGCCTGGCCTGGTGACCACATTACAAAATGGTTGATAGAACTCGGTCAGCAGTCAGGAACAAATAACATGAAATTGTTTACTCTGGAGTAACCAACCAATGTATCTAATCCAGCCCTACAGGAGGTAAGTCGCAGCCTGGATAGCTCAGTGGTTAAGTCCCTACCTGAAGCACTAAGTGACGAAGATTCGAATCTCAGGCACGACATCACCTCCGTGGGTGTTGTAGATACTCATTGCTAACGAGCGCCAACAAGCACGAAATTGGGTGGAGCAAGACTGTTTCCTGATTTCATCCACCATCTAACAAAAACAGTAGTCAGACAATAACAGTGATATGAATATCAAAGCAATGAAGGGAGTCAAGGTAAGATTATGACCATGGAAAAATAAAAGATTGGACTCGCTTCTTTTGCAAACATAACCAGGGTTTCAGGTATCTTTAGGACTTCACTTTTCAGACAGATCAGATACGCAGTCACTGAGTTGATGGGCTGATATTACATCTACTTCCAACCATATTCAACTATGGAAAACGTTTAGTTTGTGCAAACCGTGTATCACTTGTCCGAATACATAACGTCGTTAAGTGATTTGTTTTTTCTATCAAAAGGTCTGAATCTTGCCTAGACACTAATAACTTAGTATCCTGACTATATGCGATCATCACTGAGAAGTTTTATTTTCAGCTATGTAAATCAAATTTTGTCGGCGGTTTATTCAAAGCCTCTGCTTTTTACTTCATCAAATCTGTGGGAACGAGCTAAGGTAATAGAAATGAAGCCGGTTATCAACCAAGTTTCATTATCTAGCACTGAAACGTAGCAATAAAAGGTAGCCATTAGATAAGTTGTTTTTAGATCATGTTTGATCATGATTTATGCTTGTACTGACATGAGAACCTGATTGGAGAAATTCAACATCGTACAACAAATTGGATTGGTTCATTTATGGATTCATCTTCTGAGAGTTTTGTAAATACATATATCATGCAGGTGTCAAACATAGCTGTCGTTGCTCAACAGTCATAGGCTGTGTTCGTCTTGTGGCTTTTTCGCGGCTAAGTGAAGGATAGGGTGTGGGGACGAACATTCGTATTACTCGTATCCAGTCCGAGTATCGCGTTGCGTTATTATCTCTTTCTCGTGTTATTAGAACCCACATTATACCCAAACTTGCAGTCATATTAAGTACCGAGGAACTAAGATGTAGTGATAGTCTACAAGTGAATTCCAGAGACACTGCTTATTGTGCACCTATCTTATGCAGGTGCTATCGATACTGATATCAGAAACTTCAAACATTAAGGGAAAATATCACTTTTGACGGTATCTTTGAAACCAAGGCAACTAACGAGCTTTAGCTGCTGGATTATAGCAGGGGTTCAAAAACCTCACTAGTGGTCGGTATTAAGGAAATAACGCACGCATTTTGTTTTTAATTGAGGGGTTTTACGCATCTCCTAACACACGATAAAGTAGCGACTTTGAAATTCGTACATTTTTCCGTTCAGGGATGAATTTTATCAGTAGATGAAATAAATCTTTTTCATCTAAACTTTAGGTGACGTTATAACGTATAGTTATACCCGATACAATTTATTTCATTTATCCAAGCCAACTGAAATGTCTTCGTAATACGATTGAATAGAAGAGTACGCCTTATATCATTCGATCGAATCTCATCGACATTAATCCAAGCTTGTGCCTATATCAGAGTTTGAGATAAAGCGGAAAGTCATATATTTCTCTAGAAACTCTAAGTGGCATTAGAGCATTTTTTGAAGATCCTTAAGATTACTATCAATAAGACATGATAAAATAGATATTTTGATCTAGTATATGGTTATTTTTTGAGACATTTCTTTTTATGGACAACCAGCAGGAAGAGCACTCTATAACTCTTCACTAGTTAGGTACTTAGCACTAAGTGGGTTGTTGCATTAGCCATTATTGATGTTTAACGGATTCCAAAGAATATCTAAACTCTAAAAAACGTTTATCACTAGTTTTGGTATTAAGAAAAAGCAACAGGCATTAGATCAAACAATAATTTGTGTGTCAGTAAGTTATGAAACAAATGATTGATAATCTATTGGATGGGAAGCAGAAGTTAAAATATTCCTTGGTTAGGATTCGATCCTTAAATGCACGATAAGTAGTCTAACATTCTGATCATTCATATAAGGGGAGAAATGATGTAACCACATAGGTTACGTGGAATATACCAGAATTATATGTTAAAAACGAATACCGCTTTTCATGCTAAAAAGTATTATGTCCACATTTATTTGCTTTTCGCCTGAATATTGTATTGTTCTTTATTTTATGCAGTCTACAAAAGTCCACCCGTTTACCTTCTGTCAACCAAGAAAAGTAATTTAAGTATATTAATACAACTCAAGATTTACCGTCTAATGAAACAATCAGGAGCTAAAAGATGATAACTCAGGTACTGAAGAGACAAATGAGATTTAATCTGAGACTGTATTGCATTAAATTTCTCTCCAGTTCATTGACGAATAGGGGAATTTTAACTATGACACGTAATTCAATAGCCAAAAGATATGTACCATAAGTCGTACTCTTCATTCGCCTAAAAAATTGCAAAACCTCAGGTACTTCGTTTAAAGTTACTAAAAAATAAGTGGTTCAAAATATCCTTCCTTTTATTATAACTTTTTCATTTACATTTGCTGTTAATTATTCTTGATGTATATTATAAACCTTTGAACGTCTGTATTTCCTAGACACTTACCGCCAAATAAAAATAGCCTCCGAGTTTTTTCTAGTTTGAAATAATGATTTAGATGAGACAAGTTCATGAGTCAAATTATTTTTAAAATAATCAAATTTTAGAAAAGTCAGTGACATGATATTTCAATACATAGAATTACATATTCACATCAGTTATAAAATAATTTCAACAAACCATAGTTAAGAATATTCCAAATTCAGGATCCATATCAACCGTATCCCCATCAGTAAATATAAACTGCGATTTTCTTTCTTTTTTACACGTTAGTACAATTGCAATTTGTTGTGCAGCAACAGACAATACAGGTAACTCAATTCTATTGAATTCATCAAAACAACCCCATGATCCTGATTGTGCTAATCCCTTATAAATTCGGCCTAATCCACGATAATCCATTTGATCAGAACAATTGAAGACAACAACATATTTACCAAGACAACGACCCATATCTTTAGTTGTCTCTGTTTTACCTGTACCAGCTGGTCCAGCAGGTGCACCACCAAGTGACATGCCAAGAGCTTGAGCTAGAGTAATGTAACATCTGTTAAAAAGGTTATAAAATTTATTTTATATCCAGTACAGCGTGAATATTTTGTTCAAATAATATAAATAAGCAACAATCTGAAAGAAGAACATACTTTTCAATCAATTCTCATCAGGTTCTACAATTATAAAATGCGTTTGTAGAGCATAAAATCAAGCGAATACATTTTCAAAATAGAGTGATTTTGGGACTATAAGGAAATCAATTTCTTTTTTTTAATTTGTCAATATTGGGATGACATATATACAGATGAATAATATGATGGTGAACGAAAAGACAACGAACAAGAATGTAAAGTTTAGGCTTGATCAGTCTTAGTGTGACTGCCTCAGCTGTGTTGAGTAAGTGTTGGCGAGCTACACGTTGTATTTTTTTTGGAAATATCATGTTTGGTATTCAAAGCCTTTTTAGCCTCTATGTGATGCCCATTATTTACCAAGTGTTCTAGGACGGAATTTTCCACCAATTTTGCTTCACCTTTTCCGAACCAAACCGGTAAGTGCTGTCGTATACCGAGACGCACTTGTGTAATCGTACGCTCTATGTAACTTGTTTCACAGGAACAGTTAAATTGACATATGCTAGATGATTGAGCATTAGTCGACTACTGAAAGGTATACAAAGATGATCTGTTCTGTCTGTGTGTCATGATAGAATGTTATTTGTAGTGTCTCCCTTGAATTGTAGTCAAAGAAACAAAGGCTTCTTTTCCAGTGTCATCAGTTCTCGTTTAGGACCAACGTAACTGATGTAAGGTTTGATGAAATTATTCGGATATTCCTTTTTACGGGTACATAGTGGTTCTTTTTCTAACGGCACATGAAATAAATCGATTTTAAGCTGAATCCTAGACACCTGATTATATTACGTTTGTACGAAGCTAAGAAAGTGCAGATACTTTGGCTCGAACGTTAGTTTTCCATACATACTTCTCACTACAGAGTCATTTTCATATCTTCTAACTAGGACATCAAGGAAATGTATCGAATCATTTACTTCACTTTTATAAGTCAAATGAACTAGTGAATGGGCATTGTTGAAGTGGTTCAGAATATACGGGCACTTATCAAATACTGAAAACTTATAATTCATATGTCTACAGTTCAAAAGACCATTTTCCATGTTGACCAGAAACATTTCTGCCTATAATGGGCATAATGGAGATCCCATAGTAGCTCTGTCAACTTGGCTGTATAGATTATTATTGAAGACGAACTGGACATTTATTGTACCTCATGTTTGTATATTTTTGTCAAGAAATTCATCCGTGAAATCGTGCTGACATTAGGTTTTAAATTTCCAAATAAGGTTGGTGAAATGTATCCATCTTCTTTCAGTTTCTTTAGTGAGACAACCAGATCCTTTTGTGCTTTTCGATAAGGTCTTTCGTTGACTGCATCAAGAAAACAATTTAAAACCCCATTCCAGTAAAAAGAGGAATTTTTGCGGCTTCATGACGTTTTTGAAGTCTATACTCCAGAGGCAAGTTATGTGTGAATGGAACAAATCAGATTACATACTGCTTGCATGCACATAAAAAATGAAAGTAAATGCTAGCATTATTAACCACCAATCTATGAGTTAATGAAAATTCACAAACCTGATGTCCCTTTAATACCATTACAGGACATTACGAAATCTCTGGCATATACCATTTTCTAATACCCTGCATCTATGACAGAATCTCTGCAACATTCCGTTGTTAGCTCAATTAAATATTATCATATTATCATAAGTTTTGGGATTAACGGTCATACTAGAATAAAAAATGGTAATGAAGTTATATGGGAAGACAAAGAAAGTTTCACAATGAGACTATACAACTCAGGGGAGACACTAACGCCGAAAACCATCTTCTTGAGCCACAAATATTAACTATCATTTCCATAGTGAGTTAGGTGTTTTTACATAGTATTTACGGATTCAAACTGCTTGTATTCCGTAGACGATTTAGTGGAGGAAGATCATACACATTGCTGTATTAATCTTGTTGACTTGCAGCTGAATCCAGGATGTGCTTTTCGTTCTATTTGGGACTAGTCAGCCGTATGTACCTGCACCCCAGTAAGTGTTGTTCACACTGATGCTAGAACCCAGTACCCACGCCTCAAATGCTGAAGCGTTATCCATTAGGCCACTGGGGCGGTATCTGTGAATGCACGTGGGAGCTAATCTGTTAACGGAGGTCGAGCAGTTCAACCCTGTATAACAGCCGGAAATTACAAGTATCAAACAACAAGATCATACACTTTTAAGCAAACCCTATTTGGTTTTCAATCTCATCAATAAATAGTTGAGAACTTGTTTGGATTCAACCCTTTTCACCTCTAAAGGAAAATCATATAAACAGACAACATGAGTAACAATGGGTTCTTCTGTTGTCTCTGTCGTTGCAAATCTTATATCCTTTGTTGAACAGATTATTTATTTCATGTATTTATGGAACTAATAAATACTCGATTTGGACATAACGAATTCATGTATGCGTGAGAGTGAAAGTGATGAACTACCATTCTTTGGCTGTTTAGTCCGAAAGGAATATGAGTGGAAATCTGAGTTCATCGATATCTTGATATTTGCTAAGCTCATCTAATGACTGTTTGAATTCCATTTGCCATAAAGTATCCAGGTGGATGACAAAGCTCGCGAAAAATGAATCAGACAAGCCAGTGGAACACAAGAATGTGACAGGTGTTTAACCTTTCAGTAGCTGTTCTGTAGATATCACCCAGACCAAGAAGAGAATAATCAAATGTTGCATCTTGGATCAATGCAGTAATCCAACCATTCTTCGAAGAAGAATTTCAAATCGTCTTAAGAAAACATCCAGTTGCAACTTTCTACATGACAATCAACACTCAAAAATGCATCACTTCATATAAAGGACACAGTATATTCGAATTTTATGCAGAACTATGCCTATAGATTAGGTAACTTTGACTGTGAAATCTAATACCATGAAGAATCCTTTAGTGAAACTTTCATTCGTGTAAAAAAGCCTACACGCTACGAAAATTGTCATTTTAAACGTTAAAGTTATTGAGAAAGTATACTCAAACTGTAAAGAAAAAGGGTCGTTGAAGTGTGCCGCATACTGTTAAACCCTGACTGACCAATCGAAAAGGTGTAACAACTCAACCAACATATCTTTCTTACCAGCCGTAACTAAGTATATCTCAGAAGTACGTACACAAAGATATTGAATCTCTTATTCATACTTCTTTTCTGTCACACACACCCACTTACGCATGCACATTTGTTAATAATTCACATAACTTTGAACGTGCTGATTTATACCTAATGATGATGACCATGCATTCATTAAATATTTTGTCATGTTACTCAATTCGTTGTCCAAACTTAATCATCTGTGCTAAATTTCTATGATAACATATGATCTCATTTGATCCCCTTGTGCATATATAAGCAGCCCAATCTGATTTGTTTAAATTTGCCACTTAAATAGGATATCTACCCTGTACGGAAGCAAATTCCAAAAGGTTGTAAAGCACAAAAAATTTACCTTCCTACTTCAACACAAAATAAGTTTCTTTTATAGTTCATTTACTAGACGCTTAACCTGCTTATTTTCATTAAGTCAAATTCTGATCCTTATGTTCTGCATAACAGAGCTAAGGATTGTGATGTAATTAGAGTAACATAGAAAAGATGTATCGATTATTGATTAATCTGCAAACCTTGCTATCAGTAGTGAAGTTTTCAGGCATGCAACATATAATACGGAGATTTTGGCAGCTTAAAACATGTTTCGTGTGATTGCGTGGTCTAAAATGACTTCGTTGATAATTGGACAGTTTGTAAACGGTCCTACTGAGCATAAAATGGAACAGACAACAATGCTTTTTGTCAGATATATATACTGCAGCTACAGTTACACGTAATCATCTCTGTAGGTCAGGGAAGTGCAGATAATGGATGAGAAAAATAGTATTTTTCAAAAATTCATGGAACTCTGCATCAACCATTAGGTTTGTCTTTAATTCCTCTACTCCTCTCCGCCTAATTTTTCTCGGTTAACTTTTGTATATTCGCTTTGAAGACAAGCGGTTCATGTTTTCGTGATAACAACGAAAGATTGATCCTAGATTTGCAAGTGATTTGATGAGACTACACACATATGATCCCGGTAGCAGTAGCTAATTATACAGACACTGGTTGAAATCAAGGTGCAGTTCAACTTGATCAGCTGAGAAACGATTTACGGTTTAGTGCTGAGAAGCAGCAACTTTAAAAAAGTTAGCTATATCTACGATGCCAATAGCTTTTAAAATAGCTTTTGGAACACTTACGGCCTTTTTAGCTATAGACGTTGAAAGTCCTTACTATACAATAAAAAACAACTGAGGAATACTATGTGGTCTGAAAATGTGCTCTTTTTATATGTTTTCCGCTGACATGGATTAATTTTACTTAAACAAGTTAGAAAAATGAACAAGGAATAACCTCTTTGATAATTCATAACTCTTTATCTAAAGGAAAATGATACAACTCAGTCAACTGATGAACTAAGCTCCCGTGTTTGAAACAGAAGTCGCTAGTTTTAAGTCTTCAAGGTAAATTAAAGACAATTATCATCATTTAGTGAACTAAACGTCTGCGCAAAGTTTGGAGTCAAGAAATCTAATACTCCCACTTAAGATCTCCGACCTAAGCTTTGATAGCTACTGACTTTAAACAGAAAGCGTCTTAAGCAGTATCTGAAATGGAGTTAGCAGTTTCCTTGTCTTCAATCTTTTAATACTACTGTATCAGTTAGATATTTATGCTGGATATTTTAATAGTCTATTGGATCAAAGGTGACTAATTTATAAGTATTTTATATGAACTATAAGTATGCACGCATAAAAATGCATTCTTGTTAAATAAATGGCGTTATTTTGATCCACATGCTACATTTTTTTAAAATTTTTACTGCTGAGTGGAGTTCAGTGTTCTGAAGACATAGTCCTTATTTATTGCTACATTGAGTTACTTAGTACAACAGGATCATATTTGCATATCGTTTTGCCCAACGATATACAATATCCATCAACAACACTGAATAATACCAAGCTTTAGATTGATAAAACTGATGTTTCAATAAAGGTTGTGTTTCGAAACAGATTTCACATTCACTGATCAGTTGGTAGTGTAGAACAGAAACAATACTTTGTACCAGTGACTTTTGTGCCATCTAATTACCAAGGTGAAGTATCACAGAAAATGTCTGAGGTTCTATAAGCTTTTAGTATTGAAGGTGACAGCGGTTAACGACCAAAAGCTTCTGATCAAATTTGAAACTCATAACAACAGTTTTCTTGAGAATACGTCATAAATAATTGATAATAATAATTCGAATAATTCATTACCTGTCAGTTAATGGTGTGATGACCAGTCGATCTGTACATCCTAAAAATTCATTTTGGTAGATGAAATCCACATCGGTAATGCTAACAATACACTGATCGTTTTCTTCATTGAAATAAAATCTTGATTGTTTCAACCATTCAAAGTCTTTTGGTGATTTAATTCTCATTTGGACCTAGAAAAAAAGGGGGAAAGTATACCGATGAACAGATGTATCGAAAAACGAAATGAAATGATTCCTGTATTACTGATGAATAAATGACAAATAATTTCCTAAATCATTTGGATACTAATGATGGATGATGACATAATTTTTATGCTAATACTGGTTAGTTAATTCTGTGTAAACAAATCGACGCCTGGAAATTATCAGCTGCAGTGTCAATTTTATGCAGTTTTGAATTCTTTCAGACTGGCATCAAAATGATAACCAGTTCAACTTTCTTTATCTTAACATTAGAATAATCGATAATTAAACAGTCTTTTGCGGTGTTCATGTTCAACTTTGAGATATCCTTTATGTCGTAAAGGACAATAAATTATATCCTAAACGTAATCCAGTAAACAATACTGTTACACTGTGTGATAAATCTAATAAATCAATAAAAATGGAGTCATATAACCTTGTTTATCAAAGTCACTGGCCATCCGATGAATTCGGTTTGACTTTAGTGTCCAAAAGTTGTTGAGCTTTGGCCTAACTTTGTCTTTTATGATCCCACTGGGTTATTCTCTATGCTTATATGCATAAAATAATTTGTTCAATGCTCACTGCTTTGTATTTCTTACGTAATAGGCCACTTACTTTTCTGTTTCCATATTCCTCATTCTATTATTTTTCTATCAATAGGTATGTTGTTTCATGCTCACTTACAACTTGGAAAATCCTGATTTCAAATAAGTATAAATACTGGTTCCATTGTTACTTGTAGCAACAATGTCTTTGTTTTGAACTTCATCTCTTATCAAGCGCGTTTTTCGACGCTTAGAGCCACATAATAACTAATGTTACCGTTTTCAATTCACATTGATTATCTGTACATTAGTATTCACTTTTGGCTGAAAAATAGCCAGAAAGTAAAATGCATTTATTTCAGTCTGCTACTCCTGTTCTTGGTTTGATAAAATGAGTAATTTAATAAAAATACACCTTTAATTTTCATGAAATAACCTCGATAACTATTGTGAATAGCATGATTAGCATCTTTGGAAATCTCAAACTATTCCGTTCATACCAACTAAAAACAGAAAAAGAAAGAACGAATGACCTCTCATAAACTACTAACTTGATATAAAAAGTCTAACCGGTCAGGCAATAGACTGAAACAGTGTGTAACCCTTCGAGTAAGCACATGTTTTGCATTTGTGAACTAGCCTCCGACTAAGACGACACATTACAAATTACACTTCACGAATAAACGGTGACCAAGTTTTTATGAAACCTCGCATAGTTAACTAGTTCACTGGTTACTAGCCGGTCCTAAGCCTGGGTAAACAGGGAAGGTTGGGCATACGGCTACCAACCCTATCACGGAAAACCAATCCAACCGCTACAGAAACTTCAAAGCAAAAACTAAATATAAAAAATAAAATAAACTTATTCCTCTCTGGAATCGCAGAGACGAAATGACGCCAGTAGGCGAAAGCCTGACTTCGGAAAGCCAATTAACAGATGTGTCTCCTCTCGATGAAAGCGAAAGTAAACATGGGGACATGCAATGTCTGCACAATGTTTGAGGCTGACTGGCAAGACTGCCCAGATTGCAAAAGAGATGAGGAGGTATGACATGGAAGTGCTTGAAATCTGCGAAAGCAGGTGGAATGGGAATGGACTCTACAAACTGTCAACTGCAGAGTCAATAATCTACTCAGATATTGTCTGTCACCCAAACGATAACCATGAACACACAGAGCAACGGGATATTATGATTTCCCCAAGAACATCGAAGGCTCTTCTCATGCAGTGAAGTGGGAACCAATCTCATCCAACATCAGGATCATGACAGCAAGATTCAACTCAAAAGGAAGGAAAGTCACAAGCATTCAGTGCTACGCTACACACATATAAATAATGCAGATGAGGAGAAGAAGGAGGAATTCTACAGACAACTGCAATCAATACCGAACAAGACCCCAACACGGTTGCCGACATCAAAACTCATTCTAATTGGTGGGGTGACATGAATGCCAAACTAGGAGTGGACAACACAGGAAGAGAACTAATCATGGGTCGAGAACCGCTCGCTGAGGTGATCAATGAGAAAGGAGAATTGTGTTGCAGACTTCTGAGCATTCAACCATTTGGTGATTGCAGTGAGGCAGTGTGTTTAAGCACAAGGATATTCACAAGCCAGTGACATGGATTTCACCAGACACAAGGGGACTCACACACACACACACACACACACACTCTACACTGAACAACTTTTGATCAACTTCATCTCAATACGAAGAAAGTGGAGATGGAGATGGAGAAGCAGACCACTGGACACAAGATCAGATGAAGAAGCACATGTGGAGCACATGTAGGTGGTTCACACCACTCACTATCTATCCAGTGCAAACAACCTACATGCAAAATCTACTTGAAAGCCTTCAAAGAAGTTGGTGATAAACGACCACAGTTCAAGTTGAACACCCACCGAGGACAGAAAGTGAACTGAAGGATGAAACTGCAAAGGACATCTTCACGTCAGTGAGCCAGCCAGCCAGCCATCAGGACGAAGTGGGAGATATTGAGCAACATCTGTGAAGGAACCTGTGTGGAAGAACACTGGAAGTCTGTGCTGTGAAAGCTATGTGGAAGGAGACGTGTATAAATGTATTACTAGGGAGGGAGGAAGGAAGAAGAGGAAGAGGTGAGACAAGGAATGGATCTCGACGGACACATGGAAACTAACAGAGGAGAGGAGGATGGTGAAGCAGAAGCAGAGGATGAACCAGTGTAGTGCAGTACAGTGCAGTGCAGGGATGCAGAACGAGAAGAGGAACTGAGTGCAATGTATAAACCACTACACTGGACAAAGGAGTGAAGAAGAGTGCACACAAAGACAAAACACACTTCTACGACACACTCGCAAGTGAGTCAGAATAGGCTGCAGGTAGGAGAGACAGAGACATGACCACACTGAACCAAATAACCAGGTTACTATCTGGGAGGAGAGAGATCAACGCAGACGAAAGCAATGGAATATGTTAAAGGGAATCTAGTTACCAGAGAGGAGGAACAAAGGAATCGATGGGCTTACCACTTCAAAAAACTCTTGGATCGACCACCACCTGCACTTCGTCCAGAAATATTACCTGGAGCCACAGAACTACAAGTGAACACAAGCCCTCCAACGAAAGTCGAAGTCGTGAACGCCACAGAGCTACTGGAATGCGGGAAAGCAGCAGGACCAGATGGAATCCCACCAGAAGCACTGAAAACAAACACAGAGACAACAGCAGACATGCTCATACCATTATTCTAGAAGGAAAGGAAGGGAAGGTACCTGCCAACTGATTGGAAGAAGGGCTACCTTGTCAAACTTCCAAACAAGAGAGACCTCAGTGTTTGCAAGAGCTGCCGCGGAATTATGCTGCTGTCAACAACAAGCAAGATATTACACCACATCATCCTTGAGAGATTGAAGGATGCGCTGGGTTTAAAATCAATACCAGAACAGGCTGGCTGGATTCAGGAAATACAGATCATGTGCGGACCTAATTGCAACGACACGCTACGCATCATCATCATGGAACAGAGCATAGAATGACTGTCAACTCAACTCTCTACCTCAACTTCATCGACTCTGAAAAGGCCTTCGACAGCGTCGACTGAGAAGTAATCTGTCAGACAGCTGCTGCAAGACTACCAAGTGCCACAAATCTTTATCCACCTCATTCAACAATTATATGAAGACGCCACATACCAAGTGATTCACAATGGAAAGTTGAGTGATGCGTTTGAAGTGAAGACAGGAAGGAGTAAGACAAGTTTGTCACCCACTATCACTCATCATCTTCCTGATTGTGGTCGACTGAACTGGACTGGATCATCCAGCAAAGTGTGAGGAGCGAGAGGAGGGGGATACGCTGGCTGGATCGGGTAAAAGATCCTAGAAGATTTGGATTTCGCTAACGATGACTTGTGTCTAGTGTCACACAAACTTGAAGATGTACAGGCGAAGACTAACAAGTTGGTAGAAGAGGAGAGGTAGCGAAGACGGGACCTCTAGTGAACGTAGAGAAGACAGAGGTAGAGGTGCTGGTGATACGCAACCAATGCCACCGGCAACAATAACAAACTCCAACCACCATCAACGGTAGAAACTTAAAGGATTTAGCCTCTTTCACCTATCTAGGACGTCAAAGCCAGCCAGGATCGGAAAAGCAAGACAGGAGTTTATTAACCTGAAACCAGTGTGCAGATCTACTGCACTCAGCATAAAACCTGAACAAGATCCGGATTTTCAACACCAACTTCAGTCAAGTCAGTGCTTCTATATGGTTCAGAGACTTGGCGCGTTACGAAAAGTATTCCCAACAAACTAAAAACATTCATCAACAACTGCCTATGCTCGTTACTGAAGCTCAGATAGCCAGAACAATAAGAATAAGCAGTAAGGAACTCTGGCTGACTAGCAAAGAACCAACTAAGAAGCCATCGCCCAACAGATATGCAGAAGGAAGTGGAGATGGATTGTGCATGCACTAGGAAGACCGTTCGAGGACATCACGAGCTAGGCCGTCTAGTGGAACCCAGATGGGAAACGACAAGTTAGGTGTCCCAACTGAGGGTGACATGGAGGAGATCGTGTGATGAAGAAATGAGAGCTTGTGGGTAGTCGTGGAACCAGGTTGAAAAGACTGCAGAGAAGAGAGTGAAATGGAGACGTGCTACTGAAGCCCTATATTCCACTAGATACCCAAGGGACAAGTAATAATATAATAATAAGTTTTTATGATGTAGTCTTATGATTACTTTCACAAAAGATAAAATTATCAGAGAAAGAAAATGACCCCTAAAATAAGTTTCTTAATAGCATATATCATTACTACATCACGGTTTTATAAGGGGTGCCAATGGTTTAGGAATGAATTAATACTACTGATGCATCCGCTTCCATCTTTGTTTGTCTAGTTACTGTCAAATCCTCAGACAATGGGTTACAACATTGTCAACTGAATTCAGAAAGTCAATACAACAATTGGTTTGGAAATTGTTAGCTTAGGCTAAGAATGACCTGAGATCAATCTTTTTTAATATGCATATTTCATGGAGATCGGGTAGTCATCCTCGTTGCTCTTGCACTGGATGGTCAGTACTAACCACCATTAAGTGAGTATAGCGAAGACGAGTTGACCGAAAGATAAAATCGAAGACTGAACATAGCCTTGGTTGCATTGTGTTCTCTGAGCTGAATTGTCTAGTTGTGACTAAACTATGCAGCTCAGAGAACACAATACAACCAAAATAATCCACCTCAGCTACAAATATTCTCCACATAGTTTAACATAAATCGAAAAATCAACAACGTACAACTTTTCAGTCAAATGAGATGGTTATTCAGTGTTTGGATTCAAATAACCGGAATGTGGATGTAAGAATAAAAGTCAGGTTAGGTCGATAAGTTGTACCTAATCCAGGTAGATTACATTTAAATGGCTACGCATGGGAAGTTTAAGATCTTTTTGAAAGTGATGACTACTATGTCTTGAAAGAGTCTACAGTTAGCAATACAAATACGAATTCCATCCTGCTAACATGTAATAGAAATAGTGACAACTTACAAGATCATTGAATATATCACGTTGATGCACATGTATTGTGATCAAAGTTTCGAATTTTGTACGATCAATTTTTGATAGTTCTTGTGTTGTAACACCGATTAACTCATTTAATATTTCTAAGAAGAAAAGATTTGTTGTGTTCATAATTCTCCGATCATTTTTTGCTTGTCTTAGTGCTTCTTGTGCATCTCTTGTCCATAGCATTTGAATGCCAAGTAGGCCAACTTGAGCTGGATAAGAATTTTCAAATTCTAGCAAATTGAACTGTTGATCATTGATAGCAAAATATGCTGATTTAATGACAGAGTGAAGTGAACTTCTAGACATTTGTAATAAATCACCAAGCCATACTTCAACATTACCCTAAAAAAGAAGAGTCACAAATTTGGCTTGCAAGAAATGTTAATCAGTTTTTTAAATTGTGAAATTACAAAATGCAACCAACTTTAAAGATATGTCATTTCCTACAGTTTCTTTTCTGGCCTACTCGGATTCAAGTGTCATGATTATCCTTTTTTGAGAGTAATAAGTAAAATTAAGAAAATTTAAGCCACTAAATATTTCAAAACAAACGGAATGCACTTTGCTAAAACAAAAAGAAATAGGTAAGCACACTGACACCTAATGTTTTCATAGGTATAAAGAAACAAGACATCAAATTCATGGACTCGAAGCACATTCATAAATTCCTGGTAACAGTAAAGTGAAATAAATTAAAACTAGTTACCAAATTGAATTACTAATCTTTATATTGACGAGAATTTGTCTCCGAATAGCGAAGCGTTTTTGAATAAAAGACTGAGTTTGTGTGCATTCTACACTATTTCCTTTCAAATTAGTGTACTATAAACAGCTTGAATATAAAAGTGTCTTTAGCTTTCCATCGTTAAATAGGCACCTCAATATGGTGTGGGAGTTCCTTTTAAAAGTAAAGACAGGCTTCAACAAATATCAAAATTGATTGATCTTATCAGTGAATGCGAAATGTACACCCCTCAGATTTCTCTAAACCATTGAAACAAAGTTAATTCAACTATCTTACGAACGGTTGACCAAGTTTGTAATGAAAATTAGTAACGTATGTAGTCCTTAGAGCACTTAATGTTGACATTTCAGGAGGACATAGAATATTCTATTCACCTGAAAGACAAATCCATTCAAATTCAAAATCCTCACGAATTCTAGTTCTAAACACAAATTTGTTGTATTTAAACCCTTAGTGTTCTGGATTCAATCTCGTAAGTTGATATCTCTTTATAAATCCACCTAGTTTTCAGGTGAAGTACAACTTTAACTGCCTTGTACACCAAATCCGTAATTCTAGTAAGTAATGCAACGGCGAGAATCCAAATAACACTAATTACATATCAATGGAGTGCAATGAGCTGACACGTTCAGCCTAAAGAAGATCCTGTCGTTTATCCACTGGATACTTAGCTTATTCATGAATCAGGAAAACAGTTTCGTCTCTTAACTTTTCGTAAGTTGTTCATTATTTGTTACAGTAATGTATCATCAAAACTCATATATGTATAAACTACGCTAAGTTAGTTATTATATTTTCATAAATGAATTGAAATTAAGGCCTTTAGCTGGGTTTCATATCTTGCTGGGTAACCCAAAAACCTCTTGTTCGGTTAGTAACGTGAATGAGGTCTTCGTTTTTACCCTCAATTACTACCACATATTACATACTAAATATCAGTCTGCTAAATGACAGACACCTTCGATAGTCTTATTCGTTATAAGTAGGGGTTCATGGGTTTATTGTTGATCTGTGCGAATTGGTTGAAGTCCCTGAACTATTCTATCCCTTCACTGATTTGAATTCCATTGTGGAATACTTGTGATTGCAAATACTAAGACTCAACCTCTTAGCTTGCTACAAGAATGAGTGTGCGAATCTCAGTTTATTACCGTTTGCAATTCCTAGTTATATTATATAATTTCATTTCGAAATTAGCACACTGGCTTTTTTCATCTTTCAGTTACGAAAATTCACTTCTGCTGAACATGTTTTGCTTATCTACGATACAGCTGTTAGAAATAACTCCAAAGTAAGTGCTGTCGGTTAGTCAAAAGATAAAATAGGCGTAAACTAATTTGTGCATGATATTAACACCACAATTCTAGACTCATCAAGAAGTGTAACTGCTCTGACAACTGGATATTATTCAGTCAAAACCCTAATGCTTATGATTCTCCAAACTGTAATCTAATAAACACAGACTAATGATAAGTAAACTTGGTAATTCAAATTATGATTTCCAGGGGTAATATGGTTTTCAGAGAAGCTTCTCATCACGCATTGAAATCAGTTGCAAAAGCGCTAAAAACCTTAAGCACTGTGAGGTTGTTTTATCCTTGTTTCTGACTTTCAACCAGCAAGCACCTGTTCATTGGCTGAGAGACAGTTTGCTAACTATAGAATCTGATTTTCTTTGACTTAGCACTGTTTGAAATCCTAAGACTAGGATGCAGCAGTCATCCGGTGTCCCCAAGTTACCAATGATTGCCCAAACGATGCCGCTCCATGATGAAAGCTGACTGAAGCAAACTTACTGATTAATAAGTTCATCCACGAGACTTTCTTTATAATCATGCGAACTTAGCACAAATTAGCCAATGATAACAATTCTGTCATATGCCTTGGTAACCAGTGGTGATAAGAGCTTGTCTTTAAAGGGATTCAAGTTGGCTAATTAGTTGAATGATGGGTTATCATGGTATGTTACTTCAATTACTGTAGTATTTACATATAGATATATTACCCATAAGTGTCAGAAGGCAAACACCTGGAAACAAGAACTCTTAGTAATATCTTTTAAAGATTAGATGGAAATAGTCCCACCTTTTTAAGTCCTGGTATTTATTCTTTAACACTTTCCGGTTAATCCATAGACGGTTACTGTAACGAACACCTTTCATCAGCGATAGATGCTTTTTATGATAATTAACGGTCTGGGAGGAAACAATGAATGTTTGTGTGAGGACGAAAGTCAACTACCCTAGAGGTATATATATATCGGGATGATGACGGGATTGGAAATGAAACTTAATTCGCAGTGGTATAAAAATAGATAGCTTTAGAGTATTGAACTTATACATGGTATGGGATACAAGTAAGATTCAGATTCCTTCTCTTTACACAAGTAAACTCAAGAGGAACAATAGCAACTGCTGTAATAACCGATTATGTCTCTTTATTTAGTGCGATAACTACCTTCGCAGCTGAAATAGGAAGAGTTAATTGATGTTTTCAGCGGTTGGTAGGGTAGCTTCTCGAGTCAATGCTTGACACTGACGAAATGAAATAAACCTTCGTTAGCTATGAGGCCACTAAAAACTTAACTAATCATGACATTCTGAAAGTTTTCCAGTAGGGAGCATCTGTCTAAGTATTTCCGATATTCCAGACCTTTTATTCAATCGAAAACCGATACTGGAATCGAATTAAATGATATTACAGAATACACACAAATAATTCACAAAGTAACAGAAGTGAGTCTTAATTACAAATCAAATCTAAGATATTGAACAAGTGATTATTAAAAAGCCTATAAGTGTGTTGCAACTTCACTTTAATCCAAAACATTTCATCAAATATCAAAAGTATTTACGTTATTGTGGACTTACTTGTGCCATAACTGGATTCATTAACTGAATACTTTCCCCTTCTTGTGAATTGACCGCCAAAATTTTATCATAAACTTTATCATCAAATGTAACATTTTTGGTATTATCAAAAACATTTAATAAATGCGCCTGAATAGTATGTGAATCAGATGCTTGGCCAAGAATTTCCAATAATGCAGGATCTGAGACAAAAAAGAATCTTGGGAAGACAAGACGTTTCTTCTCTAAATAGCCTGTTAATGATTTCTGACACAATTCCAACTGTTCTAATAAATGTGGCAATAGTTGACTCAGTGTATCATCACCTGTACAACAGTTAACAACATTTGGTATCTCATGAGCTCTTTGCATAATTCTCTGCCAACTTTTATCAATATTACCAAAACGCTTAGCTTCCTAGAAGAAAATAATTGAAAAGATACATTTACTAAAGTGATATACATAGGGTAGGATAGTGTACAGATCTTAAAGTAACGATTCTAGAAGAATGCTAGTAAATTTCCAGTAACCTGGATCATAAACCAGTCAGCTATCAGTATAAATATTAAGATAGATGCAGTCTGCCAAGTAGCAAAAATGATACTAAATTGTCATTGTAACAGTCAGTAGAAAAGTAAGTTCAGACCATAATGGTTTTCATGTCAACGGATGAGAAATTCGTTTACAGCTTGATAAAACCTCATATATAACACTTACCAGCTAGGAAATTTGGTAACTAATAGGCCAACCGAACATTAACCCAGCTTCTCAGGTCGCTGGCAGTGAATCAGGTAGTCATTTGCATTATATTGAAGTTCATTGTCCTATTGTGTATGATAATGTTGCATCTAATGAAGTCCTGTACCTGACAGACCAACCACCTTTACATCTTCTTGGGTTAGACTGGATAGAGAAACAGAAGCTACTCGAAAAACCATCAAACCTTATCTTTAATCAGGCTCAAGTCGTGAAGGGACTGGAGCCTATTATGTCACCACATGTTCATCTGAAGCTAACAGATGCGTTGCGATTGAGACATGTCACAATACTCTGTGATGTCCTTGAGGAACGCGAAAAATCCAAAGCTGTCGTCGTGGTCCATCCAGAAGTAAAGCCTGTATTTTGGCCACAAAGACCAGTACCATATGCAGCCTTACCTATCGTGGAGCAAGAAATCGGACGTCTTATGTCAATATATGTAATTGAGCCAATAGATTCTCCGTCATGGGCAGCTCCGACTGTTGTTATAAAAAAATTAATACGCCTATGCCCAGACTACTCTACGACAAGGATATATTATAAACACTTTGGGATTATATTAAAATATTCTCTTATGATGATTAATAAAATAAGATAGAGTGCCAGAATAATGAAAAAATTGCTTTCAGACATGTATCCAATCGTTCTGGTCAATTTAATAGCAAGAATATTTTCAGTATCCGCACCATTTATTTCTGATATCTGTGTTAAGGTTTTAGTTGATCTTGATGTTTACTGTGTGAAAGAAAATCAAGAGAGATTTTTTGCCTGAATAGTCTTCATTATGTATAAAAGACTACTTTTATTGTCTATTTAGCAGTTGTCATGTATGTGTTGTTTTCCATCTTCCTAGTTCTTACTAATCGACTGACCTATGGAGCAAACGCTGACTCTTACTTAAATAACTAATCATTTATATTCCCTAACACTTACTTGAGGTAACTGCTTAGCTATGTCACCACCAACAAATACTGCTTCTAAATAAATCCATAAATTTTGTACTTGTAACCAATTTTCAATGATTTCACTAGTTGTAGTCAATTTTTGAACCCATTCCTGTATTTTAGGTTTAAACGGTGCATTGTATCGGTTTGACATTAATGATCCTAACATCATTAAAGAATCTTCCATGAGAGCGACAACTTCACCGATACTATCACCTTTAAGCAATAGTTCACCACGTGTTTTGAATTGACTGAATTGAAAGTTTTGACTTGACCAATCATTGATGACAGTTTTCAGCTTAGCTTCAATATCCTTTTCTTTAACTGCTGAGATACAAATATCCTGTGAAAAGAAGTCAGATAAAAGTTAAAGCACTAATATTATCTCAAGCTCATTGGGTATACTTAATGTATTTTCTATCACATATGAGTATAATAGGTTCATATTCAGCAAGGATTGAAATAACTAAGAAACCTTCAGTCATCTTTAGCACGCTTCATATGAAGTACATTTGTAGTTAAAAAGATGTCTTCAATCTAGATGAGTTGGAAAAGTAAGGAAGTTAATAAAGGAGGTTTATCAAAACCGCACTGATAAAACGTTCACTGTAAAGAAACTTGTATTATTATTGGTTGATAAACTTTGAAACTATAGTACCACATTTACTTTGAATCTACAGACTCAAAACTGATTAAGATTTTTCGGATTTTTCTACTCTTCATCGCTTTATTAACCTTCATTTCTATATCCTCTCTCTTCCACTCTAGTAGTCTCTATCCTCACTTGTGATACATATTTTTTTCTCCTCAGCACTACTTTTCATACTGTTTTCAAGTGTGGCAGTTTGAAGTAATGAGCTTTTATGCAAATGCCTAAGTTATTTTCTGTCTTGTCTGTTTAGTAAGAATGATATTTCCTAGAAAACAGATATTCAAAAGAAAATTAAAAACGAAGTACGGGTTTAAAACCGATACCCGACTGCCATACAACCTCCAGTTTGGCTTTCACGTTCTGTTCTGATGTGAACTCTGAAGTGTTATTAACCCGTATAAAATGAATGAGGGATGAACACTGTCATAGCTTCATTTTTATAAAAAGAATGTCATTATGTGTAAGAAAATGTAGTGTACTAGGTTGGTTGTCAGATTCATTGCAAAAAATAAGCCAACCAGAGAGGAGAAGAGCAATTAGGGTGCAAGTTGCATATACAAACGCTGAATATGTCTTGAGTCATACGAATACGTTACTGAAGCAGTGAAATAATTATTCTGCTTGTAATGTTGAACTTATTGACTCTGTATACTCAAGTGGTAACTGTCTTTTTACTTCATTTGAATGCATGTCAAAATACAGAACTTCTGACGATTTGATTGAGAAGTATGTATACCATAAGTTTAAGCAAACCTTCGCTCATACACAGAACTTGATTGCTTACTTCAATATCTTCTTTGTATTTTAATAGTGGTGCCTCCATAATATTGCGTAATAAAAAGTTATCCGACTCCACATCGAACTTATGTTTTGTTAATTCTTCTATTCTTTCCCAATGTCTGACAGCCATCGCTTTATTAGCCATCATTTCCAGCAAAGGACATGCCTCGTTGAAATCATCTATTGTTTTACTAAGCTCTGTGTACGCTTGCCACTCTTTAAGTGCCTTGGGTAATTTCCGGCATCTGCAAAGGAAAGTGAATTAAAGATCGAAAACATGTGGAGAAAAATATGGAATGACTTAGTTCTGTGAGTTGTCATATGTAAAACGATACAATGGAATCTTTATTCCCATTCGCTTGCAATGGTAAATAGACAAATTAATCGTGACTATTCAAAATAAGGCCATGGTATGTAGATAGCCTAACTGACAGCATCTTAGCACCAAGCGAAAACAATAGCTGAGCTCAAAATAAAAGCTTATGATGTTTGACTACACAATCTTTTGCTTACACTTGTTGTAACTTTTTCATATCAGCAAGAAATAGGTAGAAGCCACCTATGGCTGACTATCAAGAAAATAACCAAGAATAGCTTTATTTCTCATCTGATGTATTTCTTTGGGTATCAAAATGAAATCTGCCCCATGATCAGGCTTATATTTTCAGCTAAGGATAGTTTTTGTGGCATATAAGTCGGCTAAAAATGACATTTCACTGAATTAAGTTCCTTATGTTTGTTGATAAGATTACAAATTCCACTGTGACTATCTGATGTCAAAGAGTAGTGTATATAAAAATGATGGAATTTGTAGCATTTATGAGATTGCATGACATTAATTAACTTTTAAATACCGAGAAACTTCTACTGGTGATAGTTTACCTACAATATTAAAATACGGAGTATATTAATCTAGTCTTTTTGAACAAGCTTGAGAACAAGAACAGAGAACATTACAAAAGAACAACTGGGATGAGCATATTATTCACAAAAGAGGAGCCTAAATTATATTATTGTGCATAATTAAGTTTTACTATGTTAGGAGAGTTAAAAGCTCCCCAAAGGTGAGTGTATTCCGCTTCATGATAAGCGTGTTCTTGGAAGGTGAATATGGTCGAAACTGAAAACCGAATATCAGCCTACTGGGAAAATTTCACAGTATTTTGTCACTCTCTGTTACCTAATCTGAGGTAGGAGAGGATATTCAAAGTTTCAGCAACCACCTGGTTCACACAGATTTGCATGAGACTTTTTCGAATTGCATGCAAAACATAACTTCATAAAGGAATGAATAATTACAGGATACTTTCTACTCTAATGTTTTTCGTTATTCCCTACCTGAGTGCATCACTATGTCCCACTGAAAACTGACATAATTCAAACTGTACAACACACTAAGAGTTTAAAAAGCGCGTAAATTTGGAATGACACAGAAATAATAGTACCCATTACTAGTCTAAAAGATTGAGATACAGGGACTGTGAGGAATGATGCACACTTGAAACTTAAAAATGTTTTCGCTTAGACGATCAATTAGTTGGTAAAAAATAAATACAGTAACTAACTCTTTTGGCCTCGCACTTTTCATTGATGACGATGTCTAGCGTAGTCTTTTATTACTTCTAGCGTAAACTGGATCAAAAGGAGCAAGCTATTGTGAACAGTAGAATCAATTACTTACCTATTCTGAAAATCTAATAACTGTTGGTTTATTGAATCAATGTCTACATCTGTCCATGGAATGTCATAGTAGCCGTTGACAGTATCCAGTACTGAATCATATAACTGATATAATTTTTGCAGTAGATTTAATTCTTTTCGAACTCTTTGTAAATCGGGATAATCCGTTACAGCCATACCAAATAATTCTTCACCGCCTGAATAAGTTTGATATTTACGCCATAGGTCGTCGAAACGTGCTTGAAACAAACTCAGACGATCTGATGCTTCGCGGGGGACAATACCAGGTTCCATTGGCCCACTAAGGAGAATTAATGAAAAAGTGATTAACATAAAGCATATTAACGGAGTGGCTGTTTCTAAATACTGTTACTCAAACTACATCCATTCACTTTAGGTCCCGTGAGCATTATCTCTCTACATAACAGTAAATAAAAATTCTGACAAGATAAACTATCAAGAACAAATTAATAAGTGAGTAAAATATGCCGTTACTAGTGATCATAGTGTGGTGAACACTACTTATATGCTTATGAGTAGTATGCAGTGCAAAATCGAGAAAACTAAGGATTGATAGAAATCTACTGCTGACTGTTTGAGTAGGGAGGGGGCCTAAAAGACACAATATCAAGCAGAAATATTGGGAGAACTAACACTACATTGGAATGTCAAACAACAATAAACAGTCTCTGAGCCTCCATCCGACTTTACTTTGATAGTAATATGGTTAAGTAGGACAACAAACCTTCAAGTGGTCCTCAAAGCTCAAGATTTCATAACTTTCTAATTTATACCCAATATATCTGGATTATGCTGCCTGATTGGAAATCATGTGACTTGAACTCTTATTTCACTGACTGTTCTAAGAAGACTTGATGCTCATGATCAGCAAAGTAGGTGTGAAGTGAATTTTTCATGATTACTTGTCATCAGACTCGATGTGATTTTCGGTAATCATTTTACAGCGAAGTTTATATATATATATATATATATATATATATATATATATATATATATATATATATATATATATATATATATATATAGTGTTTTGATGCCTTTCATTAACAAGGGATCAATTGCAATACTGCTCAAGTATTCTGAACATCTGAGAAATAAATCGATCAACAGGATTTCAACTAGTGGTAAATACTCTATACTAGACAGCTACATGAGTGATCAACTAGAATACATAATCCAGTCCTATTTTAAAAACTTGTAATATCAATCTGTGAGAATTTAGCCTGTCTGTTATTATCTAAAAGTACAGGTTATTGTTTTATTACTTATATCACTGGAATGTTAAGTTCCACAAAGATTCACTAAAAGCATCTGCTTACACTCCGACAAACCCATTATTTACCGAAAACTTGTGAACATAGGGACGAGTAATAACATGCCCTTATAAAGCTTAACATCTTTGGGCTCGACCTCAATGTTTTGAGAGTAAACGCCTTCTGAAGGAGTATAAAACCAGTCATACTGATTTTACAATGTCTGCTTGCTTCAGGCACTTTCTTTACAGATTTCTGTATCTTGAATATACCTTTATGAGCTTCAATGAATACCCTTTCTAATGGTAACTCTAAAATCAGAATGTTTGCATGCAACTTGATTTATATATGATAAATTTTTGTTTAAAAATCAAACCTTTGGCTTACGTGTACAATTCCTGAGGGATTAATGTAATATATTTTTAGAATCAAACTTACCCCATATCATATTCATTGACAAATGTATCTACACTTTGTTTATATACTTCAAGTCCTTCGATCAGTTCATTCTTAAACGTAGGTTGGATTTCTAGAAGATGATCTTGCACCTGTTGGCTTTGACTTTTCAACTTCGAGAAGCCATACGACAAAGCGTCTACACGTTCTGCATTACCATCATTGAAGTACAATTCATAACGATTCAGTAATGCATAAGATTCTTCAATAGGTCCAATAGTCATGTCGAATTGGATTTCAGATGCTCTCAAATCAGACAATGCAGCCATTTGCTCTCTCACATCATCTAAGTCTTTATCGGTCGACTTAGACGCTTTGTAAAATTATCAAAATGTTCCAGAATTTTAGTCATTTCTGCTGCACATCGCTGGTTCAACTCTTGACCATACGCACGACGCCAAGTTTGACATTCTCTGATTAAACTCTCTTTAAGCTCATCACTTTTAAATACAAGTGAACCAACTTGGCTGGATGATGAAACTAGCTCGATAAGCTTTTCCATTTTCTAGAATGAGGTGAAGTGAATTGAGAGAAACAGAAAAATAAATTTAGAATTCTCTCAAAAACAATGTAGTAAAAGGTATTCCGTTCTTTAGTAGCTTGCAGCGGAAGTCACATTGTGCATTTTGTCCTGTTTATAACTTGTAAAGGGGATACACCCACAATGGTGTACTGATATTCCTGTTGTTTGAAACTAATTACTACACATCTTCAAGTAAATAACAACCCAATAAAGCCCATGATAGTCTTCATAAAAATTCACAAAGATGCTTGTATATTAACAGATAACGATGAATTCAGTTGATAACAACGGAAAAATATGAAATTCGCGTAGACCACGTACATGGATCCACTCGTGTGGATATAACTCACACCTTCAAGTGATTATACCGTTCCGTATGACTCATTAACAAATATTTGTTTTTGACGCTGGTATCCATATCTAGCCGCCAGCTGAACTTAACGTTGAATGAAAGGGTGATTACCATTCCGCTGATAATTTATGCCAGATTTACAGCTTACACATTCAGCAAAACGAAAGATATAGCATAGTACAAAATGAATTACAAATGCCTGAACAAATCACTTGGGCTAGAAAGGGTATAATATACTTTGCTCAGGAAGTAAGCTTGTAAAAACAGATACAAATATATACCATAAAATCAATGAATAATCTTATAAAATAAATGTATTAATCGACCGTGATATGCTTTGCTGAATCCCATATATTTTCTTAGACCAAGTGCAACAATTAAACATAGAAGTCAGTGTTAAGTGTAACAAAGTGTACACAAATTCAAACTGATATACTTCAGAATAACTTGCGGAAAAATAAAGCATAAATATCAATAAATTGAGACAAACGGTTAACCGTTACGAAAAATTTGCTGTCATGAGATAATAAAAATTCATATGACTCTAAAGAATGAATACATCTGTGTCAATATGACTGACTGCGATCTGTAATGTCCTCATTTACCGTCATTTTCATTATCTGTTGTTACAAAAGCTGTACAATCAGCTGTATAATTAATTATTTTGGACTGAATTCCTATTATATTTGATTTTGATATAATCTTTCCCTTGTCTTTTCTGAAGAGGATTCCTAGACTATATACTATTATTAAAGAACTGTGCAAGAAGTCTCTGTTGTCAACGCCAAATTAAACAATATGGACTTGTAACTGAAATGGTGAAGAATGTTCGTAACTTAGGTGAATGATCTTGGTTGTATTATGTTCTCTGAGCTGGTTTGTTTAGTAGTACCTCGTACGCAAGTACATCGCTTCAATTTGTCACACTTCACAGTAGTATAGAGAGAACAGATGGATAGAAAAAGAGCAGTATTAAAGTAGATTAGGTTGCCTGAGATAATAAGCAATTTGAACAGAATAGTTATTAAGGTGTTCAAATTTTAGAGGACTAATAGCTGCTACATTGATGTGGTGGTCGGGTTCGCATATCACAATGACTCAACGAATCACACTAGCTGGAACGCTCATTCCCTCAAGGTCTCGCCATGCCTGGAAGGTCAGTTGGATAGCGATAAGATGAAAAGCAGTTACCGTTGTAGTGCAGGTTCTTATACTGTGATAGGGGGTCTGAGGGCGAATTCGTACTGCTGCTAGCTGGATGGGGTGTGGCAGCAGTAAGTTGTTTCCCTGGGATGACCAGCAGTGAAACGCTGATGCAACCTTACTGGTAGGCAGTGAGGGGGCTAGAAAAGGTTGACCCTAAAATAAGTACACTCCTCACCGTCCAACGGTCTTCTGGTGCCGGCTGTAGAGATTTTCCTTATCAGGCGTTATTATTATTTGTCCCTTGGGTTCCTAGAGGAACATATGGCTTCAGTTGCACGTCTCCATTTCACTCTCCTCTCTACAGTCTTTTCAACCTGACTCCACAACTGCCCACAACCTTTCATTTCTTCCCCACACTAGCTCCTCCATATCACCCTCACCTCGGACGCCAAACTCATCCTTCCCTCTTTGACTTCTATTCGAAGGCCTGACCTGGCACGTGATGTACCCAAATGGTCTTCTCAGTATATGCCCTATCCAATCCATCTCCACTTTCTTTTATTGCACATTTGTTCAACGATGGGTTGTTGGTTGGTTCATCTCCAGCCAGCCAGCCAGCCAGCCAGCCAGCCAGCCAGCCAGCCAGCCAGCCAGCCAGCCAGCCAGCCAGCCAGCCAGCCAGCCAGCCAGCCAGCCAGTCTACTGCTGTCATAATTTTGAATTTAGAACATTTTTGTTTTAGTCTCTCCAGAATGATGTGGCATAATATTTTGCTTGTTGTGGACAGTAGTATGATTCTCCACCAGTTCATGCAAAGACATGAGTCTCCCTTGTTTGGAAGTTTGACAAGGTAGCCCTTCTTCCAATCAGTTGGCAGGTACCTTTCCTCCCTTCCTTCCTTGCTTCCCTGCAAACCTTCTGCAGTGGTGGTGTGAGCATGTCCGCTACTGTCTCTGCATCTGTTTTCAGTGGTTCTGGTGGAATTCCATCTTGTCCTGCTACTTTGTCGGAGTTCATCAGTTTTATGGCGTTTCGGACTTCTACTTTTATCGGAGAGCTTGTGTTCAGTGGTAGTTCTGCGGTTGTTGGTGTTTCTTATGGACGAGGTGCGTGTGTTGGTGATAATGGTAGTGGTGGTCAATTCAAGAGCTTTTTGAAGTGGTAAGCCCATTGTGACCTTTGTTCCTTCTCTTTGATAACCAGGTTTCCTCCACTATCATTCATTCGTTTCATGAGTGTTAACCCCCTCCCAGATAGCAACCTGGTTATTTGATTCAATGTGGTCATGTCTCTGTCTCTCCTACCTGCAGCCTATTCTGACTCACTTGTCAATATGTCGTGGAAGTGTATTCTGTCTTTGCATGCACTCTTCTTCACTCATTTGTCCAGTGTAGTGTTTTATACATTGCACCCAGTTCCTCTTCTCGTTCTGCATCCCTGCACTGCACTGCACTGCACTGGTTCATCCTCTGCTTCACCATCCTCCTCTTCCTCTCGCTCTCGCTCTCCCTCCTCTGTTAGCTTCCATGTGTCCGTCGAGATCCATTCCTTGTCTCACCTCTTCCTCTTCTTCCTTCCTCCCTCCCTAGTAATACATTTATACAGGTCTCCTTCCACATAGCTTTCACAGCACAGACTTCCAGTGTTCTTCCACACAGGTTCCTTCACAGATGTTGCTCAATATCTCCCACTTCGTCTTGATGGCTGGCTGGCTGGCTCACTGACGTGAAGATGTCCTCTGCAGTTTCATCCTTCAGTTCACTTTCTGTCCTAGGTGGGTGTTCAACTTGAACTGTGGTCGTTTATCACCAACTTCTTTGAAGGCTTTCAAGTAGATTTTGCATGTAGGTTGTTTGCACTGGATAGATAGTGAGTGGTGTGAACCACCTACATGTGCTCCACATGTGCTTCTTCATCTGATCTTGTGTCCAGTGGTCTGCTTCTCCATCTCCATCTCCACTTTCTTCGTATTGAGATGGAGTTGATCAGAAGTTGATCAGAAGTTGTTCAGTGTAGAGTGTGTGTGTGTGTGTGTGAGTCCCCTTGTGTCTGGTGAAATCCATGTCACTGGCTTGTGAATATCCTTGTGCTTGAATACAGTGCCTTCAATCACGAAATAGTTGAATGATCAGAAGTCTGCAAACAATTCTCCTTTCTCATTGATCACCTCACCGAGCGGTTCTCGACCCATGATTAGTTCTCTTCCTGTGTTGTCCCCACCCAGTTTGGCATTCATGTCACCCCACCAATTAGAATGAGTTTTGATGTCGACAACCAGGTTGGGGTCTTGTCCGGTATTGATTGCAGTTGTCTGTAGAATTCCTCCTTCTTCTCTTCATCTGCATTATTTGTAGGTGCTTAGCGTAGCGTAGCATTGAATGCTTGTGACTTTCCTTCATTTTGAGTTGAATCTTGCTGTCATGACCCTGATGTTGGAGGAGATTGGTTCCCACTTCACTGCATGAGAAGAGCCTTCGATGTTCTTGGGGAAATCATAATATCCCGTTGCTCTGTGTGTTCATGGTTGTCGTTTGGGTGACAGACAATATCTGAGTAGATTATTGACTCTGCAGTTGACAGTTTGTAGAGTCCACTCCCATTCCACCTGCTTTCGCAGATTTCAAGCACTTCCATGTCATACCTCCTCATCTCTTCCTCAATCTGTCTCAGGCGCTGAATTAAGGAAATCTGAAAAACAGCTGTAAAACTCGAGGAAGAAGTTACTGAAAAGAATATTCTTCACTCATTCGAATGTCTTTTGAATCATCACACATACAGTAACTTCTTTATCTCCGGAGAATGCGTTTATAATAATTCTTTTGCCAGCTATTCATAAGTATTTTCAACAAATGGATTAGTACAGTCTGTCTTGCAACTTTCTGCTTTTAACCAATCTGATAAATTGGTTAAGAAGCTTATGTCTCACAGTTTGAAGTATCAAGGAGAATAGGATAGTACTACTTTACTTAAGTAGAATTATACAGTATCATAACACTGAAAACTGTAATTTGCAATAATTTCGACTAGAATTCTTAAACTAATTTAGAAAGAATGCGAATAAGAATATTGACTGAAATTTGTTTATATCAGGCTATCCCAAACGGTTCCATCCAAGCAACTTTGATAACACAGGAGCTAATACTTATACTTACAATAGCATTAAAAAGGTTTATTGCAGCAATCCTAGTAGCAAAGATTAGAGAGTGTTATGAAAGTGTGTACGAGAATTGACTCTGAATGCCACCATATAAACGACTGAAATAACCAGTCAAATTTAATTATTCTAGCTGAAAAGGTAGCTGTTCACAAAATCAAATGACCTATTGTTTATTTAAGTAGTTGTTAGGGTAGCCTTTAGGTCACACTTTTAGAGTCACATTTAATGCCATCCTGGCAACAATAAAAATAACAAATTAGGCTTCTTTATTTTGTCTTAAGAGGTAGATATTTATAAAATAGAGGTCTAATCGGTTGCTTCGCTTTCTTCCCAGGATGACTTGATCAATCCTACTGGCTAGATCCGTCCAATCATTACAAAAATAAAATAGATGCCCAGGAGACTTTTCAAATGACAGGTTGTGCTAAACTTTTTCATATTGGAAATTTCTAAACCATCAATTTAGATTTAATCATTCGCTTTCGATCTCCTGGAGTACCGATCTTAGCAGTAATGATACAAGATGATTTAAAGACATAAGTCTTCCTTTTATCCCACGTGCAAAATTTATGTTTTTTTGAGGCAGTCATATATTTTGTCCTTGTTATTTATTGAATATTGACCCAGTGGCTGAATGGTAACACGTTTCCCTGAGAGACCTGATAGTCCTGGACTTGATGTATCATGAGGTTGTTAGTGCTCACTGCTTAGGTGTCTCAAACTAGGACGAAACAGCTGCCCAAGAGATTTTCCAACTGCTATCATTTCGAGATGGAAACTACCTCGAAATCAATAAATCCCTGGAAACCCTATACTCAAACAGCATCTAATTTACCAAAAAGCCTACCACATGCCATCTTTCTTGTAGCGGTGGTGGTGGTGGTAATATAAAGTTACTGGGAAATTGTACTGTATTCACATATGGTATCAACAAGAACCCAGAAACACAGTTTGATACAAGAAGAATGATGACCATAATTTTGGTCCTTTATTGATCAGAAATTAAATTTCATTAATTCATCAATGAATACTAGGTAAAGAGCAAAAATTATTCATGAATTCATTTGCGTAGAAAGTGTTTTCTAAAAAATCACTAATAGGTTAAATTACCAGTTCATCAAACATTCCCTGTGCATGAAACACTAGTGGATAACAACTCGAATCATGTTAGTATAAGGGCATTCATTCATACTTTATGGATTATAGAACAGAAATCGACCTGACAACCAAGAGAAGGATGAACTGGCTTTTATCTCATCGATTTCATTGGCTGTCTATGACCTTCAAAAGAAACTAAGTAGGGTTAATCAACACAGATTATAGACTTCGGAATTTTAATAAGTCTAATTAAATCTTTTGATAACGAAATGTAAATATTTCAAAGGAATATTAAGGAAGATGAAGGATTGAGTGACAATAAACTAGAGCAAACGAATGTCCTTACAGCTGACAATGATGAAATAACGATTGCAATATAATGTATTGAGATTTCAGTGCTGTAAACAAAATTGTATTTTAAGGAGTAGAGAGATTATTACGTGATAAACCTGGGACCACGTATTGTGATCGTGTAATTTATCCGGTAACCGGAGAAAGGAAGATGAGATATAGTGAGGTTTATTGAAGTTGGGGGAAAAAACCCTGAGCGGTAGTGTTTTCTTTCAACTTCAGTGATTTTTTGTGTACCTGATAAAGGATCTTAGTCAGTGATATGGCTATGAGAAATAAATTGTGCTCAGTGCGTCAATAGGTACATAACACTGTTCCACTTGAATGGTACATTTAGTACGCGAAAAAAATTGATTCACACTCTACTGTAGTTCAGAAATTTTACGCATGTGATCATTCCTATTTTCGTGAAAGAAAACTCATGTTGTATGCGTGCTTTTAATTTTAACTACACCATAGTGTCACTGACTAGACTAGACTAGTGAGTTTTGATTCTTGTGTTCAGGACTACCATCTATTGTTAAAATGCAATCAAAAGAAATCTGGAGGATCTTATCGAGGAACAACCAATCAATGTATAACAGCAGATCAGTTTCATCCTGAAAAATAGCAGAAACTTCGAACTCTGAAAAATAATCTCATTCCATTCAGTAAATTTGGTTTTAGTACGGAATTCTCAGCATTTAGTAATATGACATTAAATATTTCTATTGTGTTGCTAGCACTATTCTATCGTTGATTGAACCGAGTAGACTGGTCTATATTGGCATATGGGTTCCTGCGTAGATGCCTGGATATTGAATGTGTTTCTGTTTTATATTATTGATGGTTAATGGCTAGCAGTAGGATCCAGAAGTGAATATCTTAGTTTGGTGGGTGGTCCAGTGGATAACGCCTGGACGTTTGAAGTGATCAGTCCCGCTTTCTGGTGTTAGTGGGAACAACATCGCTCACTGGGAGGCAGGTACATTCAGCTGATGTGCCCTAAACAGTACGAAACGCGCGTCCTAGATTCCACTGTTAGCTACTATCCATCATTAATAACGCAGGTGTAGACAAGCTATCAAACTTTTAGGAAAAACTAGAACATATGTTCAAATGGCATAGAGGTTGGAAACCAAGTGATAAAATACCATGAATTTATTATATTCAACAAAATTTACATTTCTTGGTTTACCGAAGTTTGTGAAGGGAACTAGATGTATGAACTAAGAATGATCCAGCTGACGAGTCCCAAATAGGACGAAATGTGCATCCTGGATTCCATTGCTAGCCGCTGACCATCATTACTATAAGGATGATCACTTCTATTCTTCAATAGACTATTCGTTAAAAAACGAATCCAGTTGCATAAAGACGATAGTTTTGAACAGGTGAATTAAGCTCAAAGCCGAAAATGAGGTCAAAAAATTATTCTACGACTGGTTATTAAAAATTAGCCTAAATTGTAATTTTCTGTTTGTTGTGTACATCATTCAAATCAGTCAAAGGAAATAATTAATGTTCAGGTAAACCAATTCAAAGCGTTAGAAAAAAATCAGTTCATAGGTAAGTCTATCACTACCTTAACACTTAATTTGTAAAACATTTGGAATCAAGCTTACATGAAATTAGCGCCATTATATCAATAACTTACAGAATAATAATTCATTTGTGCATTGATTTCTGATAGAATTGGTTCATTCTTCATGAAATCGGCTACATTTGTTTGAGGATCCTAGAGGAAAAATAACCCGATGAACAATCGTTGATTATTTATTGCATCGAAGAACAAAACAAATAAAGATATACCTCATTTCGTTCCACATAGTTTAGACTTATTCACCTACTGTAGGTTTTGATAGTAAGTCTTAGAATGATCAGAAAATATACTGAATAACTCAGCTGAGAACAAAATAGAAATGACTGTGCTCCAAAATGCAGTACAACCTTTATTTATTCCAGATTAGTAGTAACTGTGTATAAGTTTTGAATATTGGAACTGATTGTAAGAAACACTAACTAAACCTTCAGGATATTTACTTGATTTCGTTTTTAATCCATATCAGAATGCAGTGCATTCACTTCTTTGATGTTGGGTTTTAAGTTAACATGTCAAGACATGTCAATGATTGTTGTCATTAGTAACGCTAATTTCAGGATTCCATTAAAAATGTCTACGGTCAACTCATTTACTCGATAGATATTAGTGGAAGAGGTAGGATAGATTGAACACTTTGGAGCTAATTTTCGCATAATAAGTGGATATTGGATTAAAAATTAACAAGAAAGAAAAGTTTGTGAGCTGGAAATATGGACGATTGGATTCTGAGCCAGTGTCTTAATGGTAACGTGCTGGCCACGGAACCTGAAGATCGCTGGTTCGATCCCTGCTGGTGGGGTCGTGGGTGCGCACTGCTGAGGAGTCCCATACTAGGATGAGACAACTGTCCAGTGCTTCCAGGTTTCCTTTGTTCCTCCAACTGATGTCAGTCTACGATCAATAACAACTTGAAAGAAAGAACATCCTAAAGAATGATTGAAATGACCACTTATATGTGAACAAGGTACCTGAGTAATTATCCGGTAAAACTCATTCACAAAACAGAAAACAACCTCAAATTAGGTTGCAAAACTACTCCTAAATCATGGGCCTTAACAATATTTATCCCTTACAGGTCACACACGTTGGATGGGATTAGGAGGGTGCTCAGCAAATGAGATATCAGAGTGCTCTACAGAATATCAAACACATTGCAGAGCACCTTAGTTCATTTGAAGAACGAGATCCCTCTAGATACATAATCTAATTGTGTTTATAAAATAAAATGTTTAGATTGAGATGCAATATAAGTAGGATAAACTTCTCGTGAAATCAAAATTAGGAAAAATGAACACCGAAAAGCTTTCACTCTGCCCCCTAGAAAAAACTTGAATACACATCAGCCATATTTCTACATGCCATAATTTCAGGTCAAAACGTCGATTTTGACAATATCAAAATTATTCAGAAATGTTTTAGAACTTATAAAGAACGTCTCATAGCAGAATCTCTTTACATTAAGTGGAATCATAATTGACGAAGTATACCCATTTATTCATTAACAAGAAGAAGGCATGTATCAGCGAAGAAATATTTCTTTCCAATCAGAATTGCCTAAATAGGAATGAGCGAGTAAAACGTAGTTTGACTTGGTCTTAACCCACCCCCACAAACTGACATAACCATCATACATGCGATAAGTACTATTAACACATGTGTACATACAAATCTCAGTGTGTAACTCACACACTATTCACACACAACATACTACACATGGATCTCATCTTTATTGCACAATTCTGACGACGCAGAATCATTCATGCAGAAAAACACTTGTCAAGTTATCGTATACAAGCTTAGATATTGTAAATTCCTGTTTACTGTAACTTTGATAAAGCTGTTAGCACTAATTAGCAAAATGTCAGTTGAAACAAATTTATTTTGTCTCCCAATCCATCAAATCCCAACTTGGTTTGGATACCTATAAAATGACCACCTGTAGATGATCAATAAAAGCGTCTGATATAAAATAACATACCACTGAAACACAGTTGTAATGGGTGGAATTTAAGCACACCACACGATTTATCAACCTATCCAGTGGGAAATAACATGGTCCCAAACTGATATAGCCGCTAACGTTCTACAACTGTATATTCGATTTTATGATCCGGTTAATTCATAGAGAAGACGCAGTGAGATTAATAGGAACATGTATTCATACCGAAGACCCAAAATAATCATCAGTGAGGGTACATAGTAGGACGTTTAAAAATAATGTTATCGATTAATTCATTTATTATCTGCCAGTCTAATTGTAGTCTATTTTCCAGTCTAGTTTATTCAATTCACTTATCAGGAAATGTTTTCCGAACCAGCAATTCTGAGTAGATTCGACTTAGAGAGGTGAATTAAGGTTTGTTAAGTATATGCAAGTATGAAAAGAATTCACAAAAGTTGTACAATTAGTGACTAAGTTCTGCTAAGTTTGGTTGATTTTCTTTGACATCAAAATACTGTCTAAAGTTTTGAATTAAAACTTAACAACTAACCGTTGTCCACAAGACTGAAAATTCATTGTATCTATTTGAAACCTTTTGAATTTGTTCTTTAAATCCATTGAATATTGTGTTTAGCTGAACTGAAACTTTGATAACATCTTTATGTTCAGCAATAATACGATGCAAAGGTTTTATTGTTGTTGAAGATAATTTTGCTTCTTCACCTTGAGCTTCCGCCAACTGATCAAGTTCCTGTAAAGTAAATGTTCAACGTTTTGTTTTCAACTTGTATATTAGATAAACTTGAGTTTCCAACCGACAAAAAGCAATGAATATGTAGTTATTTGGTTTATCTGGATATAAATACAGTGAAAAATCCATTATACTTTTGTGAATTTCAAAAAAAAACAGCGCTAAATGTTCCCATTGGTGTAACCACAAAGTATCTCGAATAATTGCAATTTAGGCTGCTGATATAACTAAGTATACCTGAAATTTGACTGTCAGTAAATCCTTATCCGACAAGCAAATGTGCTTAAATAATGCTTTCTTTACCAAACTTTATATACAAGATCTGGTAGGAGGAAATAGCGTAAATTTCATTGACAAACTTCGATTATCTTCTCTGCCACTTACCTATCACTAACATATTCTAAATTCTGGAATAATCTATTGTAGACTTTATCTAGCTGGGTTGAGAAGACAATAATTCTTTACTGCTATTATCTTGATGCCTAAAATCTCATCAGTTTACCATCACTGAACGGAAGAGACTACCTTGATTGAGAATGGAAATTTAAAACGCTAGATCCTGAAGGCCTCTAAGTAACAATGCGTGAAACACTATCTGCTATGATGGTGTCAATTTTTTCTAGAAAGATTCTTATTAAAAAGCTTTGATTGCTTTGTTCTGCACTGTCTCTGACCCTTGACGCATTTTTGCTACGTGGTAAATCTGTGTCTATATTAAGTTAAATATGATTGATTACCATTCGAAGCATTGTTGCTTTTGTGAAGTCATTAGTTTTGTTGATCATCCGAGAACACATGTTCACGTGAATCAGTCACCAACAGGCAACTGAAGTTGCCCTCACTGAGTGGCGTTGATACAAACCACCAAAAAAGTATTTGTTTTCTCATAGTCGCAGATATGTCATGCTGATAAAAACTAACAAGCATGAAACTTAGGTCCAGGGATTCTTGTCGATTAACACTAACCAAATACGACACTAAAATAGGTCGTTGTACTGCGCGAAATCAATAAGTTATTGTTTAGTAGACTGGATTTATGTAGCAATTTACTTGGTGGATAGCAAAGAAATCTATGACGTACGTTTCATCCTGTTTAGGACCCGTCATCTGCATGTACCCACACTGCAGTAAATGGTGGTTCACCCATAAAGACTCGAACGCAGTGGTCATCGCTTCGGACTCCAGTGGAATCACCATTACTCACTGGAAGGCAGGTATATACAACTGACGAGTTTCAAGAAGGGTGAAAGGCGCATCCTGAATCTTACTAGTAGCCACCAAGTAAGTTACAACAAAATGAATATTTAGACGGTATCGAGGCATCTGCACAGTAGCCAGTGTGCCAACAAAGGTCGTCTCCTGCTTTTGTGTGCTGAACATGTCCACTTACAATTCAGTGACACCGTTTATATGAGCAAGTTGACGGTGTGGCTTTAGAAGTCCATTAGGACCAGTAATGGAGTACACCTTCATGTTACGCTTAGAAAATACCGGCCTAAAAACTGCAGACGACCAAACCATGCTTTTAAAAATGTTGATGATACCTTTATTATCTGTGAAAAAGTGCAACAATCAAGGAAGCTGCTTCAGCATTTTAACAATACGCACCATAGTATTATGTTTACAACAGAATGTGAAGAGGAGCAGCAACTAGATTTTTCGGACTTATTTTTAAAACGTGACAGAGAGAAGCATTCACCACAAAAAATATATAGTCAAATAGTGCTAAAATTGAACTGGTTAGTAGGCCAATGATCAAGAGAATATTTTTTTAATAATAAAAACTCGGTTTGTCGCAGGATTAGATTCCGTCAGTCACAAATCAGTATGAATATCTTATTGTTAATCAGACTATGATGTTATTATTGTAAAAATAATCACGATGTCAAACGCAGTGTGCACAATATGAGTGTATTTATATCAGTTAGCATATTGATGTTCTATAAATGTTAATACACGGTGGTAAGAAGAATCTGTTTATGCATGTACGATCTTCAGAATGTATATAAAGTTCACCAGTTAAAGAGGGAACCTAGGCTTCTCTTTCTGAATGAGTTTGTTCAAATAGAGTCTATCACATAAACTCCGAGTAATGCTTGCTGAAAAAGCTGTGGCTTATAAATCACAATGTTCAGAAAAATCTTATTTTAATTTTTCTTAACAATCTAAAATCACAATGAAACACATTTATACAACAGTTAAATCAGACTTGGCGCAAAAACTTTTCCAGGACATTTGTAAGAACTATCATCTGGACGTTTTTTAGTCACATGCCAATCTATTTGGGTAAATTCCATGCGGAAACAGGAAAAATTTGTTAAAAATTTAGGGTTGCAGAGTAGTTAGATAATATTCAGGCTGATCTTAAGATTTCACTAGTCACACCAGAATGATCTACACACCGAGCAGCCCTTTCGCTTGTTTAGGGTCAAGCTCTTCAGAAGCAGATGGACAGGTATATTCCAAAAAGGCTGATCAAACTATTTCGTCTCCGCTCACACTCTTCAAACCTCAGTAGTTTTCCAGCTCCCATCCAAATGTGGTATCAAGAGGGTTTTCATTGAAAGCCACAGAATCCGGTTAGTTGATTTGGAAGGACCGGCATATTTTGAATAGTATGATCAATTTGCAACTAACTGACAAATTGCAAGGTCATGCTGATATTTTTCAACCTGAGTAGTTTATTTTTCTACTGCCTATGAATACCTTATCGATATTATAGTTGGGTATTTGAAAACCACTAATCAGTTATAAGCAATGCCAACGAGGATCATGCAATTTCTAAATAATTTTTTAACTGATCGAGTAATTTACTTTCGAGAACTTAAATTTGGGTTTGAAGACTTCACTTCATATTTAACATTATATATTTAAGCAATCCACTCAAATATCTCTCAGAGTATATTACGTGGATAATATACAGATCAATCGAAATTATCCTGCCTCTCAAGTACATCAGATATACAGTTTAACAATACTTACTTTCTGTTGTTGTTTTTGCGTCAGTAACATATGTTTCCATGGTTGGACATTTTGTGCCATCTTTAGAATAATTGACATTGCTTTATTTAACCCAGTCTGTAATTCATCCAACGACGGCTGCATAACAACATTTGGTATTGATAGAATAAGATTAACTCTAAATAATGGTGTTATTTTCTCATCTTTTTCATGACTCCTTTCCTGGTGAAATTTTAATGATGTTGGCTGAATTCTTAATTTTATAAACTCTAATGTGTTTCGAGTACCTTTTATAAATTAAAGCAAAAGAATTATAGATTTGAAATGAGTAGATAAAGGATATCCGAGAAATTGTATGATGGCTTTGATTAATAGTAAGTCAACACATGTTTAAATTCAAGAATTATTGGACAGTCGAACTTCGTACTACTATGTAACTGCTTTTTTCGGCATGTGATATATGTAGGTAGGTAGGTAGGTAGGTAGGTAGGTAGGTAGGTAGGTGAAATAAATGCTGCAAAGGTAGCTCATTTGTTCATTTTATAGACGAAAACGTACAAGTTCCTAATAATTGGTCACATAAAATTACCGACTGAACAAAATAAGAAACTGTCAGTTTTTATTATCTAGGTTGTTAATCAATCGGTATCCACAGTCTAGCAACTACGTGATTGCTGTGGTATTAAATTGCATTATGCGAGTTATGCTACATCATCAATTGTTGAGTTTTGAAACAGCCACCAGAGGATAACGCTTTGACGTTTTAAGCGAAGGGTAGTGGGTTCAAGTCTCAGTGGGAACAACACCACTCACTGAGGTGCAGCTACATCCAGCTAACGAGTCCTAAATAGGACGAAACGCAGATCCTGGATTCCAGGTGTTAGTCACCAAGATTAATATGCCCACCAGTAAAGCTAACCATGAAAACTTCCATGCTGACCTGTTCACTTAAGTCAGGTTTTCTAAAAGAAGTAAAACATTTTCGGAGGTATCCCAAAACGGGACAAAACCATTGTCTATAACGTCACAAGTTTCATTGCCCATCCCAAGGTTACCAGCTTGTAATAACGGTTGCTTTGACGTAGAATCGGTTAGATAGAATTTGATTTTCTTGTTTCTTTCTCGGGTAGGCTTTTTGCTTTTTTTTCAATTGGGTGGTTTGTCATGCTGACTTCATTCTACCTTTAACTAATACCGATATGCACATATCACTATCCCGTAGAATACGGTATATTCCTTTTTCTGAGTTTGTTTTTAGAGCATGTATGTGGTTTGAACTTTAACAACTCAGTTCCTCTATCAAACTGCTTTCCAAATTCCAACCATTCACATCGTTGATACTTTTGTTTTACTATTTTATAACTTCTTTGAAAGGTGTGTTTATAAAGGAACGAAGACAGAATGATGAAAAATTGGTTCAGTGATACTTCAACTGATTATTTTATTATTTAAAGACACTATATATATATATATATATATATATATATATATATATATATATATATATATATATATATATATATAAAGCACAAACAAAATATAAAAAATAAAAACAAACTTATTCCTCCCTAAAATTGCAGAGACGAAATGACGCCGATTGGTGAAAGCCTGCCTTCAAAAAGCCAATTAACCGATGTGTCTCCTCTCGATGAAAGCGAAAGTAAACATGGGGACATGCAATGTCTGCACAATGTTTGAGGCTGACCGGCGAGGCTGCCCAGATTGCAAAAGAGATGAGGAGGTATTACATGGAAGTGCTTGGAATCTGCGAAAGCAGGTGGAATGGGAGTGGACTCTCCAAACTGTCAACTGGAGAATCAATAATCTACTCAGATATTGTCTGTCACCCAAACGACAACCATGAGCACACTGAGTTTTGGAATGGCTATCATGATATCCAGACCAGCACTGAAGACTGTCTCTCAAGCAGTGGGAACCAATCTCTTCCAGCATCAGGGTCATGACAGCAAGATTCAACTCAATAGAAAGGAAGGTCACAATCACACAATGTTACGCACCTACAAATAATGCAGATGAAGAGAAGAAGGAGGAATTCTACAGACAACTGCAATCAACACTGGACAAAACCCCACCCCAGTTGGCGATGGCTACATCAAAATTCATTCTGATGCGTGGGGTAACATGAATGGTAAACTGGGAACAGACAGCACAGGGAGAGAACTAACCATGGGACGAGAACCGCTCGGTGAGGTGATGAAAGAGGATGGAGAATTGTTTGCAGAATTCTGTGCATTCAACGATTTGGTGAATGGAGGCAAGGCAGCGTGTTTAAGCACAAGGATATTCACAAGCCAGTGACATGGATTTCACCAGACACCAGGACACAACTAAAATCAGATCGACTTCATCTCAATCTCAAGAAAATGGAGACGCAGTCTACTTCACACAAGGGCAAGAAGAGGAGCAGATGCAGGTTCACACCACTCACTATCTAGTGCAAGGAACCTTCCAAATCCAGTTAAAAGCCTTCAAGGAAGCTGGTGATAGACCTCAATTCAAGTAAAACACTCGGAAACTGAAGGATTAAACTACAAAGGAGATCTTTAAGGCAGCCATCAAGACAAAATGGGAGATATCGAGGAACATCCCTGAAGAAACCTGTGTGGAAGAACACTGGAAGTCTTTGAAAGCTATGTGGAAAGAAACCTGCACAACAGTATTAGGAAGGAAGAAGAAAGAAGATAAGGAATGGATCTCAATGGATACATGGAAGCTGATCGAGGAGGGAGAGGAGGATGGTGAAACAGAAGATAAACCAGTGCAAGGATGCTCAAAGACAAGAGGAACTAACAGCAACTTATAAAACACTACACTGGACAAAGGAGTGAAGAAGAGTGCACGCAAAGACAAAACACACTTCCACGACACACTGGTTAGTGAATCAGAACAGGCTGCAGGTAAGAGAGACCTGACGACATTGTATCAAATAACTAGGAGAGGAGAGATCAACACAGATGTAACCAATAAAAGATGATGAAGGAAATATAATTACCAAAGAGGAGGAACAAAGGAATCGATGGACTTACCACTTCTAAAAACTCTTGAATTGACCACCACCTGCACTTCATCCAGAAATACCACCTGCAGCCACAGAACTACAAGTGAACATAAATCCCTCAACAAAAGTGGAGGTCCTGAACGCCATAAAGCTACTGAAATGTGGGAAAGCAGCAGGACCAGATGGAATCCCACCAGAAGCACTGAGAGCAGACGCAGAGACAACAGCGGACATGCTCACACCACACCACCATTGCGGAAGGTATGGGAGGGAGGGAAGGTACCTGGTTAGTGATTAGAAGAAGGGTTACCTTGTCAAACTCCTGAATAAGGGAGACCTCAGTGTTTGCAAGAACTGGTGCGGAATCACTCTCCTGTCCACCCGAGGCACACACGAGGATGTCAAAGCCAGCCAGGATCGGAAAAGCAAGAGAGGCATTCATTAACCTGAAACAAGTGTGGGGATCTTCCACACTCAGCATAATGCGTGAACAAGATCCGGATTTTCAACTCCAACTTCAGTCAAGTCAGTGCTTCTATATGGTTCAGAGACTTAGCGCGTTACGAAAGGGATTTCCAATAAGTTACAAACATTCATCAACAACTGCTTACGCTCGTTACTGAAGATCAGATGGATTGCCAGAATAATAAGAATAAGCAACAAGGAACTCTGGCTGGCTGGCAACGAACCAACCAAGAACCTATCACCCAACAAATATGCACTGGAAGGAAGTGGAGATGGATGGGATTGGGCATACACTGAGAAGGCCGACTGGGGACATCACGCACCAGGGGAGGTACTCACGTGGAACCCCCATGGGAAGCGACGAGTTGGATGTCCTAGGGTGACATGAAGGAGATCGTGTGAGGAGGAAATGAGAGCTTGTGGGGTGTTGTGGAGCCAGGTTCAAAAGATTACAGAGAACAGAGTGGAATGGAAACGTGCTACTGAAGCCCTATGTTCCATTAGGAACCCAAGGGACAAATATTAATGGTTAGTTATTGGAAAACAGAAAAATCAACCTAAAGTCTTCTATAAAGGACATTATTTTAGGCTACTATATTCCGTAGCATCATATGCAAAGGATATGTAAAGAAAATTAAGTGAACTAACGTGTTGGAAAGGATACGGGTTGAGTAAACTCTTGGAATTCGGAAGATGATGAAGAGTGAATCAAGTCATCAAAATGTTTTAACGATTGGCTCTGAAAGTTTCGAGAACTTCATCTAGGACTCCTTCCCATACGCTTCAAACCAGCAGTTATAACTTTTATAGATTGGTATCATGTTTTGGTTTCTACCAGCCGAATTTTACTCCGGTTAACACTACATATTAAGGTAGGCGGTGGCCTGAAATCCTAGACACATCTCCGTGGTTTAATGGATAAAGGGTTAATCAACAACTGAATACAAATTACTGGATAAAAATGAGGTCATCTAGCATAAAAACTAATGCTTACATTTAATTAATGCCTCTGTATTACGCTGTGTGAACTGATTTAAAAATGTAAAAAATACACATGGTTTACATTCAAGGCATCTTCCTCGACGTTTATCTTGTGATATACATTCGTAGCCAGATTCTGAACATAGATTTTTCAAATCATCTTCATCCATTTCTGCTTTAATGAGATCCAACATTTCGTTCACAGCCATTTCTGCAAGGTGACTTTTACTATGAGAAAGAAAGTAAAAACGAATTTCTTTCTGTTTCGAAACGCTTTATTGAATATTCTCACTTAGTTTAAATGTAATGATTTGCCTTTTGCATGTTTAGTCAGCTGATAAAATAAAATAACTGTTCATTATTTTCATGAGTCAAAATGTATTCTAATATTCAACTAGGATAGTCAAAGGATCTTAGCAACATGTGGCTTTGAAATATTGCTTCATAAATCACCAACAAGTAGTGATTTTCAAGCATCTTACTTCGGTGTCTAATTCTGATAGCTGTTCAATAACAGCCGCTTTTTGAAAGTCACAAAATAAGATGAGAAAGCCGTCCTACTCTCAGACTTTTATGTTCTCCCTTAATAAATAACAGTGATGTAACTTGTCCTCAAATTACAATCAAATCATACAGCGATAAAATTAGATTATGTTTATTGGCTATCTAAAAGGTTGTGTAGTGATAAAATTTAAGGGTATCTGTTCATCGTAATTGTCATCACCATTATGTAGGCGTATGACAGACAACTGGTCTGTTCAGTTGTAAGCCAAAGAAACAGAGTTTGATGTAGAGTTTCGAATGGCAAATAGAAATTCACGAAGTTATAAAAAGGTAGTTGATACCGATGTAAATATGCTACGGAGATATCATATAAATAGTTCTCTGCACACAAAATACCATAACACATAGTATGACGTCCTGTGGAACAGCTGAAAGGTAGTTTTCGAAGAACTAATTCATCAAAGATCAGGAGCATTGTTTAGTTAAATCTCTTTCCGAAAGGCGAAATCCCTCTTCATATAAGAACTCACTGGTATTTCCAGCTATTAATTTATAGCTTTAATACATTTTGATATCGTGATCGCAGAATTTCTGGAGTTCGAGTGTATAAGTATAGGGATTTGGTCAACAGGAAGCTCTAGGTTTTGTGCTTGCGAGTACTCGCCAGCACGACACATTTGCAGCCTCAAGGGAATTATTATCTCTTTAAAAATTTCAACCTTCGTAACTATGTCCTGTAGTTAGAGGTATCACGAATTAGCTACTAAAGCCGAAACTGACCCGTGTACAATTGGATTATCAGCACTAATTGGTCAGCATTGGGTAACCGATGTGGCCGTCTATTTCAGAGTGGTTGGGACGTATTGAAATCTATCAGTCATTTTTCTCAATGTAACCACTTAGGTATTTCTGTTCTGTAATGATGGCAAATACTAAGTTTTAAAGACGAAAAAGCATTCAAATACGACATGTCTTTATACGAATTCACGAAATTATTTACTCTTCATTGTTGATATCAGTGTCTTTTAATAATAACTTTTACCCCCATATTCTCAAACTGGTTATTTCACTCTTCCATAGAAGAACTAAAGATATTAGGTATCGTCTGACCACTTAAACCATGCACGTATTTTATTCTTAAAAAGAGAACTTTAAACTTGTCATTGTATACACAGATTCTTCATTGCCGCATATTTGTCGTTACCAGCTAACTTTCCCCAATCAGAAATTGAATCTCATATTCCACACTTACTTCTATACGTATAAAATATTGTTTTTGGCCTCACTCAATACGAATTATTAATTTATTTATGCTCCAAAAGCTGTGGCAGTTTAACATTCGTAGGTCACACCTTATGCAGAGGATAAATTCCAGTTCGGAATTTAAGTCTAAAGATTCTTCCTATATATCACAATCTAATACGTCTTTTCACCAGAAAAGTCGTCAAACAGATCAGAGTCCTGAAACCAACAATTATGTGATCAGGCTGTAATCATCAATGACCGCCTTCTGTAGAGTAAGCTCTTGCAGTGCGGAGAACGTAAGGGATAGAATATTTCAAAGTTACAGGTGATGAAAATGATCACCAGTTTCCCTTTTTCTCTTGTTAATATAATAGGATTCACACTTTCATCCAAAATAAATTGCAAATCTTCCTTTTCGTAATATAATAATGAGGAAATGGCAGGATTAATCAGATGCACTGTGAAAACATGTAATGTAGCACAAAATCTGCAATTAAACTAACAGAGACAAACTTTCAGCAGCATATGCAACAGTGGTTTCAGTTATCTGAATGAATTCATCTAAGGTGACTTGGTCATCTTCTGGCAGATCACATAAACTTGTTGAAGCCATATCTTCAAAAACGTCTTCAATTCGACAGTTTAAAATGTCTGTTGTGCGTTTAATTAAAAGTTGTAGGCTGTCAAGTTCATTACGAACTTTTTCCTTGACTAAAGAAAAACGACAGCATTAAAATAAGCACAAATTAATTGACGTAAAAAACATGAAAAGCATTCAAGTTTAACGTTGATATCACAGGGATAAGCGCTGAAAATTGAATGTCTTATACCATATTAACACTTCCCAGTTCGACCTCTGACAATTATTTTTCAAACTGGACAGGTAAATACTGAATTCTTTTCTGTTAGTCAGTCAACTTTTGGTTTAGTTTCCTATTTATCAATTAATGTGGAGTGTAACCGCCATTGATTAGTGCTTAATTTACTTCACAAGATATGATTTATAATAAAACATTTTATAAACATTTTTCAGATCAGTTACTAGGGCGTGTCAACACCTGTTTAAATGACGACCAAAAATTTAATGGGGAATGCTAATGAATTCATCTAGCCTGGTGATGAAACATCCAAGAACACACCTCAAAGAACACGGAACACCAAAAATTACCATCCTTTTCAATCTCATAGCCTGGAAAGCAAACAATATCATGTTGTTTAGTCCTGAGTGATGCTTGAATTCTATCAATCATTTTCGATTTGGTCACCAAGTTAGGATGCTCAGCATCATAGTCCACTTTGGTGGGAGTTTGTTGTTTGAGGCGATCAGCAGAAAGCCCTCGACCTAGGTTTCGTGCTAATTGGCACTCGTCCAACTGAAATGTTATTTGTCAGTCACGTAAATTTGTTTCCATTCATCTAAGTCTCTTATTGAACGGATAGTTTATGAGTCCCATTAGCAATCTACTGTTGAGTGAAATTGTTCAGGTAAATAATGTCTGAATTTACTTGGATGGTGTTTGTTGCGATTTATGAAATGTCACACGCACATAACTATGACAGGTAGTTGCTAAATGAACACTGTTTAGTTTTAAGTATCTTAATGGAACAAAAAAGAAACTGAAAAGCCAGGTTCAGTGTCTGCCAGCACTTATAATTAAATTGTATTTGCTAAATTAAAACCCGTCACAAAGCAGTTATGGCCTAGTTATTCAGAAAGGAATCGGTGGTGTACTGTGTCAATGAATATGTCTGCAGCTGATAACTAAGTGATAGTATTCTCGTCTTCGATGATGATCATATCGCACCATCGACAAAAATATTTACTGTGGTTACTAAGAGAACTGATAAGATATCGTGGACGTATAATTTATTACCCCCTGGAACTTCACTTTTTTATTCCACATCAAATTCATCGATCCCTGTTAGCAGATGGGTATCCATTGTTTTAATTCACTTAGTGGTGGCTGGCGCTGTAGTCTGGAAGGTGCTTTCCGTTCCATTTAGAACTCGTCAGTTGTGAGTGTTGTTCCCATTGAGACTGAAGCCCAACACCCCTCACTTCAAATACCAAAGCGTTATCCACTAAGTCACTGAGGAAACAAGAAATTCGCAAGATAATAAATAATCAGGCAATATTGAGACATTCATACTGGAGCCCATTTGCCAACGTAGGTCGGTCAGTTTGATTTAGAATAACAACGGGGAATTGTAGGGGGCAATAAATAATAAGTGATACCTGTTGTACAAGAAGCTTATCTTGTGCTTCACTGGCTTAGTAGGTAACGCTTTAGTGTTTGAATCGGTTCGCTGGGTTCAAGTCTCAGTGAGAACAAAATCACTCACTCAGATGTAGGTGGATGCAGTTGACGAGTCCCAAATAAGAAAAGAGCATCCCGGATTCCACTGCTAGCCACCACCAACCAAATTAGGGATACAATTTGTAGCTTTTCTGCATGTATCATCTTAAGACACGAATGAATGTATTTTATATGAACTATGAACAAGATTTGATTGAACAGTATCACAAGTATTGGACACATAGTGAAAAAGTAGACCAGATACATCGGCTGTTTTAGGGAAAATCTCAGTGTTCTAAATAATCTGAAACATTTCCCTGAAGAAGCTACAAACAGATTTATGTGCGAAACGTTGAAATTAGTTTATTTCACACATTCTGAGATTGATTCAAATGCAGCTTGTATTTAATTAGGGTATTTGGGATAAATTTTAACTTACATGTATCTATGCTAGTTGAATTCCAGTTCAAGAGGTAAATACCCGAGCTGAGAGCTTGACATATTCGATTACGGAATGGTTGGAATAAAGGTAGCACTACACTGGGGACAGATGACCAGGTTTCTTCAATTTCATTGAGTAGTTCTTGCAACCTATAATAAAAAGAAGGAAGGAAACATATTGTCTGAACTAATTTTTATTTTGCAGCTTGTCAGAATAGAGTATGTCAGATAAATAGCTGTGAGCTAAAGGACCCTATTTCATCACAGTAATCAGAATGAGAGAGCAATGCCCAAGATAAGTCGCTTGGTTGCTATGATCTTGGCTTTTCAGTTTGATCAAACAGTCTGAATGTTCATGTTCTATGAAGAAAATTTAACCGGAAATTATTCATCTAAAAAAACTGTTTCTTCACTGCATTCGTCTTCTGCCTTTTTCTACGTGTGATCAGATGGGTCTATCCCAATATTCGAATTATAACTGAATTGAAAATTGTCAGAAGTAAACTGGATCTCAACATCTTCGACATCTTCATTACCCATCCACTAGACTACGAAAAGATTTATCTTTAAAGTTGTTTTCAAAACAAGCTGTCGAAGAAATGGTTGAGGAGAAGTAGCTATTTTCTACATTGTTCACTTGGGTTATAATTCTACCGTAAACGTTGTTGTACTGCTGTTTTAAATCCAGTAACTCATCTACACATCTGTTAGAGAAATATAATAACCGAACTAAGTGACCAGGCAATGTGCTGTAGTGAATTTGTTACTGAACGAGAAGAGGGAATCAATAAAATGCCAGGGTGAAAAATATGGCTGCAAAAGCTTCATGAAGATGCTCTTCTTAATTTCAGCAGCGAAAGAGATTCGTCTAAATTTTTAAAGGGAAGCGCACAGTTTCATAAATGCATTGTTTGTACTTTTAAAGATTTCTAAGATGAATAAAGTTCAATTGGTTTATGGTCTTCTACCAAGCACCTCCGATTTTTACCTGAATATACTGGTGAGGTGTCACCGATGCTCCGATAAATAGGTGCATATGTATGTATTTTTGAGATGAAAGGGGATTTTAATTTAGAAGTATTATTCAGCATGGACCGATATCAATTAGGGAACCATTAAAAATCCGGGAGCACTGGACAGCTATTTCATCTTAGTACGGGATTCCTCAGCAGTACGCACCCACGACCTGGCTAGGGGTTGAACTCAGGATCTTCAGGTTTCACGGCAAAAGCGTTAACCATTCAGCCACTGTGTTGGTTTTCAGTGGTTCACGATTTTCAACTTCTGTCAATTCACGATATAGAGCGACTATCACCCAAGTTCTTCAGTTAACATCCGCGTTCGCCGTGAAACCTGAAGGTCCTGAGTTCAACCCCTAGCCAGGTCGTGCGTGCGTGCTGCTGAGGAGTCCCATACTAGGACGAAACAGCTGTCCAGTGCTCCCAGATTTTCAGTGGTTCCCCAACTGATGTCAGTTCATGATGCATGCATATATATATATATATATATATATATATATATGTCGGGAGAGAGAAAGAGACCAACAGACAGACAGAGATTAGCAGGGATTTTAGTTTGGAAGAGGTATTCATCATGGAGTGATATCAGTTGGAGAACTACTGAAAACGTGGAAGCACTGGAGAGCTGTTTCGTTCTAGTAAGGAGGTCCTCATCAGTATGCACGCACGACCCAGTTAGGGGTCAAACTAAGGACCTTCACATTTCACGGTGAACGCGTTAACCATTCAGCCGCTGGTTCTGGGGCTGAATTTAGCCCGTGATGAATATTGCCCCGGAATATATATATATATATATATATATATATATATATATATATATATATATATATATATATATATTCCAAATCTTTACTACAAGCAGTTAAAACTTACGTATTATGTCTTTGTTTAAGCATAGTTTCTTGAATCAATAAACGAGCAGCCACTACTGGGATGTTCAAACCTAAACTTGACATATATCGAGCTTCATGAACTAACTCCAATATGGCAATATCCAAATTTACATGGTAGCGTTCTGTATCAGCATTCCGTATAATTAGTGACGACGACAAACTAGAGTGTACATTTTCAATAGTTTGACACCAATGATGATAATAAATTAATTCAAATTGAACAAGTGCTTCTGCGATGCGATTAAAATTCTTCACACATTTTTGACCTTCCTGTCCCTGTGGAATGGAATATGAATCGATGTTATGTCACAAGTGTAAAAATTGAGACAAATAATTAATTTAAAAAAGTCAACATATTTTTGTCAGGCGACTGAGACAGAATTAACTGAATTCTGAAACACCCTTGGGTTTACCAAAAGGTATCTAAGTGTTCACCACTTAGCATAAACGTTGCGTTCCTAATCCCAAAAGGAGAGTGGATGGTAAATGTTGAGGTTTCTCATTGCAGTACATAACAACTCTTCAATATTTTTCAATTTTCAGTGGTGTACAAACTTTCTCGGAACACAGGGAGATGAATATTGAATTTACTTTAGAAGGTAATCCATTTACAGTCTGACTGTTAACTCAGTAACTTTGTATAGCACCGGCTAGTACAGAATGATAAGTAACCACTTCCGGTATCCCCCATACTGCCCTGTAAGCTAATGTGGTACTGCAGGTTAAAAATATGACAAAAAAATGAAGAGTTAATTAAAATTACTGTAACAAATACTCATTTCACACACTGTTTATGTGGAATAATCACCACTAGCGTCAGTCAGGCTACATAAAACCTATATAACATGTCAGATACCGGCAGTGCAATTAACGTTTTTCTAAGTCAAAATTTTGCTTAGAAAATGGAGATATCTTGATAAATGATAGCGTTGCATCTATAACTTTATTTTATCTCTTGGATGATGATTTTATTAAACACCGTTCAAAATACCTTCAAAATAAATAATTTTTTCTTGACATGTTTTGGATACTTGTATCAGAAATGACATCTCACTATCGTGTATCTATTATTATTATTATTAGTCCCTTGGGTTCCTAGTGGAACATAGGGCTTCAGTAGCACGTCTCCAGTGACCTCTGTTCTCTGAGATCTTTTGAACCTGGTCCCACGACAGCCCACAACCTCTCATTTCCTCCTCACACGACCTCCTCCATGTCACCCTCGGACGTCCAACTCGTCGCTTCCCATGGGGATTCCACTCGAGCAACTGGCCTGACGCGTGATGTCCTCAGTCGGCCTTCCCAGTGCATGGCCAATCCATCTCCACTTCTTCCTGCATATTTGTTGCGTGATAGCTTCTTGGTTGGTTCGTTCCCAGAGTTCCTTGTTGCTTATTTTTTCTGGCCATCTGATCTTCAGCAGCGAGCGTAAGCAGTTGTTGATGAATGTCTGTAGTTTATTGGAAATGCCTTTCGTGACGCGCCAAGTCTCTGAGCCATACAAGAGCATTGACTTGACTTTGGTGTTGAAAATCCGTATCTTGTTCCGCATGCTGAATGGAGTGCAGAAGATCTCCACACTGGTTTCAGGCTAATGAACGCCTGTCTTGCTTTTCCGATTCTGACTTTGACGTCCTCGTCTGTGCCTGTACCGCCTGTAGTTGAAACAGTGCTTCCTAGATAAGTGAAGGAGGTTACTTCCTTCAAGTTTCTCCCGTTGACGGTGATTGGAGTTTGTTGTTGTTGTTGTTGATGGTGGTGGTGCGGTATCTTCATCACTTCTGTCTTCTCTATATTCACCTGAAGTCCCGTCTTAGCTGCCTCTTCTGCCATCTTGTTAGTTTTTGCCTGCAGATCTTCAAGTTTGTGTGACATTAGGCATAAGTCATCGGCGAAATCCAAGTCTTCTAGGTTCTTTTCCGTCGTCCAGTGTATCCCCCTCTTCACGCTCCTCACTGTTTGCTGCATGATCCAGTCCACCACAATCAAGAATATCATGGGGGATAGTAGGCAACGTTGTTTCACTCCTGTCTTCACTTCAAAGGCATCACTGAGCTTCCCAATGTGGATTACTTGGCATGTAGCATCTTCATATAGTTGTGAATGAGGCTGATAAAGGTTTGCGGTACTCCGTAGTATTGAAGCAGTTTCCAAATTACTTCTCGGTCGACGCTGTCAAAGGCCTTCTCAAAGTCGATGAAGTTGAGGTATAGAGCTGATTGCCATTCTACGCTCTGTTCTATGATGATACGAAGCGTTGCAATTTGGTCTGCACATGATTTGTACTTCCTGAAGCCTGCCTGTTCCGGTCGTAGTTTTGAATCCAGTGCATCCCTTAGCCTCTCCAGGATGATGCGGCTTAATATTTTGCTTGCTTTGGGTGGACAGGAGAGTGATTCCGCACCAGTTCTTGCAAGCACTGAAGTCTCCTTTCTTCGGCAGTTTGACAAGGTAACCCTTCTTCCAATCGTGTGTCTAATATGATAAAAAATTAGTAAATTGCCTAAGTAGAGTCATGAGAACTTCTACTTCATATCTTACTGAAGAAGTCAAACAAACTACAATTACATAAGTGCAAGAACCACTGGAAGCCTGAGATCACTGAACAGCCGGTTTCGTCTTAATGTGGTACACCTCAGCAGTATGCACCCATGATCCCTCTACAGACCGAACTCAGGACTTTCAGCTTTCACGCCAACTGCATCAACTGTTCACCCACTTGGTCTTAGTGCAGTGGTTCACAGTTTCCAACTTGTGTTAATCAGCAACATGACGTGACTATCATTCGAGGTCTTCAGTCGGTATCCCTTCACTTCCAAATGGTTGAACCCACTGGTTACTTCTAATCAGATCTTCAGAATATCCATTTGAAAGCATGTCACTAATGGAAATTATTATTATTATTATTATTTTCCCTTGGGTTCCTAGTGGAACATATGGCTTCAGTTGCACGTCTCCATTTCACTCTACTCTCTGCAGTCTTTTCAACCTCACTCCACAACTGCCCACAACCTTTCATTCATTCTCCACACAATCTCCTCCATATCACCCTCACCTCGGACGCCCAACTTATCCTTCCCTCTTTGACTTCTATTCAAAGGCCTGACCTGGCACGTGATGTACCCAAATGGTCTTCTCAGTGTATGCCCTATCCATTCCATCTCCACTTTCTTTTATTGCACATTTGTTCGACGATGGGTTGCTGGTTGGTTCGTCTCCAGCCAGCCAGCCAGCCAGGCAGGCAGCTAGCCAGCCAGCCAGACTTCCTTCTTCCTTATTCTTATTATTCTCACCATCTGATCTTCAGTGTCAGTATCGAGTGAGTGTAGGCAGCAGCTGTTGTTAACGTATGTTTGTAGTTTGTTGGAAATGATTTACGTGACACACCAAGTTTCTGAACCATATAGTAGAAACACTGACTTGACTGACATCAGTGTTGAAAATTCGGATCTTGTTCACGCTTTATCCTGAGTGCAGAAGATCTACACACTGATTTCAGATTAATGAAGGAAGGCATGTCTTGCTGTCTTTCCAATCCTAGCTTTGACGTCATCATCTATGCCTGTTCCACCTGTAGTTGAAACGATGCTGCCTATGTAGGTGTGTAGGTGAAGGAGGCAACTTCTTCTAGGCTTCTCCCATTCATGGTGATTAGTGCTTGTTGTTGATGCTGTTGTTGGTTGGGTATCTTCATCACCTCCACCTCTGTCTTCCCTACGTTCACCTGAGTGAAGTCCCATTCTCGCTGCCATGCCTCTTCTGTCAACCTGTTGGTTTTCACCTACAGATCTTCGAATTTGTGCCACAAGACATCGGACATAAATCATCATCGTTAGTGAAATCCAAATCTTCTAGGATCTTTTACCCGGTCCAGCCAGCATATCCCCCTCCTCTCGCTCCTCACAGTTTGCTGGATGATCCAGTCCAGTCCAGTCCAGTCCAGTCCAGTCCAGTCCAGTCCAGTCAACCACAATCAGGAAGATGATGAGTGATAGTGGGCGACAAACTTGTCTTACTCCTTCCTGTCTTCACTTCAAACGCATCACTCAACTTTCCATTGTGAATCACTTGGTATGTGGCGTCTTCATATAATTGTTGAATGAGGTGGATAAAGATTTGTGGCACTTGGTAGTCTTGCAGCAGCTGTCTGACAGATTACTTCTCAGTCGACACTGTCGAAGGCCTTTTCAGAGCCGATGAAGTTGAGGTAGAGAGTTGAGTTGACTGTCATTCTATGCTCTGTTCCATGATGATGATGATGATGATGATGATGATGCGTAGGGTAGCGTTGCAATTTGATCGGCACATGATTTGTTCTTCCAGAATCCAGCCAGCCAGCCAGCCAGCCAGCCAGTCTACTGCTGTCATAATTTTGAATAGAGAGCATTTTCGTTTTAGTCTCTCGAGAATGATGTGGCATAATATTTTGCTTGTTGTGGACAGTAGTATGATTCTCCGCCAGTTCATGCAAAGACTTAAGTGTCCCTTGTTTGGAAGTTTGACAAGGTAGCCCTTCTTCCAGTCGGTTGGCAAGTACCTTTCCTCCCTCCCTTCCTCGCTTCCCTGCAAATCTTCTGCAGTAGTGGTGTGAGCATGTCTGCTATTGTCTCTGCATCTGTTATCAGTGGTTCTGGTGGAATTCCATCTGGTCCTGCTACTTTGTCGGAGTTCATCAGTTTTATGGCGTTTCGGACTTCTACTTTTATCGGAGAGCTTGTGTTCAGTGTTAGTTCTGCGGTTGTTGGTGTTACTTATGGACGAGTTGCGTGTGTTGGTGTTGGTGATGGTGATGGTGGTGGTGGTGGTGGTCAATTCAAGAGCTTTTTGAAGTGGTAAGCCCATTGTTTCTCTTGTTCCTTCTCTTTGGTAACCAGGTTTCCTTCACTATCTTTCATTCGTTTCATGGGTGTTAACCCCCTCCTAGATAGCAACCTGGTTATTTGATTCAATGTGGTCATGTCTCTGTCTCTCCTACCTGCAGCCTGCTCTGATTCACTTGCCAATATGTCGTGGAAGTGTATTTTGTCTTGGCGTGCACTCTTTTTCACTCCTTTGTCCAGTGTAGTGGTTTATACATTGCACCCAGTTCCTCTTCTCGTTCTGCATCCCTGCACTGCTCTGCACTGGTTCATCCTATGCGTCACCATCCTCCTCTTCCTCTCCCTCTCCCTCTCCCCCTCTATCAGCTTCCATGTGTCCGTCGAGATCCATTCCTTGTCTCACCTCTTCCTCTTCTTCCTTCCTCCCTCCCTAGTAATACATTTATACAGGTCTCCTTCCACATAGCTTTCACAGCACAGACTTCCAGTGTTCTTCCACACAGGTTCCTTCACAGATGTTGCTCAATATCTCCCACTTCGTCCTGATGGCTGGCTGGCTGGCTCACTGACGTGAAGATGTCCTCTGCAGTTTCATCCTTCAGTTCACTTTCTGTCCTCGGTGGGTGTTCAACTTGAACTGTGGTCGTTTATCACCAACTTCTTTGAAGGCTTTCAAGTAGATTTTGCATGTAGGTTGTTTGCACTGGATAGATAGTGAGTGGTGTGAACCACCTACATGTGCTCCACATGTGCTTCTTCATCTGATCTTGTGTCCAGTGGTCTGCTTCTCCATCTCCATCTCCATCTCCACTTTCTTCGTATTGAGATGAAGTTGATCAAAGTTGTTCAGTGTAGAGTGTGTGTGTGTGTGTGTGTGAGTCCCCTTGTGTCTGGTGAAATCCATGTCACTGGCTTGTTAATATCCTTGTGCTTAAACATACTGCCTCACTGTAATCACTAAATGGTTGAATGCTCAGAAGTCTGCAACACAACTCTCCTTTCTCGTTGATCACCTCACCGAGCGGTTCTCGACCCATGATTAGTTCTCTTCCTGTGTTATCTGCTCCCAGTTTGGCATTCATGTCACCCCACCCATCAGAATGAATTTTGATATTGCCAACCGAGTTGGGGTCTTGTCGGGTGTTCATTGCAGTTGTCTGTAGAATTCCTCCTTCTTCTCTTCATCTGCATTATTTGTAGGTGCGTAGCGTAGCGTAGCATTGAATGCTTGTGACTTTCCTTCATTTTGAGTTGAATCTTGCTGTCATGACCCTGATGCTGGATGAGATTGGTTCCCACTGCTTGAGAGACAGTCTTCAGTGCTGGTGTGGACATCATGATAACCACTCGAAAACTCAGAGTGTTCGTTTGGAGAGTCCACTTCCATTCCATCTGCTTTTGCAGATTCCAAGTACTTCCATGCCATACCTTCTCATCTCTTTTGCAATCTGGGCAGTCTTGCTAGGTTCAAACCTAGTGTGGACATTCCACATCCACATCCCTACTTTCGCTTTCATCGAGAGAAGTCACATCAGCTGACTGGCTTCCCAAAGCCAGGCTTTCACCTACCGGCGTCATTTCGTCTTCCCGATTCTAAATAGGAATAAGTTTTGTTTTGTCTGTGCTTCGAAGTTTCTGTAGCGGTTGGATTGGTTTTCCGGGGTAGGGTTGTAAGCCCTATGCGCAGCCTTGCCTCTTTATCCGGGGTTAGGACCGGCTAGTAACTAGTGAACTAGTCAACCAGGCCCATCTTTCCATGTTAAAAAGCTGAGGGTATCTAGTATAATTCAGCCACTTCTGTTGTGTTTTGTGAACTCCTGCATTTGCCTATTCTCCCCTGCTTTTCCACTTTATTCTTTCCTAGGTTGCTGAAAAAGTCTTTGCTATATTGTTTCGATCTTTGAAGATTGTCAGCAGAATTACTTGTATACCCCTAAACCTTCTAATTAAAACTGTTGTAGACAAACATATTAACTCATGTAAATATCTGGCAGGAGTCATTTTATCAGATAACCAGCATCCTCTTCACTCAAATCTCTCTACGTGTTGGTAATCAGGAGAGACTAGGAGCAAGTATATGAGACTTTATGCACGTACTGCTAAATATAAAAACTCTACAATACCATATTTAGCTCGTCCTCTGTGAGACGAATAATGTTTCAAAAATGAACTGACTCATCAACTTTATTTTTGAAAGCAAACTGATTAATGAATATACAACCTGCATTTTTTTTAATGTATTATGAATCTAATTCTTAATGTAATTCTTTATCTGAGTTAACTCTGCATCTTCAAAAAAGTTGTAGATGGAGTAAACTATTCCGATCTTTAGTATGTAATTTGTACCTATTTGGTTTTGTTTTGTGTGCATGTACACTATTCTGTCCACTTGCGGATACACGACATGCTGTACAGTATTCCCGAATTATCTTTCAGAATAAAGCCATTATGATTATGATTATTATTCATAAAAGTTTAAAGTGAACATGCGTACACCTTTATGTTTTACTATAAACCACATCATGTCGACCACCAGTCACTTATTCCTAACGTCTCCAGAACTCTAGCCGGGAATCCTGAACTGAAATATAGGGTGAGAGCCGACAGTTAGTGACTTTATAGTGGCATGGTTTGATTGGTTGACGAGGTTGTAAACCGTTATCGACTGGGATGGCTTAAATATGTACTGGACATGTTGAACCACCTTCTACCTCGACTTGCTATGCTAGGAGAAGTTGGATTAAGTAAGAAGAGAGTTCAAGGTGGCCAGACCAAGAGGTGGGACCAGTCAACGAAGTCCCTCACTGTTGGGTTGAGATGTAGACTGCCTTGTTGCGGTCCCAAGAAGAAAGGAACCAGTGGTTGAGGGCACTTGGTGACATGGCTGGAAATTGGTCACAAAGTACCCACTCTTTGACATCTTCTAAAGCTTGAGTATTTTCACTAACATTTAACTTCAAATTGTTTATTCTGTCACACAACTTTGCCTATTCTGAAACCACTCTTTTTCTCTGCACCTGTTGTTTGTGTACTACCGTGAAGTGTGACAACTTAAACCGATGTACTCGTGTGCGAGGTTCCAGGTTAATTTTGTCTGTTTGTCTGTCTTGGTTTAGTCAACATAAGCTTTTCTAAAACCCTGTCCTACTACTGGTATTATCTCGTGTGAACTAAGAAAGTAAGATTACACTAATTTCAGGTTGCAGTTAGAGCAAAACGTTACCGCGAAACATTTTCCTACATCTTTACTCCCCCTATATTTCTGAATTTTCTTTCTTTTCTTTCAACCAATGAAGCTTAGTATGCACCCTCTCACTCACCAAGCGACCAATCAAGCTACTCTCAAGCAAAATAATCACATAATAAATATCTATCTTATAAGGTGTATTTTTGTTAACTCGGTGCCCAAGTTTTTTCAAACCGCCGAGTCCATTGTTAGTCAGGATACCTTCAAACTTATTTCTAACCAATATCCAGGTAAAAACCAATTGCTTCACCTCATCATGAAGCTCTGACATACTGATGATGGTGTCTAGTATGACACTGAAACGTTTGGCAGTCAAAATCCTAACGAAAAAAAACAATTCATTCAGAACATCCACACCATGAACTACAATTACAAAACAGTTTTCTTCAAGAAGGTTAACATTATTTAATAATAGGACCGACGATTAAGTTAGTAATCACTTTACAACCCACCCATAATACTTCTGAACACTTTTTCTGAAATTGTTCCATTGGCCTATCAATTTGTTTGTATAAATGACGCGCCCAAAATATTTTTCCAGCGATTGGTGTCATATTTCTAGCTATTGGTGGGTCATATTTTTGTTTTTCATATAACTGGCGAATCATTTCCAGTTCATGGACATAATTTCGTACAACCAATTCATATTTTGCAGGTAAATCTAGGTTACAACCTTTAATTTGTTCAAATTTTCTAGAATTCTCAGTTGACGTTCGACCTACACCGTTTAGTTTGGTTGAAAAAAATAATTAAAAATGAACCGAGAAAATTAGAGAAAGTGAAATATGAAGTAACAATAGTGCTTTCCAAATTTTAAGAAAGTTTGACGAAACTAGCTTGGACTTTTGTTCACGTAACATTCCTTGCAGTAGCACTGTATACTTGTGTATCAGAGTGAGAATCACAGCTGTTTTAGTGGTCGCTGAGTTTCGTTGTTTGACTGTAGACGTTTCATCAATAGGTGTAGGAACTTAGTCAGCAATTTAAAGGGAATTAAAGTGAACACTGATGGAATCATCAGCCTACTGACGAAAGACCTATGACCAGATATCATAGCTTCAAGCAAATGAAGCAACCGTCATCAAACATATCTTTAGATATGCACTTTAAATAATTGTACTCCAAGATAAAGCTGGCACATGGCATACAGGAAGAAAACTAGTTGGAATCAAGTCTGTTATTATTATGGTTCCAAACTGCTATAGTAGCTAGTGATGCGCGGATATCGACTGTCAACCACCAACATTCTAGAACTGCCCAGTAGATTTTCTGACCCTGCTAATAAGTGGAGAAAACACACTGAGACGAGTAGGAATATGTAATCAGACCGAAAACCTAAACTAATCGTCAAAATGAGGAGATATCAAAACACGAATAGTCTGGCGTTCGAAAGTAATAATATTGATTGACTAGTTGTCTATCAGTCTAACTGTAGACCTAACTGACACAAAGTACATTTTGACTGGTCCATTTTCCGGACTGGTTTGTTCCATCCACCTATCAGTTATCAATATTGATTAAAATTTATCAGAAAGTCAAAAAATTCCAGTAGGATTCTTTCTCATTTCAAAGTCTTTAGAAGTGCACATCTTCGTTAGGTAGTAGTGAGTACATTTGCTCTTAACAAACCAATTAAGGAACGCCAAAAGATATGCATTCATAATACTTCAGGATTATTATAGTCACTGATTAAGAGAAGATGAAAGTGTTGAATGTTGATTTTCATGTCGGCTACTGAAGAATACTTCTCATCGTGAGATTGTCGTTTTCCAGCTCTACCTTCGGGATATTGCACATATATCTTCAGGAATACGAATCTAAACAAAAACAGATTTTCTGGATCTGCTTCTGAAAAAAGGAAACAATTTCATAGTAAAAATAGTTTGGAACTAGACTTCATGAAGTCTGTTAGATTCTTTATCAGCTCGCACAGCTTTGTTGTCTTGTGTTGATTGAAGTTTGAAAGTTTCCACTCCAGGTAGTATACTTTTCCACCAAATACTAATACCATACTAACATTATCAAGCAGTTTCATTATCTCACTGTCTAGCTTCATTTAGTCTGATTATCTGACAATCCAAAACCTTCGAAATTCACTAGATCGCAAGGTTAATTTTGCGTAAACAAGTTATCCCTCTTTAGTGAAATGTAGACCAACTGTAGTGATTTTAACCAACTTTGCGATTAAGATTCACTACGCTGTCGAGATTTCTGTACGTGGTTATTATGAAGTTCTAATTCAACACTGACAAACTACTTCAGTGAACATAAATTCTTTAAAACCATGTGGAAGTATGTGATATTTCAACTTACTGGAGCAGGTTGTTTAAACCATGTATCAAGAAAATCACGAAGTTGTTGTGCAATTGTATCAAATTGACTTTTGTAATCATCCAAGTCTCTGTCAAACTGGAATTAACGAAGTAAAACCGAGAAAAAATTAATTTGATGGTAATCCCAATGTCTAGGAAATTAAAAAAGGCACTACATACGTTTATGTGACACAACATGAAAGAAAGATGCATAGTTACTATTACAGTAAAAGGGACGCGGACAACAACTTGACGATACATTGACAAGAGATAATTCAGCGGTGTGTTTAGATAGAACACGCTTTGCGTGGCCTATGTAATCAGCTTCGAACCCTATCCTGCATGTCTGTCTACAGGAGAGCGTAAAGCCGGAAACAGTTCGAATCTTGAATATTTGATTAATTCTGGTCACTTTGCTCCACGAGAATCTTCTTTCAAAGTCATTTATTAAGTGCTATCAAACATTTCAAAGCGAGTGCATATTCGCCATCTCAACATAGCAGAAAATTTGGTACTCCATAGGTTCAAGTCCGATCTTTATGTTCAGAAGACGTACATTCGATTTCTTACTTTATCTTGGTCACAACCTTCTTAAGATATTTTATTCATTTCCTTATTTATTATTTGTCTATTTATTGCAATCTTACAAGCATTTGTGATGACCTTGAGTTGACTTTCTATCCATCATCACCTTATGACTTTATTGACCATTTTTAATGACTTTGTATTAACCCATTAGCTAGTGATGAACATATATTTTATTGCAACTATGTTTCCTACTGTATAGCTTTTGAAAATGATTCGTCGAAAAGGAAATTTTCTTCGCTGGATTGTCTTTTGTTAATTTTTTATTATTCAATAAAGATATATTTTTGAAATAGTGTTGAATCATTTTGTTGTTCATGTTATTTATTACAGAAGTAAAGAAGCTTCAGTAGGTTTATTGATAGCCATGATTTTAAGCCTCTTGTGACATCTTGAAGATCATTAGCTACAAAGATCATTTTAGCCTCACCCAAGGTAAAATAAAGTTCCAAAATGCATTATTCTCACAAAATCTCTTACATCAATCCTTCAAGTGGTCATCTTACGATTAGCCCGAAACAAAATTATACCTGACATAGCTTTTACCATTTATTGATATGCTTGTAATTCTCCGTTGCTTTGCTGGATCTGCATAGGAGCCTGTATGCCAACAGAGGTCAAACAGTTCGATCCAGTAAAACAATGGAGAATTACAAGCATATTAACAAGTAGTAATAATTCATACCCGCTGTACAAGAGGTGGCTATCGTGCCCCAGTGGCCCAGTGGATAACGCTTCGGCGTTTGCAGCGATGGGTACGAGGTCCGAGTCTCACTCACTGGGATGCAAGTACATCCAGCTGACGAGCCCCAAATAGGATGAAATGCGCACCCTGGATTCTTCTGCCAGCCACACGCAAGCAGATTACTGCATGCATTTGCTCCAAATTCTGCACACTTCAATTCAGCTATTCCTGTGGGACAAGTTACTAAGGGTTTATGATTAAACAGGTGTGTCCCAGGATAAGAGGATACTTTCCGTTCGATTCGGAAAACATGAAATACAAGAAATAATAGGTTCATCCTAGTATATCTGGTAGACACGGCACCACATGGGTGCTAATACACCTTTTAGAATGATACACATTGTTTGGAAAACGTTGCCGTATGTTGCTGGTCAAGGTCTTCTCTATATAGGCGAGATGAGAGGGATAGGGTTGAAAAAAAATTAAAATTACGCAGTTAGAATGAACACGTTCAGGCTTTACTCCTCCTTGACGTTTCATAAACTGAATGCTGTTTATCTCATCTTTATGTTTTTCTCTCGTTTGGCATAATGTTAACCTCTTTATTCGTTTGTCGTTTATAGTATTGCAATAATTCTTTTACAATTCCTTTTTTCTGCATCTGTCGTCAGAGTTTCGGATCGATTAACATTACCGACTGTCTCTTCAGAATTATATCAAACTGGTATGAAAAACATATATCGACTATTTTATTATTAGTTTTACACTCCTGTTGTCCTTTATCTCCTTCATATTATTTTCTTTTATGATACAGATAGCTTATCAAACAAATGCTATAATCTTCGACTGTATTATTATTATTACTATTTTCATTCCCCTAGGCTGAGTGTATTTGCCTTGACTGTTCATCAAACAACCTTTGATACCATCCACTATCATATTCAGTTCACCATCAAATTCTATATACGTCTAAGTCATACAGAAACTGACAAAAAACTTACAATCACGAATTCAAATTTTATGTTTTAAAAAATGTATTTGCTGCAAATATCGCTTACCGTATGATGAATATTACTATATTTTATAACTATGGAACGTTAAGGGAATATACTGGGGAAAAAATCTTCCTTCATATTATCTATTCATGATAATGGAGACTTATGAATACTTAAAACTTCTTGACGAAAACAGTTGAAATATTGATCAAAAGACTTCATTTACCTCACGCAGTGTTTCACGTAGAATATGAGTGATTACAATAGGGATTTTTATCATTTGCCATGACTTTAGGTTAGGTCTGATTTGCAAATGGAACCATTGTGTGTGAGTGAATTTTAGACAAGTCCCAGTCTTTAGTAATGATGGGCAGTGGCTAGCAGTGGAATCCAGGATGCGCATTTCGTCCTATTTGGGACTCGTCAGCTGGATGTACCTGCCCATATGCCAACAGAGACTGATCAATTCGGTCCAATCAACGACGGTGCAATGCAAGCAATAACACTAAACCTATACCCGGCGCACAAGAAGTGGCTGTCGTGGCTTGGTGGTGTAGTGGATAATGCGCTGGTGTTTGAAGCGATCGCTCCCGAGTCCGAGTCCCGGTGGGAACAACATCACTCACTGGGAAGCAGGTACATCCAGCTGACGAGTCCCAAATAGGAAGAAATGCGCATCCTGGATTCCACTGCTAGCCACTGCCCATCATTACTAAACATAGTTAAAAGAAAGGCAATATCGAGGCATCCGCATAGGAGCCCATATGCCAACAGAGACTGATCAATTCGGTCCATTCAACGACGGTGTAATACAAGCAATAACACTAAGTTTCAGTCTTAACCAAGACTCAATGACTAGAATTATCAGGAATACTCAATAGCTAGTCATAAGTTTCTTGATTTCTTATCACTTGATGAGAGGTGAGGAATAAAACTTCAAACTTACGAAAAGAGAAAATAACTGTCATTTTCACTTCAACTTACATCACGCTTTATTTGATCAGCTCCGTCAAAATTTCTCTTACGAAGACTATCGTAGAATGTTTTATAGCGGACAACTACAGGTTCAATGCCTTCAGCTTTAAAATCTAACAGGACACTGAAATTATCTACGCATTCAAGTATTGCCAAAATTTTCTTAAGTCTTGTTGTGTACACATCAAATTTACCAAATATGTAGTTTTCACTGAAAAATAAGCAACACAGGAATAAGAAACTTTGGTAAATAATAAAGAAAGTAACGGGGTTATTCTGCTGTTAAGTTCTGTTTTACGTTTAAAATTAAAGTGATAATAGTGAAGATAAATTTCAGTTGCTAGAGGCTTCATTCGCACCAGTAAGTTGTTTAAACTTGATCGGAATTACTTTTAGACTGACTGAATAAGGATTTTTGATCGGCTTAAGTAATGGCCCTCAACAAGAATTGATTATTTTATATGACCATTAAAAAGTTAACAGTACAAGTTAGCTATCTCATTCCTCACACAGGCAGTTCATCAGAAAATCTTCATTATCGTGTGCACGGCTGGATCAACAAGTAATCGCAGGTTTTTCACCAAAACACTGGATCTCATACTACAAGTTGGCATTTTTGTAGATCCACACCATTTGTGAATGGTAGAACCATTACTTGAAAGATGCAATCACGAGTAAAGAACAAGGTAAATAAGGTGAACCAGTTGATGCACTTGTAATCCTTATGTGTTTAGAATATATTTAACTCCTACCTACTCACCATCCAATCCAACAAGGTATGCTATAGTGTATGAAAACAATTTTTGTATGACAAGAACATTTTGTTTCAAGAATAGATAATTCGGATGCCAATTTTTATCTTGGTGAAGACTATGAACACATACTTATACCGCTGAGGAGTCCTATACTACGACGAAACAGCTGTCCAGTGCTCATAGGTTTCCAATAGTTCTCAAGCGCATGTCAGACCATGAAGAATGCTATCTTAGAATTGAAATCTTCACTCATCCCAAAATATATTACTCCATAGTGGCCATTACTGGCATGGTTTCAAGTGGAAGCCGCTACCTGTGGGTTAAAGAGACGGAAGTGAAGTGGATACCGACTGAAGACCTCGAATGATAGTCACGCCATGTCACTGATTAACACAAGTTGGAAACTGAACCACTGCACTAAGACCAAGTGGGTGAACAGTTGATGCAGTTGGCGTGAAAGCTGAAAGTCCTGAGTTCGGTCTGTAGAGGGATCATGGGTGCATACTGCTGAGGTGTCCCATATTAAGACGAAACAACTGTTCAGCACTCGCAGGTTTTCAATGGTTCTCCAGGTGACTTCAGTCCGTGATGAATACTACCTCAGAATTAAAAGTTATCATAAAATACGAAGAATCGGAGAAATGAAAACCTGAAATTGGAACTACTGCAAAGAAAACAGTTTTCATCAACACGAATGAAAAAAGTGTAGAAGGAGCGTTCAAAAGTACCTTTTCTGCAGCCATCTTTGTCTTAAATTACAATATAAACTGTTTAGTAAATGAATCAAAGTTAGATTAGTACTCTGTTCTCATAGTTGCCGGCTGAATTTGAAAATTTTATATCTACTTGTGGGAACAATCACATATGAAGAACTGATAGGAGACCAACTATACCATTTTCCGAACACGTCCACAGAAATGTACTTTTCAAAGGAAAGTAAGTTTTTATAAGTGCATTTGCCATATATCTAATGGACACAGGACATACATTTGAGATCTGTTACGCGTTGAAAGTCATGATTGTACATGATTGTACAACAGCCAAACTAGTTCCTTTTGAGGAAGCAGATGTAATTAAACAATTACTACCTGACCTGTATATGTGTAGAATGACACCATGATTAAGCTTGCGTGACCCTGGCAAGTATGCATTAACTTTGTTGCGCAACCGCCATTTCATATTTTCCGTATTTCCCTTATGGTTTTCACTCATTGGTTTGAGTTCATTCTTAATCTGTCAACAAATGAGTTCGCTATGTAACTCCCACCTTGCTTCCTGACTCCAACAACTTTTAATATGTTATATATGTATATAAATCTTATTTTAATTATTTTGCTGTTTTCATGTGTTTGCATTTCCCTGATCTATTGGTGTACTAGAGATTTTAAAAGTTGTCCTTTGTCAGAAACTGTCAAAGTATGTGTGTATGCTAACCGTTTATTTGCTAATTATGATAACGTTTGTGATTTTAGACTGTTTGCAGGTGATGAGAAGCCTTGAAATACAATTTAAACATTTTACTCTGTAAATATCTTTGTTTTTGCTTCTCTAAAACTTATCAAGTGAACCACATATATGAGATTTCAAGTTTTAAAGTGAGTTCAAGGTGAATTCAGTGATTAAAAAATGTAATTATTTTTCAAATGAACAGCAGCTACAAAACAAATTTTTTTCTCAGAGTACAAAAGCATCTCTTATTTAATCCACATGAACAGTTACCTGAAATCGAATTGTCTTCCTGATGGGTTTTCTTGGAGTCTGTGTCGAACTTTACGAAAATTTTCTTGGTATTCAACGTTTAACTGAATGCATTCATTTATTCGATCAAACAAAACATCTCTAGATGAATAAGATTAAAGATGACATAAGTCTGAGTTAGTTGTATGTTAAATGTTATCGAAAACTGGTGTGTATGCTTTAATTTATATTTGTGAACCATGATATTCATCCACTGTATGCAAGATAGTCATACCTGCCACTTGGTATTTCTATTCTTAGGCAGCTATATTTCATCTGAGCACATAAAGGTTTTTACTGGTTCCTTCTAGAAAACTCTTGGTTGTTCTGCATCCTTATTGATAGGTTCTATCTACTTTTTATCAGCCATTTTTAGCACGAAGTGATATCGTTTGAATTGTTCTAATTCAGCATGGTGTTATTACTCACTGGACATTGAAGTATGCACGTAATTCACGAAGAAATCAATAATCATGACGGTCTTCAGTTAGACTAGAGCAATATAAAAGGCACAACTATGAACATAGAATGGGAAGAAGGAAATTTCGTTTCATACTTGTGCTTGAGGATCCTAACCACCAATGAGTCCTATATTAGAACTGGTTGTTCTGATGTACTCACTAGTAAAAATCGTCTATTAGTGAGTGATATAATTCTGATGAAAACCTAGGCGCATTTTATGTTCCATTAGATCTAATTCTTGAACAATACACTTATTGTTTTACAGGTTAATTGCATTCTCCAAAGGAGAATAAATTGTGTCCTTTTGAAATTGACGGTTCAATGATTCTGTTCTGCAAGGTATGCATTTTATGAAAATACACACCTGATTTTTCAGTGCACAATTCTCTATCATTAAGTCATGGTTAGATTGTTAACCGAAACAGTATTTACAGATACCGACTATTTCAGAAATTTATACGAACTATGATCCAGAGTTTACCGAATAGCATCGCAAATGTTAGGTGCTGAGTAAAACGTTGATAATAGATATAACATGTATTTGCGTAAGGCACAGTGGGTTTGAAATAAAATAATTCCAACTTTTTGTACCAAAGTCTGGTCCAAGCCTCTTCAGGGAAATAATCAAAGTTAAAATACCAAGGATATCTAAATGAATCCAAAGACGTATACTTAGTCTTCTTGTCCAGTCCTCTTCGTATAATCAATGTCCTTCTAAAATATGATTACTAATAATTCTGTGTGATGGTTAGTGTTGTGTGGTTGGTGTCAATATGTGTATTTTTGCATTCATATTCTCCTTGAGTGTAAAAACTTGACAATGGAATCAAATAGGCTGATTGTAATGAGGTATACGTGGGGGAGATAGTCAGGGAGGTAAATGTAAAAGTGAGGGAGAAGAGACTTTGCCTAAAGCAAATTCCAAAAACCTCAGAAGATGTTAGGCGGCTAGAAAACAAATAGGTAGTCCATGGAAATGGCCCACAAAAATAACTTTGATGAAACCAAGGTTCAATAAAAAAGGTTTTGGATCATACCAGGAAAGAAAAACAGCCAGAACCCTATATATGTGCAAATCCGGACAGTTTGAACAGAGGAGATGAAATGAAATTAGGTGCATCTTGGCAATTACCAATTCGTAATCAAAAAAAGTGATTTTAGCATTTATCTCCAACTTCATCACCGACTTCAATATCTCTGTATTCCCAATAGCACACGATCTGCATTGATTTGATTCATTATTATCATGGTCATCACCAGGATCACTAATGACCGAATGAGTATAATGTCACCTCTGACCCTATTTTGTTTTGTATTTCCACTTAGGAGAATAGGAATAACAACAAACAAGCATACCATACAACTAGAGACACAGTTTCAACAACGTAATGAGAAGACGAAGATTATCTGAAACATCTGATGTATACGCGCTATACATTTCAAACAATCTGATTACGCGTGGACTTGTCAAACTATGTACATGAGGATTTACGAAAAGGGTCAATGAAGTTAGTAACAAACATAGGAATAGAAAGGGCAGAGAAAAAACAAAATCTTAATCACGTTACTCTTGGTATGAAAATTAAAACCAATACTACCAAGGTAGGTTCAATGTGGGTACAAACTGTTTTTGTACACACAAAGGGGATTTGAATTTACGGATGGCAAGGGAGTCAATAAGTTTCAGCACTCGGCGCTGACCACTTTTATGTAGTACTTTAAAGGCTGTTTTCATGTCTATCCTATGGTTAATTTCTAGTTTATGTTTAGCGATAAACGAAGATGGATGTTTGTCACCTGCACTTATCGAATCTGTTGAGGTCATTTGATTTTGAAGCAACTTGGGTACATGTTCACCCAACCTTAACTGCATATCACGATTACTCCTTCCCATGTATGTGTGGACACACATACAAGACTGCAATGTAAATCGACATACGTTTTACAATGAATGATCAGTAATTATATTTTTTGTTTTTTGTTGAAAAGTCACACGTTGAGAACTTAGCCGACAACTTAATCGACCAAGCCCATCTGTATCGAAGATATGTTGACGATATCCTGATTATTTGTGAAAACTCAAATCAGGCTACTTCAATTCTAAACCGACTGAACGAAGTACAGAACAGCATATCTTTGACATGTGTAAGAGAGGAAGATGACTGCTTGCCGTTCCTAGATATATTAATTAGTCGAAGGCAGGATGGATCCATAAAACGATCTATCTACAGAAAACCTACATGGACAGGGCAATATCTGAATTACCATAGCTTTTGCCCAGTTCAGTACAAGCGAACGTTAGTAAGGTGCTTATTCAGCAGAATTCAACGAATATGCACCGAGGATACTTTAGAAGATGAAAGGGGAACACTGACCGATATTTTGTTGGAAAATAACTATCCATCAACATTTATCAGGCAGAACAAAATCAGCAGAGCGTCAAAACTAGAACTGCAGTCAGTCCCAAAGAAGGATGTCTTCATCAGCCTTCCGTACAAAGGTGACTCTCAGAGTGCAATCCTTAAGCAGAGACTTAACGCTGCTGTTAGAAGGACTTACTATGCAGCCAGGGTTCGAGTAATCGAAACCACGAAGCCCTTATATTCCCCCAAACCCCCACAGCATGTGAACGATAATGTCACATCCCATTGTATCTACCAATTCAAATGTACGTGTGGTGACACATACATAGGGAGGACTAATAGATCCATGCAAGTAAGGGCCTCGGAACATATTCCAAAGTGGCTTCAGAAGCAAATTAAATCACCTGAACCTATAAATGTTGGTAGCAGACGTCCAAGTTCTTCGATCGCTAAACATATCGTTGAGACAGGTCACAAGATTGATGTGGCTACTTCCTTTACACCTATTTACAAAACATGTTGGGGAGGGATCCTGAAATTTGTTGAAGCCTTAGCTATTAGGAAGTTGAAACCACCTTTATGTATTCATAAACAATTTGTTGTCACATTAAACCTTCCTTGGTAAATTCAACTATTGAAAAACCAAGTTCGATGTACTATTATTTTTTCGCTCTATTGATTTTCATTGTTATTCGGCCTTTAAGTCAGCCTTCCTACCTGACCCCTTTTTATTTTCTCACCCCTTATCTTCATGAGTTTTTATATAAATACCTATGACAAGTACGTGTGTGATCAGATAGTTCGAAATGTGTTGCGCAAATACATTACACGGTTCAGACAATTTACGTCTTCTTATTGTTTTGTCGAAAAGTTATAGTCGCTCTAGTCCAGACAGCAGGCGCGACTTTTAAAGGTCACCCTAGCAATGTGATTGAAATAACCAATTAGGTTTCTTCATTTCGGCTGGAAAGGCAGATTTGCATAAGATAGAGAAACCTAATTGGTTGCTTCTGGTGTTGCTGGCGTGGCTTTTAAAGCCACTCAAATGAGCAGCAAATAATATTTTGAAATTTTGCTTTCTGTACAATATTTTTTAAAGAAATTATTATTGCATGTGAATGGTGCTAATAATAACAAATGTATTAACGTTAACATTATGGGACAGGCAGCTGGGGTTACATTAGTATCTGGTCTGAACTTGGGAATAAATACAAACCGGGTATAACTTGGGTGGTGGTTTTTCAACCAGCCAGTAAAAAAAACCTGAAATTAGATAAAGGTATTCTAGGGATAGCAATGTGCTTTATTTTTGAGCATTTATAAGTACATTCCGTCCGGCGTAACGTTCTCTGTCTGTTTTCTCAATTTCAGAAACGACCGTTTAAAAACACTTTAAAATGTGCGAGACTACTTTTAGAAGATATGTTCGCAAGATTTAAACAAACTGAAAGGAAATAATTTGATGAAATATATCCGGTGGAAAACTTTGGTAGCCCAAAGTTTATGCAGTTAGCCAAAATAAGCAAACAAAATAGTGACTATACGAAGAGGAATAGACAAGGTGATTGAGTACATGTCTAGGGATTCATTTACACATTTTTGACATTTTAATTTTATACTATTTCACTGGATTTATCTGAACAATGTGATACATTTGCACAATACACTTCTAATAATCTGATCACATATATACCTATCAAGTCAATTTGTATTAAACCGAAGAGTAGGAGGACAGAAATAACAATTAGGAAAATTGGCGATTCAAACTAACAAAGATGGGAATAAAAGGAGGAGTGACATAGTTGATCCTGATCTTGGTAAGAAAACAAAGTTTACCAAGGCAGGTGCGGTGTAAAAATAAATTGTTTTTGTACGCATAAAGGTGGTTTCAATTTGTGTATGGTCATTTCATCGTCAATTGCATGGCTCGATTACTCCTTCCTACGTATGTATGACCACATACATAAGTAAACTGGTAGAAGCTCGAACTAGACTGCCGTGGAAAACGTTGGAATTTTTTATTTCAAAAACACTGTAACTTACACAAATATAATCTATTATAAGGTAGCACTCATCAAATCCCTATTAACCTCAAAATATATCCATCATTTTAGAAATGCTAAATAAATCTTCGTAGTGATACAGTTTCAAACCTCGCCTGGTTAACTAGTTCACTAGTTACTAGCCGGGTCCTAAGCCCGGGTAAAGAGGGAAGGTTGGGCATAGGGCTAGCAATCCTATCCCGTAAAACAAATCTAACCGCTAAACAAACTTCAAAGCCCAAACAAAATATAAAAAATGAAAACAAACTTATTCCCCGCTGGAATCGGAGAGGCGAAATGACGCCAGTTGGTAAAAGCCTTCGGGAAGCCAATTGGCCAGGCCGATGTGTCTTCTCTCGATGAAAGCGAAAGTAAACGTGGGGACATGGAATGTCCGCACGATGTTTGAACCCAGTAAGGCAGCCCAGATTGCAAAGGAGATGAGAAGGTATAACATCGAGGTGCTTGGGATTCGCGAAAGCAGATGGAATGGGAGTGGACTCTCCAAACTGTCAACTTGAGAATCAATAATCTACTCCGGTCACTCAGACGACAACCAAGAGCACACTGAGTTATGGAGTGGCTATCATGATGTCCTCAAGAGCATCGAAGGCTCTCATGCAGTGGGAACCAATCTCCTCCAGCATCAGGGTCATGACAGCAAGATTCAACTCAATAGAAAGGAAGGTCACAATCATACAATGCTATACGCCTACAAATAATGCAGAGCAAGAGAAAAAGGAGGAATTCTACAGACAACTTCAATCAACACTGGACAAGACCCCAGTTGGCAATATCAAAATTCTAATGGGTGGGGCGACATGAATGCCAAACTGGGAGTGGACAACACGGGAAGAGAACTAACCATGGGTCGAGAGGCGCTAGGTGAAATGAATGAGAATGGAGAATTGTTTGCAGAATTCTGTGCATTCAACGATTTGGTGATTGCAGTGAGGCAGTGTGTTCAGGCACAAGGATATCCACAAAGCGACATGGATTTCACCAGATGGACACACTAAAAATCAAATCGACTTCATCTCAATCTCAAGAAAATGGAGACGCAGTCTACTTCACACAAGGTCAAGAAGAGGAGCAGATGTAGGTTCACACCACTCACTGTCTAGTGCAAGGAACCTTCGAAATCAAGTTAAAAGCCTTCAAGGAAGCTGGTGATAGACCTCAATTCAAGTACAACACTCGGAAACTGAAGGATGAAACTACAAAGGAGATCTTCACGGCAGCCATCAAGACAAAATGGGAGACATCGAGCAACATCCCTGAAGAAGCCTGTGTGGAAGAACGCTGGAAGTCTTTGAAAGCTATGTGGAAAGAAACCCGCATGACCTTATTAGGAAGGAAGAAGAAAGAAGACAAGGAATGGATCTCGACGGATACCTGGAAGCTGATAGAGGAGAGGAGGATGGTGAAGCAGAAGATAAACCAGTGCAATGTAAGGATGCTCAACGACAAGAGGAACTGAACACAATGTATAAAACACTGGATAAAGAAGTGAAGAAGAGTGCACGCAAAGACAAAAGACACTTCTACGACACACTGGCAAGTGAAGCAGAACAGGCTGCAGGTAAGAGACCTGACGACATTGTATCAAATAACCAGGTTGCTATCAGGGAAGAGATCAACACAGATGAAACCAATAAAAGATGATGACGGAAATTTAATCACGAAAGAACAGAAACAAAGGAAACGATGGGCCGACCACTTCAAGAAGCTCTTGAATTGACCACCACCTGCACTTCGTCCAGAAATACCACCTGCAGCCACAGAACTACAAGTGAGCATAAATCCTCCAACAAAAATGGAAGTCCTGAATGCCATAAGGCTACTGAAATGCGGGAAGGCAGCAGGACCAGATGGGATCCCACCAGAAGCACTGAGAACAGATGCAGAGACAACAGCAGACATGCTCACACCACTATTGCAGAAGGTGTGGAAGGAAGAGAAGGTACCTGGTTAGTGATTGGAAGAAGGGTTACCTTGTCAAACTGCCGAAGAAGGGAGACCTCAGTGTTTGCAAGAACTGGCGCGGAATCACTCTCCTGTCCACCCGAGGCGAGCAAAATATTAGGCTGCATCATCTTGAAGAGACTAAAGGATGCATTGGATTCAAAACTACGACCGGGACAGGCTGGCAGGCTTCAGGAAGTACAAATCATGTGCGGACCAAATTGCAACACTACACCACGCATCGTCATAGAATAGAGTATAGAATGGCAGTCAACTCAATCCAACCTCAACTTCATCGACTTTGAAAAGGCCTTCGACAGAGCTGACCGAAAGGTAATTTAGAAACTGCTTCAATGATACGGAATACCGCAAACATTTATCCGCCTCATTCAACAACTATATGAAGATGCCACATGCCAAGTAATTCACAATGGGAAGCTCAGTGATGCTTTTGAAGTGAAGACAGGAGTGAAACAAGGTTGCCTACTATCCCCCATGATAGTCCTGATTGTAGTGGACTGGACTGGATCATGCAGCAAACAGTAGGCAGCGAGAAGAGGGGGATACACTGGACGACGGAAAAGAACCTAGAAGACTTGGATTTCGCCGATGACTTATGCCTGATGTCACATAAACTTGAAGATCTGCAGACAAAAACTAACAAGTTGATAGAAGAGGCGAGGCAGCTAAGACGGGACTTCAGGTGAATATAGAGAAGACAGAAGTGATGAAGATACTCAACCAACAACTCCATCAACAACAACAAACTCCAATCACCATCAACGGGAGAAACTTAAAGGAAGTAACCTCCTTCACCTATCTAGGAAGCACTGTTTCAACTACAGGCGGGACGGACGAGGACGTCAAAGTCAGAATCGGAAAAGCAAGACAGGTGTTCATTAGCCTGAAACCAGTGTGGAGATCTTCTGTACTCAGCATGTGGAACAAGATACGGATTTTCAACACCAACGTCAAGTCAGTGCTCTTGTATGGCTCAGAGACTTGGCGCGTCACGAAAGGCATTTCCAATAAACTACAGACATTCATCAACAACTGCTTACGCTCGCTACTGAAGATCAGATGGCCAGAAAGAATAAGCAACAAGGAACTCTGGCTGATGACGAACCAACCAAGAACCTATCACGCAACAAATATGCAGGAGGAAGTGGAGATGGATTGGCCATGCACTGAGAAGGCCGACTGAGGACATCACGCGTCAGGCCAGTTGCTCGAGTGGAATCCCCATGGGAAGCGACGAGTTGGACGTCCAAGCTGAGGGTGACATGGAAGAGGTCGTGTGAGGAGGAAATGAGAGCTTGTGGGCTGTCGTGGGACCAGGTTCAAAAGACCTCAGAGAACAGAGGTCACTGGAGACGTGCTACTGAAGCCCTATGTTCCATTAGGAACCCAAGGGACTAATCATAATAAAAAATAGTGATACAGTTCACTTTATTTCAAGTTCTCTACAAATTGCCTAAATAAACAAATAAATAACTCATATACCTTGGTAGATCCCATATTCGGCTAACGCCGTCCGTTACATATTTTCTGCATGCAACAATCATTTGATTTGTTATCTTAATAAACAAGGAAGTCATTCGTTCCGAATTATTGTAATACTCCGAAATACTATAAATCATACGAATAGCATTGAGTAGAGCAGGTAATTCTTGACGGATTTTCGACTGAAAGTAAATAAAGGGAGATATTACTTCCGTACATAAGATAGGTCTCTACATTGAAACAGTAACTTAAGTAGCATTCAACTGTTCGGTTGCATTAATCTGTACGAAGGATAAATGTTATTTCAGTCATTTATGCAGTCCGACTTTTCATCGGAATCACACCATGTACCCAGGAAGGATTCCTCATCCTAATCCAAATCGAGTTGAATTAAGGAAGGGGGGGGAGAATCACGTTGATCTCTCGTAACCACGTACAGACAGTACCAGTTTTCCAAACCAAGGTTGCCTCAGATATTTCAACCAACAGTCAATAAGATGTTCTTCCTAAATCAGGTGGACCTGTGTCAGGATGAGAAGTCCTGGCTGGCCAGGTAGTGTGATCACAATAAACTGAAAGTTACACCTCGCCTAACCGCAAGACAGCCGGGTAAAATCATAGGTGATTGGAGTGAAGTCAAGAGTTGGTCAGTAGCTCAAACTTGTGGCTCAGTTGGTAGAACGCTAGAGTGGTTATCCGCAACTACTAGTTCAGATCCCACCGTGAGCCAGGTTTTCATTTCATCTTGAATCATCACTCCATACCAGCCAGACCAGTTTTCTAAGCGACAGCTATTTCAGATAGTCTGAACAACAAGCAGACTTTATTTCGACTTAAAGTTGAACGCTGTCCTATTAATGCATTTGAAAAATTTAACAGAATGTTGTTCACTGTCAGGTGCTATTTTGGCAGCTTCTGAAAGGAACCCCACATCAACTCATCGTTGGCACTACACAGTTGAGAACCAAGAATACTTCTTTTTTTATGTCGTCTATATAAACAGTTTGTGCAAATTCCAGGAATCTTTTTGTCCACAACCCACTAGTAACTTATAGTCAACGAAATTTCAGGGCTCTACAACTGAAATCAAGAAATATTAAGTTTCGTTGACAGTTATTTAAGCTAATTCTGAGATTCTGTACCAGTAAGTATCCGTCACTCACATAGGATACTCAGATGGTATCATGAACAGCTTTTTTCTTGCAATGGTAGACTAAACTCAAATTAACCTATTTCTTTACGATCAAGCAACATTTAAATGGCCGCGGGAACCGAAGCTTCCTGTTGGAAGGTGTAAATATTTCTTTAAACCAATTAAGTTGAAAAACCTAATAAGAGCTGACGTAAATTAGCCAGCTCTAAATATTCTATGAATGAAGAGGTAAATAATTACTAGATGGTACGAACATTACGTTAAAATAAGTTCAAATTATTATATGTAGTTCATTACAGATAACAGAGATAATACTGTATACGAATGTGAACCAAGATGTCGGTTTAAAGGAACTTATAAACACCAGCTAAACACTGTTTTAACTAATTATAACTTGTAAGCTGAAAAGTTCATCTCAGTGTTGATCACAAATGAGTGGTTCCTCAACTATCTAAACATTATAACACTCGTGTACTCTGTAAAAAGAACTTGTTCAGAGTGACATGTGCTGATCTTTGGAGAGATTATCCCAAAATTAAAAAGTATGCTAATGAAGGGATTCGGAAATTACTAAGAAATATTCGTGTTGGCCAACATTCGTCTTTTATTTCAATCAAATGTATTTAACTGCTAATAAGTACCATCCTGTTTCACTCCAACATATATAAACAGTGTAGTTGAAGACATTACACTCGAAAATCAACTTGATAAAGCCACATAAACGTAGCTAGCTAACTTGAGTACATACTGGATAAATTACTAGTAAAGTGTATGCAAACTATCTGCTTTAAGTTAGTTGTGGAGGGATGGTCAACTATTTCCTATTCCTCTCATCAGAAGGTTTTCCATTGACAGGCACCTAACCAGAGACATACTCAACTACTGAAATCTTTACAATACAGCGGAGTAGCCAAGGCTATTCCTATCGGTCAACATTTTCTCATCACTATGATTCTAGTTGGATGGATCTCTTGAAGTAAATGACTAATAAGGTTGTCCACTCACGAGCGAAACGATTATCTCTTGTTTGGGTCATTTTCATCTGTCAGTGAAACTTAGCTCTTACGTTAATTATATGGTTCGAATCTGTAAATACTGTTTGTCATCAGATTTTCTTTGTTTTAACTGCTATTTACCAGTTTTGGTGTATCATAGCACTCAAGTGTAATGGAAATAAGAGGATAAGAAAGTTCAAAAAATCACTGTTATGCTTACTGGATTTGTATTAGAAAATGAACCAAAGAAGTTATCTAGTGTAAAAAGATATTTCAGATTGTCTTTCGCTTCATTGACACAATTTATTATGCGATCGTCCTAAAATATGAAAGATGTAAAAGGGTCACAGATAACTCATTGGTGAAAGAAATGAGAATAATTTAGTAGTAAATTGATGAAAGTTGAAGGATTTTTATTTCATCATATCTTAAAGTGTCTTAACATAATGACTCACAGATTCGCTGGTCAATAACTGGCTAAAATTACAATTACAAAATTACGAATGAATTTCGCCTTGCAGAATGACTATCCTCTCATTGCCACGATACCTGAGACTTTTCGCGTTACTTATTGATTGCCATTAATTTGGTTGATTCTAAAGTACCTCAGGCAAGAGCAATAAAAATACTGAAAGATGCTCCATTTTTCAGTGGTTTTGAATAAATGTTGGTTTATGATGGAAGGGATCTTCAAATAAGTTAAGTACGTATAAAAATCATATATGAAAAGAATTAGTCTATCAAGAAATAACGTTCATTAGCCATAACATGTATTCAACCTTCGGTTAGGATAACGTGAATAGCTCATTCAGGACGTCGTAATACTAAACATTGTCAATAAAGAAAACAAATTTGAATCAGTTTGATCGAAAGCTTATGTAAAAACAACCTGAGGTGTAAGGATTAACCAACAATTGTTTCTTTTACATTTGGGCGTACTAAGCTGTGAACATAATTTCTGTATTGTCTGGCAAACTTCAACAATCTTAATTAAGGTTTTCAGTATTATGCTATGAATCAGTGGAAACTAGATTGCATCCACTGACATGCTAAGCTAAGGTTAAAACATACTGAATTCATAGGAAATATCTTTGGACTTCAGTTGGCTGATGAAAGTTTGACAGTCTTATACTAATTGTTGTACAGAGTATCGTCAATTCCCTAGATTATGTTTATAGTATCCCCAGCTAGATAAGTGGCTTAAAATTTTGGTGTGTGGTACTCATCGAAGGTTTTTAAGGGTTAACAGGACTACTAACTATTGAATGGGAATTTGACGCACTCCCATCGGATTTATGTAGTTTGTTGATCATTCTAGTGTATAAGAAAGAATTCTTGTTACAACAGCCACAGAGAAACCAGTTCGGTCCTACAGTCCATAGTTATCCGTGGACCAGCCAGAGTTCGATAGTTGCAAATTCCAGATAACCAGGTGGTTTCAGATCTGGCAAGAAGTGCATCGATCAGATCTTTATCGACAAGCTTCGAAACATAGGGATACTTACTAGCGTCCGATACTTGCTATACTTCTTGACCCGAAGGTAATACTGAGTTCTGTCAGTAGAGAGGCGTTGTGGTAGTGTCTGACTTCAGGGAGTACCAACCAAGCAAGGGATTATGAAAATATTTTGCTCGAAATAACGAAATCAGTGATTTCCAGCAGTATCCGATGTCGCTGTTGCTGTCAAACTTCATAACTGACGTGCTGATATATATGTTCCAAAGCGACTTTAACTTTACAGGGACTGACTTACTCCCAGAAGGACACCTACCTATCTTACAGTGTGCAGACAGACGAGTGCTGTTCTTTGCAAATGCTGGAAAAACGCAGAATTTCTTAAACTCTTTGAGCAGAAATATGAGTACATTTGGTATGCATAGCTTGGACGTATATTGCACAAGCCAAACCTCCACCTACTTCAGTGTGAAATATTAGCCAACATAGGATTAAGTTGGAAGGAGGATAAGAGTGGCCAGACCATGAAATGATACCAGTCCGTGGAATCGCTGACTATTGGTGTGGGCTCTGTAGAGTGGCTTAGACTACCTAGCTGGGGTCCTTGAGATAGTAGGTATCAATGGTTAGAAACTTCAAACGAAATGGCAGGAAATCAGTTACCATAGCTCAAATGTATGCACTTTTCGTCATCTTGGAATTCTTGAGAATTTTCACTCACCTTCAGTTATCTTTCTGTACTTTTTTGTACACTACCGTTTACCGTGACAGCCCATTATCGTTGAAGTGCTTCCTTATATGTACCTATAAAGTCAAATGACTTCAAACCGATAAACTTCCATGTTACGTCCTAAGCTGATTTGTTTATGTCTGGTGCACTACATTTGTTCTCAGACGTTTTACTGCAGTTACAGTGTAGCTGCGAAATTAAACTTTGCATTCATCACCACTATAAGCAATTTCAAAGTAACTTACCAGGTAACTAGACTTTTTCAGTGTAAACTAAAAACCAAAACACCTGGAGGTTTCACCATAATAGCCTATTTACAACAGTTTAGTATACGTGTAAAGGAAGGAATTTGTCCTCAAAATTAGGCGACTGATAAAAGCATTCTTGTAAAACGCATAGCCTAATTGTGTAGATATGTTAGTCACAATTTTTCTGTGCTCATTGTGAATGTTAAGCAGGTCCTGAGTGCAGAAATGGATTCCACATTGGTATCTGTTGCTGACTTATTGGCTCGTCGAGAGCAATTAACGAGAACTCTTGAGATAGCGTTTCATGTTTCATAGCAATTATTCATGTTGGCGTCTCTGAAAGCCCTTCTAATAACTCTAGGATTCAAGGTAAAACACTTCAGAGATGTAGTTGAAGATATTACCATTAAATAATTTAATGAGTGACTAAATCTCTTCAAAAATCAAATGAACAAATCGGTTTCTGGAAACTAACAAACATGTTTGTATTTTGGGTTGACTGCAAAATTATTGACACATTTTATGCCTTTTTTAATACTTTACGACGGTTTGGAACATTTCAGGGAAGACTGTAAGATAAAGCTCCACTAAAAACAGCTTCTGAAAAATGATAAGTGAAATTAACCACTTTATGCATCACTAAACCTAAAAAGTGCACATTAAGCAGAACAAACGAAAGAACAATAAGAGAGCCGAGCTGAATATCATACACCACGAAGCATTTATTTTTGAAATGTCTGCTAGTGTTTTAAATGTCGATATGAAGATACATAATGCTTGAAAAGATACTTTTAATTTTCTTTTACAAGCTGTAAGAATATTTTGTTTCAGGTAAAATAACATACTGAGAAAGTTTTCACTTTAAAGGTTCTACACTTTGATGAGCAGTCGACAAAAGAGTATTAGGTCTGCTCTCCTTGATCAGAACGAACAAGATGACTAATAACTGGATTTCCAATAATTAAGGTGAGTGAATAAATGTCCAAGAGAACTTTGCGGTGGTTCAAACAACGTAGAATCTCTGCTGGTGGGACAGTCTAACAATTATTTTAGATTTAAGGTCTTTAACAGTGTTAATGATGTACATATCAATCAAGGAGATTTTGGTGCCAACAAAAACGTCATCTCTTTTTCTGTAAGTGTTACTAAACAGGGTGAAAATATCATCATTATAAATTGACTCTTTATGTCTGGTCTAACTGGCACCACATTTTTCCATTTCTGAGGATATTGCTCCTTTCGGTCTTATCGTCTGATTCTGATTCGTAAAAAAATTTGTGTGAAAATTTATCTAGAATTCAATGTCAATAAATTTATCTGCAGAATGTAAATGATGAGAACCAAAGCAATAACACGAACGCATTTTATTTTGAGATTTGTGGGAATTTACTGATTTCAAAGTAGTATTCATCATAGAATGACACAAGTTAGAGAAACACTGATAACTTAGGATCTCTGGACAGTTGTTTCTTCCCAGTGTGGGAGACCTCAGTAGCACGTACCCACAACTGCGCCAGTAGTTGGACTCGAAACTTTCAGATCTCTTAGAGAGGGGATTAAATATTTACCCAATTAATAACAGCCCAGTGGTACACAGTCTCATACTTCTGTCAATTCGCGATATAGCGTGAGTATCAGCCAAGGTCGTTCATTCGCTTCACTTCTGACTTGGCTGACCCCTCAGGTCATGGCATCTCTTTAGAATTCCATAGAAATTCACTGTTAGGGTTAAATAGGTGTTCAGGTTTTCAGGGGTTCTCTACTTGATATCAGTCCATGATGAATACTACCTTGAAAATGAATGTATTTTATTCTAATGTAAATTTTTTGCTCAATGAAGGTAGTAGGAGCGAATAAGTGTATGTAAAATCAAACGACCACTTTTCAAGCCAAAAAAATACCACGTTAAACATTTCTTCTAACGTACCAATACGCGCCAATGTTTGATTACACGCGCTTTTGCATAGTGTAAAGTAGAAATAATAGCTTGAATACTTGGATTGCGCATCTCTTCTATTAGACTAAGTTGAAGGAAATGAAAAGCAGTGAAGAAAACAATTGCAGAACACTAGTTGTCAATTATTTTAATTAAGTATTCATCTAGTGACACTATGTACTTATAAATATAGGATTCTTTAAATAGATTGTCAGGAAATCAAATATAAATGCAAACCATACAATAAAAATATGCCGAATAATTTATCATAATCTAAAATCATTTGATAAACTACTGTTCATGTTGTTTTAAATCCTTTTTAAGCAGTCATGCCATCCTAACAACAGCTTATCCGTTGCAACATATACTAATTATAAATTAGCTTCTGTATGGTGTTTATTGAATGGACGTATAGAAAATTGAGCCCTCAATCAGAAGCGGATAAATATCTAGTATCACCAAATTTCGAGTTGGTTATCAGTTATTGAAAATTGTCTTTGAAATGATCATATAATATTACTATGCAAGGCCATAAAACTACTAACGCATGAAAAGTAATGTTTTTCCATGAAACCAGACATACCAAATCAAAGACTTGGATGCAAGATTAAAAATTGAAATTTATGAAAGAAAAGATCACATGGATGCATCTGTTTCTTCTGAAAGCATACATCACCGTTATTCGAGCTAATTCCTAAAGCTTCTGCTACGGACACGAGATCTAGTTGCACCCCTCTCCGTGGATAGCAGAGAATACCATTTATTATTATTATTTGTCCCTTGGGTTCCTAGTGGAACATACAGCTTCAGTAGCACGTCTCCAGTGCACCCTGTTCTCTGCAAACTTTTGAACCTGGCTCCGCGACACCCCACAAACTCTCATTTCTTCATCACAAGATCTCCTCCATGTCACCCTCGCCTCAGACGCCCAACTCGTCGTTTCCCATCTGGGTTCCACTCGAGTACCTCCCCTGGTGCGTGATGTCCCCAGTCGGCCTTCTCAGTGTATGCCAAATCCCATCCATCTCCACTTCCTTCCAGTGCATATTTGTTGGGTGATAGGTTCTTGGTTGGTTCGTTGCCAGCCAGCCAGAGTTCCTTGTTGCTTATTCTTATTATTCTGGCAATCCATCTGAGCTTCAGTAACGAGCGTAGACAGTTGTTGAATATCTGTAGTTTGTTGGGAATGCTTTCGTAACGCACCAAGTTTCTAAACCATATAGGAGCACTGACTTGACTGAAGTTGGTGTTGAAAATTCGGATCTTGTTCAGGCTTTATGCTGAGTGCAGTAGATCTGCACACTTGTTTCAGGTTAATGAACACCTGTCTTACTTTTCCGATCCTGGCTGGCTTTGACGTCCTTGTCTGTATTTACTGTAGTTGAAACAGTGCTGCCTAGGCGGTAGGCAGGTCAAAGAGACTACTTCCTCTGCGTTTCTCCTGTTCATGGTGATTAGAGCTTGTTTTTGGTGGTGGTGGTGTTGGTTGGGTATCATCACCACCTCTGTCTTCTCTACGTTCACTTGAAGTCCCGCCTTCGCTGCCCCACCTCTTCTGTCAACTTGTTAGTTTTTGCTTGTAGATCTTCAAGTTTTTGCGACACTAGACACAAGTCATCGGTGAAATCCAAATCTTCTAGGATCTCTTCCCCGGTGCAGCGTATCCCCCTAGAGAATACGATATGCCACCGAAAAAGGTATTTGACTTGATTTGGTGATTACTAACTACCAATTGTGAAAGGGCTGTACTGTTAATGCCTTACATTGCCCTTGCTTGTTGCCACTAATTTATAAATTGCTTCATTCTTTGCCTTCATCACATTTATCAATTAGGCTCTCAACTACTTTGTTTCACACCTAATAACTATTTTCGTATTATAGTCACCAAAGGAGTAAGAGACTAACCCACTCTCTTTTTCTGTATACAGAGCTCAGGTTGAAAGTATTTCCCTTGGCAGTCGATTTCACAAAGGGTAGAAATCTAGACATTTTATGTACATTTATTATTTTAAAGCACTCCAAATTTCAATCTGATGTTCTGTGTCTACAAGATGTTTGGCAAATTCACTGGTTTGAGTCTTACTTCCTTTATAGCCATGAAGGCGGTGAGGGATTAACCATACTCTCTTTCTGTATGCAATTACTCGACATTTAGTAGGCACAAGACATTTGGTTGAAACCTTGAGTGCTTTAAAATAATAAACATACAGAAAATATCTGAATTACTACGCTTCGTGGAAGAATTTGTTACGAGGAAAAGCTTTCTTCCTGACTTCTGCATGCAGAATGACAGCGTGGTTAAAATCTCATTGCCTTAGTGAAACTTAAAGGAAGTGCAATTTTCACAATGTCGAGTCACTAACATTTCTGTTTACCTGCATCATATTATATATTATAATGCAGCTTCCATCTGTCTTGAAGTAACATTTTTTATTCTAGTCCTAAATGCTACCTTAATGATCCAAATCTATTCTATTACTCAATAATAAAATGTTATGTTTTCGATAAATATTAAATACAGTTTGGAGGTTTGTGGGGATTTATTGATACCAACCTGAAATCAAGGAATCCCAACAAATCTACAAATTGAATTGATCTAATTCTCATTGGTGACTAGCTTCGAGAGGTGATTCCCCAAGTTCCAGTGAGAAGTCGTGACCCGTGGGGTCAACCAAGCCAAACATGGGGACAGTTACTGGCTGACGGTACTGGATGGAGATAGCGCTATATCGTGAACTGACAGAAGTAGGAAATATGGACCGCTGGATTCTGACTCAGCAGTTCAATAGTAACGTGCTGGCCGCGTAACCTGGAGGTCCTGGGTTCGATCCCTAGCCGGGTAGTGGGTGCGTACTGCTGAACCCCATACTAGGACGGGACGGATATCTAGTACTCCCAGGTTTTCAACGTGCTTCCATATAATGTTAGTCAGTGATGAATACCAACCTGAGAATATTAAATACTATTGTACAGCTTTAGAAATTGGCATCTTGACGGGAGGAAATTTCCCCAGCTGAATTTCAGTCTTCATTTGCTGTCGCATATTTAGCTGTTTCATTTGGAGCATTTTTGCTTATTCTTGTCTTAGCACTAGATAATCTGTAGATATACCGTTAAAACAGTAAACTTAGGAATTATCTGCTTTAGTGTGTTGAAAACAATTGCATTTTTGAAAGGTTTGCAATTCGGTCATCTGTATTACCGTTTATTATTATTATTATTTTCCCTTGGGTTCCTAGTGGAACATATGGCTTCAGTTGCACGTCTCCATTTCACTCTCCTCTCTACAGTCTTTTCAACCTGACTCCACAACTGCCCACAACCTTTCATTTCTTCCCCACACTAGCTCCTCCATATCACCCTCACCTCGGACGCCAAACTCATCCTTCCCTCTTTGACTTCTATTCGAAGGCCTGACCTGGCACGTGATGTACCCAAATGGTCTTCTCAGTGTATGTCCTATCCAATCCATCTCCACTTTCTTCTATTGCACATTTGTTCAACGATGGGTTGTTGGTTGATTCGTCTCCAGCCAGCCAGCCAGACTTCCTTCTTGCTTATTCTTATCATTCTCGCCATCTGATCTTCAGTGTCAGTATCGAGTTGGCGTAGGCAGCAGCTGTTGTTAACGTATGTCTGTAGTTTGTTGCGAATGCTTTTCGTGACATGCCAAGTTTCTGAACCATATAGTAGAAACACTGACTTGACTGACATCAGTGTTGAAAATTCGGATCTTGTTCACGCTTTATCCTGAGTGCAGAAGATCTACACACTGATTTCAGATTAATGAAGGAAGGCATGTCTTGCTGTCTTTCCAATCCTGGCTTTGACGTCCTCATTTGTGCCTGTTCCACCTGTAGTTGAGACGATGCTGCCTATGTAGGTGGGTAGGTGAAGGAGGCAACTTCTTTTAGGCTTCTCCCGTTCATGGTGATTGGTGCTTGTTGTTGATGCTGTTGTTGGTTGGGTATCTTCATCACCTCTACCTCCATCTGCTCTACATTCACTTGAAGTCCTGTTTTCACTGCCTCACCTCTCTTGTCAACTTGTTGGTTTTCACTTGTAGATCTCTGAGTTTGTGCCACAAGACATCGGACATAAATCATCATCGTTAGTGAAATCCAAATCTTCTATGATCTTTTACCCGATCCAGCCAGCGTATCCCCCTCCTCTCGCTCCTCACAGTTTGCTGGATGATCCAGTCTAGTGCAGTCAATCAGGAAGATGATGAGTGATAGTGGGCGACAAACTTGTCTTACTCCTCTTTCATTGGTTTCGTGTGTGTTGATCTCTTCGCGGATAGTAACCTGATTATTTGATATAAGTTGTCAGGTCTCTCCTACCAGCAGCCTGTTCTGCTTCCCTCGCCAATGTGTCGTAGAAGTGTCTGGACAGCCTTGCTAGATTCATACATGGTGCAGATATTCCAGGTCCACATCATTACTTTCGCTTTCATCGAGAGGAGACAAGTCGGCCAACTGGCTTCCCGAAGGCAGGCTTTCACCAACCGGCGTCATTTCGTCTCTCCGATTCCAGAGAGGAATAAGTTGTTTTTATTTGTCTGTGCTTTGAATTTTCTTTGTCGATTGTATTGGTTTTACGGGGTAGGGTTGGTAGCCGTATGCCCAACCTTCCTCTTTATCCGGACTTAGAACCGGCTAGTAACTAGTGAACTAGTTAACCAGGTGAAGTTGCATTGTGGTTACCGACAGTAAGTTTTGCGGAGAATTTTCAGAAATTGGCATTGATATTTGCAACAGTCAAAGTCTATTCTAAATGACTTTCACTCAACGTATTTGGCGTGAATTATTAAATTATACCTTTTTTATCTTATGGCTTGACCTTAACCTATGGCAGTTTTATTCTGTAATGAGGCTAATCATAAAACCAAAAACAAATGAGAAGACTGTTAAGACTGTAAAGTAACTTCAAGAAGAAGATAGCAATTTAGACAAAAATACTTCAACTTTAAACAATCCAACATAAAATGAGGACAATTCTATTATGTTGACAAGTTAACAGTGTTGAGAAGCACTCTATTGACACGGAAGTTATAATTAACCTGATAAAGTTTTCAGTACACAATAAAGCACTAAGAATTTCAGTTCAGAGCTTGACATATTAAAAGATAAGTTATCCTCAAAGTTTTTACTTAATCGTTGGTAAAATATTAAATTTTATTTCTATAAGACGAAACGTTTATTCAGCTCAGAACACTGTTGTCAGTTGGGGAAGATCTTTTGTTGCAATTGGGGGAAGATACTGAAACTAGAATAATCTCAGACAAACTTTATCGGTTGTATTATTTTATTGATGTTACTTAACATTTACTTTGTAGTGTTATTCTGCAGTTTAGTTCAAGAGCTTCTTATTGACTCCTCAGTTAATTCTATATGAGTCATGATAACGAAATAATTGCTTGTTAACTGAAACAAACTGTCCGGCAATATCTACATTCTGGTATTTGAAATTAGTTGTTGCCTTTATGAATAATGGTATTTTCGGTCCTGTAGTTCAGTTGCATACGTGCATGACTCAGATCGCACAGAATACACAGTTAAGAAGAATGACATTTAGAGGGTTGTGAATGGCAAATTGTCTTATTTTTGGTTCAGTGAGTGAGAGTCAAAGGGATGGATAAAAATGAAGGCGAATCCAGTGGTGCCCAGACAACGGAGCGTACACAAAGTCAGAATCATGTAACAGTGTTAATTTTTTATAATTCAGTATACATTTACATTATAATCAGACCTGTATGCACAGTTTTTCATAACTGGGCAGTTTTAGGATCGCGACGGCTTCAACCCTGAATACCTTACAAACGTTTCCCTTCTACGTGACAACTCTATGCGAACAAGTGACAAATGAAGTTTGAAAAAGATTACCATGAAATTGTTTAATACCTATGAATATTCACCACTTCTTTGCTTCACGTATAGCCAGTTTTAACAAATAATGAGTTTGCATTCGACTAGCTACAGCCAGTGTCATTAATGCATGGAATCAGTTAGAATAAACTTATGTTTCTGATGATACCACACAGTATGTTATTACTGATTAAGAAAAACAGTGGTATGTCATAACTTTTAGCCAATTCATTCTGCGAGATTTTCATAAACACTGATTATTTCCTGTGTCCCTTTAACTTACTTTGTGAAACGAACCAAACGAGCTCTCCAGTAGGTCATCTCAGCTGATGGCCCCACGTCATCTGATTCTCGACGTACTTGATCCGACTGGTTTAATATTTGCTCAATTTGATTTACCCACTTCTCAACTAATCGAATTAGGCGATCCATTGTTTCAGAACTGTCAACTAAATACGGTAAAGATAACAGTAGTATTTGTATCATCACAAAAAGCTTAGTTTTTATAAATAGCTCAAGGATAGATATATATTGTGTTTAGGCACAAACATCAGGAAGCCACGCTTTACCTAGGTAGGTTTTATACTTGTTGTCACTCGACAGCAATCTTGCAGATACACCTTGCTCTTTTGGGCTAGGAAGATGTGATATAGGTTGATGGCTTCCTATCGACTGTGTCTGCTTCTGAAAACTACAACCAACAGAAATTAGAGCTCTTCATTTAATTCATTAAAGCTTTGATTTTGTGGAAAAAGCTTACTAATATTTTCAATTTCATTTGTATTGATAATTTGTATTGCTGCCTGAGATTCTTGTCCAGCTGTTAGGTCTATCTTATCACTCATATTTTCTCTGGCACTTGATAGTGCATCCAGGTAACGCCTGATAACTGTGACAAACTCTTCCATATTTACTGTTTCAGGTAAAGTTTGGTCAGTAGTCTCTGAATCCTATTTTTTGAAAGAATATAAATAAGAAAGTGATAATGTGTTATATCATCAAATAAACTCTATAAAAACGTGTTTGAAATGTGGCATGACTCAGTAAGGATTCTTTCAAACACCCGACTGTTGAGAAATATCACTGAACCTAACGGATATTCAAAATAAAAGGAAATGACCGCTATACCATCCCTATTAATGAATAAAATGCTTGTTAGTGCATAAAACATTTCACACAAAACACACACGTTCATACGCAATTGAATTAACTTGTGTCAAAATTCATAAGAAAATGTGTAATTTGTGATAGGAAAGTTCATAAAAACGTGTCGACCTTGTTGTAGGTCAAGGTAAACAAAGAGGTTGTACATATTTCTTTGAAAACATAGGTCCGGTTTTTTGCCGAACCCTAGCTGATGAACAATCATTTTCTTATGTCATTAGTTTTACTCCCTTTGTTCATGCTGCAAACTGTTGTCATTTTCAACCGTCACGTAATACTTCACATTTGTTATTCCCTATTTCGTTATAGTATTCACAGGATTTTCATCCCACCTGAATATAACTCATCACTACATAATTAATTACTTGATCCTTAGTTAACAAACGCACACACATTCATGCCCCAATAAAGATATATAAATAATGGAGAATATTTGTACCTCAGGTGGATGATTTTGGTTGTATTGTATATATATGTATATAAATGAATCATCATCTGTAGATTTTGTCTCCTCATTTCGTAGCTGTTCTGTCAATTAAATTTTTGAGGGGGTTGTGGAGATTTGGAAATATTTCAAGTTGTTATTCATCGAAGACTGACATCAGTTGGAGGAACAAAGGAAACCTGGGAGCACTGGACAGCTGTTTCGTCCTAGTATGGGACTCCTCAGCAGTGCGCACCCACGCGCTGGCCGCGGAACCTGAAGGTCGCGGGTTCGATCCCTGCTGGTGGGGTCGTGGGTGCGCACTGCTGAGGAGTCCCATACTAGGACGAAACAGCTGTCCAGTGCTCCAGGTTTCCTTTGTTCCTTCAACTGATGTCAGTCTTCGATGAATAACAACTTGAAATATTTCCAAATCTCCACAACCCCCTCAAAAAAATTTAATTGAACTGATGCTCATTGGTGACTAGCTTCGAGAAGTATTCCCGAAGTTCCAATGACAAGTCGTGACCGGTGGAGTCAAAGCCTGATGGCCGTGAGGACAGATACTCAACGATGACATTGGGTGGCGGTTTGCGCTATATCGTGAGCTAACAGAAGTTGGAAATATGGAGCATTGGATTCTGACCCAGTGGCTCAATGGTAACGCGCTGGCCGCGGAACCTGAAGGTCGCGGGTTCGGTCCCTGCTGGTGGGGTCGTGGGTGCGCACTGTTCTGTCAATATTGATTTCATTGCACAACTAACAGACTAGACTGATAACAGTTCCACCATTCCATTCAATTTGGTCTCCATTCGCCCATAACACTGACTATCTCAACATAGTAATAATTGTACATCATGACTTATTTCGGTTATTGTATTTCACTTATTCTAATGGATTTATATCTGTAGAGACTGAAGAAGAGGTTATTGAAAACAGTTGTTCGCTCAAATTATTCATATTCTGAATAACCAAGAATGTCGCAATAATTTATTCCTGAAAGCTTACATTATCAATTATCGAGAGATACTGAGGTTGTAAAATACTCCGGTTTTGTAATGTTTCGAAAACTTCAAATGGTTTCCAAGTTGAATGTTTTGTTGAATTGTCGTTAATCCGACCACATTCAATATAAGATTCCATCTACGACTGAAAGAAGATCATTGTAATGTTTCATGTCACTGAGACTGTGCTTTTAAGCAGTGTTTGAGTGATTATCGCTCAAGAAAACTGAAATGATTAAGACTATTAGATTTCTTGGTATCAATTCAAGAGCAACAGTGTTGACATACATTTGGTTTCAGCAAATACTTTTGAGTATAAATGCACAAGGAGGTTTAAATTTTCCTGCAATATGTGTAAATACTTTTTCTTCATTATCATTTTCCACTGATATGCAGATACCTTTTAGAGCAATTTTATATTCGTTTTCAAATACCTTCTCTGCAGCGAATGAAGATGTGTTTTCTGCCCAACAGAATACACCTGTTCCCGAAATCCAGTCAATACATTTTCAACCCGCTTTAACTGCATCTTCTGTTTCTCCCTTGAATGTATTTGTCGTCAGACATAAATACATAAATGTAACCTACTAAACTGCCAAGGATATGAGGTAGCCATTTCAAAAATTTTCAGATTAATTGTGAAGGGTAGTGTTAGTTTCCTGCACCATGAAAACCTCATTTTGGCAACAAATTTACTGACCACTGGCTCCGGTATTTGTTTCAAAATGATGCTTTTTGATTTACCTGTAAATCGAAATTCAGGAAAATGATTGTGATGGTGTCGTGTCTGAGTCGGATAGTTTAGTCGTAAAACTTTCTTTGTCATCATAGACAACAACATCAGTACAAACTTCAGAAGGAAGGCAGTTATGAGGTTTCCATCCACAAGTGGCTTAGTACCTTGTCATTGTTACCTTGCGTGTGATTGGTTGTTTCCACCAAGACGTTATCATTCTTCCCATACTTATTTATATTGAGTGTCCCCCTGAAGTGAACTTTGGCCTTCTTGGTATTCCTTGTTGGTTAATAGATTACGTGAGTGTCAGTTGCAGTTCTATACACCTCAGCTGAACCGAAACTGGATGACGATACAATGACTCCTCCTCGCCAATGGTAGACTGCAAGCTGACAAAAGAAATACTGATGGGATCACCTATATCAGGGATAATGCCGAAGCAGTAATGCAAAGGATAGAAGATGTGGTGTTACAGCCGGTCTGACCAAAACTTTGGGTCCAGTGTGTAGATGATGTCTATCACAGTCAAAAGAAACGAATTGGGAAACGTTGAAAAATTGACCAATAACGCGTTCGACGATATCAAATTCCCAATTGAAGAGAGGTTAGACAACAAACGTACATTTTTAGATGTTCCGATCACCTGGACGGATTCGGAAAATTGGAAACTGGAGTCTACAGAAAACCAACCTACACAGATCAAATCTTCAACTGCAGCAGCAACAGTTCAACAATATACAAAATCAGTTGCATAGAAACTTTGTTTGAAAAATTAAGACACACTGTAGTTACTGTTATGGTTTCGAACGCTAATGGTATACGTATATGCTCCAGAACGAATATAATACGCGCGCTTAGCTGAAAGCTAACTTGGTACGCAAGAGACATTGACGCAACCTTGGGACGAACAGAGAGAAGACCGAAGCTGCTAGATGGGAAGTGTATTACTCCGAGACTATAATAGTTCAACCCAAACACGTGAATAAGTATACACTTGGATAATGACCTTGTCCTCAATTTGAGGCATTTGCATAGTTAGAGTGAAGATTAACCAATTAGCGATTTACATTACAATGGGGGCAGAAAATAGATTATTAGTCATACCGTAAAAATGATGTGGGAATGACACGTTAAAATGTTTAGATCAATAACAATGTTTTATACAAAACTGGAGCATCACAACAGTTACTCAACCTTACGGAGAAAAGAGGACAGCTATTTAATGACTATTTTCAAGGAGAACGGCTATCCATACAGCTTTATCAAAAGAGGTTTGTCAAATTCACTGTCAATAAAAACGTCATTCTTGGAAATCAACAAATGGATTCACTTACCCTGGATGAAGAATGTCTCCGAGATCGCAACTAGACTACTGCAGCCTTTTCAAATAGCCTATAAAATCTCTACATTCTTTATTATCTAGGTCAAAGGATGAAATAGCGGAGGAAGGCAAGCCAAACGTTATCTACAAAATAAACTACAGAAACTGCAAAAGCACAACATCATGCAGAGTGGTCCCCCTCTTCGTATCTGTCTACATGAGCATCAACCAGCAGTGAAGTGTAACTACATATCTTCAGTCAGATCAGTAAATATAGGGAACTGTGAATATGAATTTGACTAGGAATATGGGAAAATCCTGCAGAGAGAGAGAGTACAACAAATGTCAGAAGATTTTCAGAAGCGTGGCACTCAGGTCAGTCACCGATCAACAGACATATTAAAGCTGATGCAATCTATCAACCAAGAAGGTCAAAGTTCACTTCAGGGGGACACTCAATATAAATAAGTATGGGAAGAATGATAACGTCTTGGTGGAAACAACCAATCACACGCAAGGTAACAATGACAAGGTACTAAGCCACTTGTGGATGGAAACCTCATAACTGCCTTCCTTCTGAAGTTTGTACTGATGTTGTTGTCTATGATGACAAAGAAAGTTTTACGACTAAACTATCCGACTCAGACACGACGCCACCAAAATTTAGACTATTTTAGGGACGGGAAACAGAACTTGTTTCAAGGTTAACTGCCTGTTTATAAAGTCCATTAGATGCCCATAATGTACCAGTGTTTCAATTAACAGTTTGACTTTCTCTTCTCTCCTAATCCAATATCTATAATTAGGTTCTGTAAAGAACTTCAGACATTTTTCTTAAGGGTTCAAAAATAAGTTATCATTACATAAAATTACCTTGGCAGACCAAATCTATTATCACGGTCATATAAATAGCATATTTCTCCCCACTAATCATCTAACTTCACATAGTTTTCATCTTTTGTGCTTTGTTAATGTTATGTGTATGTCGATTTGTATGATAAGAAAGTGCGAAATCATATTAATTGGAATCAGCTGCTGGCGAACATGGGGTGTTTCAAACCATATTTCGACCCCATTAAACCCCATTTGCACTCAGCTAGACAAAAGCCATGATACCTGAAGTGTCACTGTGTTCAATTCGGTTTTCGATAGCGTGATCATGTGATCGACCTACAATACCTTCAACCATTAAGTATTATCCAATTCATGTAAGAGATAACTTGCGGGCTAAACAGACACCGAAAATAAAATGACAAACGAATCGCTTAGCTTCTTTAAATCCTACCAAATTTAGGATTATTTATAAGTTAGTAATTTACTTGGTTGTGGCTAGCAGAGGAATCCAGGACGCGCGTTTCATCCTATTTGAGACTCGTCAGCTTGATGTACCTGCACTCCAGTGAGTGGTGTTGTTCCCGTAACACATATTCAGGCAATATCGAAACATCCGCATAGGAGCCCATGTGTCACCTGGGGTCAAACGATTGGATCCAGTGTAACACCGGAGAATTGCAAGTATATCAACAAATAGTAATAATTCATAAATTGTTCAGAAAGGAAAGTTTAGATAGAGATGATCTGAAACCCAAGCAGATGTTTTTGAATGGGTTTTCTGACTTATTAACGAAATCCCAGACATTAATTATTGTTCCATTTCTCATAATCATATGATCTGTAAGTTGTTACTTATATCATTATCTCACAATGAATGTTTTATTAAGTAAATTACAGCTGTGGTAAAGGTAAGGGATTTTCCCCTACTCTATTAATTTATCGAACAGTTAATTCAATGGGAATCAGTAGCATTTGACATCGAAGCAAATAAGGGAATTGCAATGCATACTAATGTGCCAGTCATATTTTGTGGTTACAGCACAACACACAAAGTGTAACAAACGAATTTAGAAATCAGTTTTTGGGATAACAAGTACTTAATGCATGACTCTAAGACAACCGCAAGTAACCACTGAAATAATCAACCCGTTTTCTCCCATTCGGCTATAAAGGTATACGAAAATGGTATGAATTTGAACAGTAAATTGTGTTCGAAACATCATTCAGTATATAACACTGTTTCGCTGTGCGGAATATCCAACAAACAAAAGTAGATTTCAACTCTAACCAAGTGCTCAAGTTCCACTCTTCCACTAAGGCTAGAAAAGTAGTTTTTTCATAAAATAAATCAGCCTCATTGGCCATTTCAGTAGTTGTCACAACGACATTTAAAGCCGCCCACAGTTATTGACATATGAAATGAAAACCCTTAATTAACCAAAGAGTAAAATCCTGAATGTCTGGTTCAATCTCTTCCACGTCAACTGGTCATGTGGAAGAATAGTAATCAACTGGAAACAAAGTGTAGCCGACTGAAGTGACTCTAAAGACCAACCTAGAAAAGACTGAAATAACTAATTTCTTTTTCTAAATTTCGACTGAAAAGCGCAGGTTTTTACACAATTAAGAATTCTGCTTGGTAATTTCAACTGTTGCTAGGGTGGCTTTTAAAATAACTCCCTAACTAAGCACAATAGGAAAGGTAAACACTCACTACTGGTCATTCTGTCAATCCGTGCTCTGATGCTCACCAGTCAGAAGAAAGCTTTTCTCTACAAATGTCTTTGTCTGAAATTCTAGTCATGGTTTATTGTTGGTGAACATGGCCATTGGGAACTGTATTACCGATTGTATCCTTACTTTTCTTTACTACAAAACCGAATGGTAAAGTACTAGGTGAAAACCGTCAAAGTTTATTAACACTTTTACACAAGTGTGTATTGCGTACATTGAAAAATAAACTAAAGCCTTACCCCTATTCCTTCAAATACAGGTAACGCAAGCCTTTCTAGATAATTTTGTACAGATTCAAATAAACGTCCTTCTGTAGCATCCAGTTGTTGAAATGATACTTCTGTACCAATATTTGCTGTCGTGATAGCTTTGTCTGTAATCCGTAGGAAAATGAAGCATGCACCACGTAGCACCTAAATAATAGCGGGAAAAAATAAGTTAAAATAAAGGATATTACCAAGATGAGATATCAATTTCGTTGCGGAGAAAATGCAGTTGAATTAGTGAAGGAATATGAATTGAGAATAATCAGTAAATAATCGAGTTGTTTTGCTTCTACATAGCTTTGTCTTGTCGACCATGTTTACTTTGACATCAAAACACTTGCAGAATACAACTCAGTCAGACAACAGTCATGCTTACACGTTCACAGCGTGATTGCAGGTATTCGTTGCCATATTTGAAGATTTTTATTAATCGAATGAAGGCAAAATACCCTCTACAAACGTCGTTTTACAAAAGTAGTCAACTTCGTTCGAAGCTTCACTTGAAAATCTGTCGTTTATACAACATACAGTGTGATTATATGTTTATGTTTGTGAGCTCCTGTCACCCTTTGAAACCGATAAACAAGTTAACAATAATTGAAGTGCTGTCTGATACTTGTAATCTGCCGTTGCCATACTGGGTCGAATTGCTCGACCTCTGTTGACAGATAGGCTACTATGCGGAGGCCTCGATACTGTTTGATTACTCACAATGTTGTAATATGTTTAGTGGCCTGCAGCGGAATCCAGGAAGCATGTTTCTACCTATTTGGGAGTTATCAGGCAGTATCGAGGCCCCCCATTGGAACCAATCTACAGACAGAGTTCTAGCGACTCGACCCAATGCATCAACTGCAGAATGAAAATATCCAAAAAAACCTGACACTCGTTGCACAAGAGGTGGCTATCGTGCCTCGGTGGCTTATTGGATAGTGCTTTGGCATTCGAGGCGATGGCTACTGTGTCTGAGTTTCAGTGGGAACAACACCACTCATCGAGGTCCAGGTACATCCAGCTGACGAGTCCCAAATAGGATGAAGTGCGCGTTCTGGATTCCATTGATGGCTACTAAGCAAACTGTAAAATTATCGAAATGACTGACTAGCAGAATCAAGGAGTAAGATGAGAATTTCCACCTAGCAAACTTTCTTTGGAAAATTTTCGAGGTTCTCATTAACAGTGATTTACTTATCATTAACTTTGATTAACTCTAAGTATATCATGCGTTATTTCAAGTGAAAACTTTGATATCTGACAGCTCAAATGTTGATTCAAGCAGTTAATAGGAGAACTGTTTGATTTCTCTGTAAACTGTGAGCATTTTTCATCAGGAAATAAAGGGCATTATAAAACTACTAACACATAATGATGAAGAAGACTTCACACCAATAAATAGATTTAATATTTGTTTTTAAATGAAAAAAAAATCAGTTAACTGATGATGGATAAACCTATCTGAGATCTCCATAGCTTAATAAACTGGTATTTTGATACACGGTGATGGTTAAAAGTGAAATGAAAACTAGGTGCTTGGTGTGAAGCGAAAACCTGACCACAAACTGAATCTCTTGGTTTAGCTGGTAGAACTTTAGGCTGGTAATCTGAAAGACACATATTCTAACCCTACCCTCACTCGTCACGTCACATCTATTGCTTATAAGATCTGATCAATAGTAACATCGATACATTTATTTACTAATTACGCTAACTTTCAGATTTCATTCCATCCATTCCGGTACATCTACAACCAAAGGATAGAAATCTTTTATGATAAGTAAGGAATATTACAACCCTTCAGTATTGCAGTGATTAAAGCATCACAGTTTGAATTGATCAATGTGTACTTCACCTTCGTCAGGAGTTAATAATATGTTCAAACATACATGTTTGATAGCCATCAAATATTTTAAAAAATGTTTATTCTGAGCATGACTTTGATTCCTTACGAGACATTGTCTACGCAGAAAATTGTTTTTAATCTTGAAGATCTACAGTGGGATGAAAATAACTGAGGATATTGGCAAGTATGAAAAATCTGTCATCTAATCGTTTTACGATTACAAGTATTAATAAATAGATCAAGGTGCAGTGATGCACATAAGCACCAGAACACAAGTAAAGCTACATATAGATTTATTCTAAAGCGGTAATGTGAATACGAATGTGCCTAGAATAATAATAATGAGAAACTTTCAAATGCTGCACTTAAGTTGGTAGGACCATTGGGTTTAGAAGTATGATCAAGATTGAGGGACCAACAAGGGTTAATTGTAGTCAGAAAGGACTGAAGAAACTACAACCAATGTGAGAATTCACTTCGTTTACAGACAAATAAACAAAGACTACTGCAGTCTGTTTATATGGCATAATCAACTCAAATGATAGAAACACTCAGTCGGAAAAATGGCCATAAATGAAAAATAGGAAATACGATACAATATAAGTTAGCTACATATTAGACATAAGATAAATATGAATCGGATACGGGTCGGTAGGGAGTGATGATAAACAAGTGACTTTAAAACTACCCTAACAACTACTGCAATAGCCAATTAGGTTTTCTGGAGTAAGCGAATTGCTTATTACAGTAATTACTAGAGTTGACTTAGAGTCACTTCTCAGATGATATTTTGAAAGCAGCTATTTTGCAATTTTTCTCTGATACCCACACATTATATGAACGACTCAAATGATGGGTATTCTTTCATCTATTTTAGCTCTCAATCCTGATCAAACTTATACAATATGGCCACTGATCCGTTTGCCTGAATAACTTTGATTATTATTTTTGATGTAGTAACTGAAGCTTATTAAAAGAAAAAGGAAAACTTGACTTTACGCTTTCTAATAGTGCTTTTAACACTTAGAATGATCATAGTGTCTCTGATATTCCACTGAAAGTCTAGCTGGTATAAAGAATATAGTTTGAATGACATTTTTGATATTGAAACAGATTCACGAAATAAAAATTTTAAGAAATACCCATGAGCTTACTTCATGTGTCCCAGAAGCAATAAATATTCTTTTTCTAGATTGTCCAGGAGCCTACAGGATGATCAAAAGTATTTGAAGATATATCACTCATCAGTTGGAAAAGTTATACAAACACTATTTATGGATAATAAAAGTTCTAAAGTCCACTTGAAAGACAAAAAGTGATGAGGTATTTGACGCTAGACTGTAGAAATCAATGGTTACATAAAAGTTGAACATATTCTTCCCAAATGATTCCAGCTAGTCCATTTAAATGATCCAGGAGGTAAATCCCCTATCATAGCTGTAATATTAGCTCCAACAAAAACTAGCTAGTCTTTAATTTTCCTAGAGCAAGGAGAACAATAGTAACAGAATAAGCATGCATTTATTTCATGGATTCTCCTAAGTTGCTTTACAACCTATCAAGTATAATGTTGATCATAAACAATGTGTTATACAACGTACTTGAATAAATCGACAAGAATTTTTTCAATTGAGATAGAAGATAACAAAGATTCAGGTTGATCAACATCGATGAACTTGGTAAGATTACTCAAAGATTAACCATTTATACAATGATAGAATGAACATTCGAGAGAAGATAGCAAAACATCTTATGTATAGATATACATATAAATGAGATGAGGTTGTGCATAACGTTATTCTAGAAGTAGTAAAAAGAACTTCATGGTTAAGTAAACGTAGTAGACATTCAACAGGTTTTCATTATATTGAGAAATGAGATGAATGCAACTCAGAGAGAGAGAGAGAGAGAGAGAGAGAGAGAGAGAGAGAGTAGCTTTTGAAATAGATCTAAAATAAAGGCTCATTAGGACATGAAACCTCATGCTTACAAATTTAGGAGGATACAATTACCAAGGTAAGGCAAGATTTACAACAATATCTTTCTGAATACATAGATCAGGTTTGAGTCTTTTAGCTGCAACTGCTTCAGTTAATCACGAAGGATTGGGTTTCCTTTGTTTATTGATCACTTTGAATGAAGTTAATACATTGAGTTTATGTCCAGTATTAAGTAAATGCTGGATGAGTGCACTATTTAAACCGTGTGGACACTTAGGACTCAAATTCTTTAGTATATGTCGATTATACTGATTAATCTTCATTCACTTATACAATAGCCAGGAAACTGGGTGATGTATTGATGCAATACATGACTTAGCTTTTTCATCTAAGTATAAAATATTCGGTCCAACAGAAAAGCAGTTTTTCATCAATCATATCGTCATAAAAGATTTCGACATTAAACATCCTTACATTACGCTGAATATATATTTGTAATTTATTTTTAGATAAATGCCTCGGAAATGATTTCAAGAGTACTTTCTATGTATCATTAGTTCACATTGCAGGTAAAACATTCAGTTAAGCTAGTTTTGCTTGGTGAAAAGGATTTTACTGCTGCTACCAAAAGCGAACTAACCTGGGGCTGTTGGTTCTACTCTTACCACAACCTACATTTTCTTTCGATTCCAGTAATTATTCACGAATGTATGCAAACTCAACCTCGCCTAGTTTACTAGTTCACTAATTTACTAGCCGGTTCTAAGCCCGGATAAAGAGGAAAGAGTGGACATGAGGCTAGCAACCCTACCCCGTAAAACCAATCCATTCGCTAAAGAAACTTCAAAGCACAGGGAAAATATAATAATAAAATAAACTTATTCCTTGCTGGAATCGGAGAGACGAAATGACGCCGGTTGGTGAAAGCCTGCCTTCGGGAAGCCAATTGGCCGATATGTCTTCCCTCGATGAAAGCAAAAGTAAGCATAAGGACATGGAATGTTCGCAAAATGTTTGAAGCTAGCAAGGCTGCCCAGATCGTAAAAGGGATAAGAAAGTATGGTATAGAACAGAAGTGCTAGGAATCTGTGTAAGCAGATGCAATGGAAGTGGACACTAAACTCTTATCAGGAGAGTCAGTAATCTACTCCGATATTATCACCCAGACGACAACCAAGAGCACACTGAAGGAGTGGCTATCACAATGTCCCCAAGAGCGTAGGAGGCTCTCATGCAGTGGGAACCAATCTCCTCCTCCAGCATCAGGATCATGACAGCAAGATTCAACTCAAAAGGAAGGAAAGTCACAAGCATTCAATGCTACGCTACGCTACACACCTACAAATAATGCAGATGAAGAGAAGAAGGAGGAATTCTACAGACAACTGCCACCAATACCGGACAAGACCCCAACCCGGTTGGCAATATCAAAATTCATTCTGATGGGTGGGGTGATATGAATGCCAAACTGGGAGTGGACAACACAGGAAGAGAACTCATCATGGGTTGAGAAGCACTTGGTGAAATGAATGAGAAAGGAGAATTGTTTGAAGACTTCTGAGCATTCAACGATTTGGTGATTGGAGGCGATGTAGTGTGTACAAAAACAAGGATATTCACAAAGCAGCAACATGGATTTCACCAGACTCCAGGACACACTGAGGATCAGATCGACTTCATCGCAATGTGAAGAAAGTGGAGATGGAGACGCAGCCAGCCTACGGGACACAAGAACAGATGAAGAAGGGGAGCAGATGTAGGTGGTTCACACGACTCACTCTCTATCCAGTGCAAGCAGGCTACCTGCAAAATCTAGTTGAAAGCCTTCACAGAAGTTGATGGTAGGCCACAGTTCAAGTTGAACACCCACTTGGGACAGGAAGTGAACTGAAGGACGAAACTACAAGTGACATCTTCACGCCAGCCATCAGGACGAAGTGGGAGATATTGAGCAACATCTTTGAGGAAACCAGCGTGGAAGAACATTGGTATTCTTTGAAAGAGATGTGGAAGGAGACCTGCATAACCGTATTGGGAAGGAAGAGGAGACAAGACAAGGAATGGATCTCAACGGATACGTGGAAGCTGATAGAGGAGGGAGAGGGAGAGGGAGAGGAAGATGGTGAAGCAGAAGCAGAAGATGAACCAGTGCAGAGCAGTGCAGTGAAGTGCAGGGATGCACAACGAGAAGAGGAACTGAGTACAACGTATAAAACACTACACTGGACAAAGAAGTGAAGAAGATTGCACGCAAAGACAAAACACACCTCCACGACATATTGGCAAGTGAATCAGAACAGGCTGCAGGTAGGAGAGACAGAGACATGACCACATTGAATCAAATAACCAGGTTGCTATCTGGGAAGGGGTTAACACCCATGAAACGAATGAAAGATAGTGGAGGAAAACTAGTTACCAAAGAGGAGGAACAAAGGAAACAATGGGATGACCACTTCAGAAAGCTCTTGAATCAACCACCACCACCACCTGCAACTCGTTCAGAATTTTCACCAACAGCCCAGCCACAGAACTATCAACAAACCTAAACCCTCCGACAAAAGCAGAAGTGAAGTTCTGAAAGCCATAAAGTTGCTGAAATCCAGGAAAGCAGCAGGACCAGATGGAATTCCACCAGAACCACTGAAAACAGATGCAGATACATCAGTGGACATGCTCACACCACTACTGCAGAAGCTTTTTATGGAAGGAAAGGTACCTGCCAACTGATTGGAAGAAGGGCTACCTTGTCAAACTTCCAAACAAGGGACACTTAAGTCTTTGCATGAACTGGCGGGGAATCATACTACTGTCCACAACAAACAAAATATTATGCCACATCATTCTCGAGAGACTAAAACGAAAATGCTCTCAATTCAAAATTATGACAGCAGTAGACTGGCTGGCTGGCTGGCTGGCTGGATTCTGGAAGAACAAATCATGTGCCGATCAAATTGCAACGCTACCCTACGCATCATCATCATCATCATCATCATCATCATCATCATCATCATGGAACAGAGCATAGAATGACAGTCAACTCAACTCTCTACCTCAACTTCATCGACTCTGAAAAGGCCTTCGACAGTGTCGACTGAGAAGTAATCTGTCAGACAGCTGCTGCAAGACTACCAAGTGCCACAAATCTTTATCCACCTCATTCAACAGTTATATGAAGACGCCACATACCAAGTGATTCACAATGGAAAGTTGAGTGATGCGTTTGAAGTGAAGACAGGAAGGAGTGAGACAAGTTTGTCGCCCACTATCACTCATCATCTTCCTGATTGTGGTTGACTGGACTGGACTGGACTGGATTGAATTGGATCATCCAGCAAAGTGTGAGGAGCGAGAGGACGGGGATATGCTGGCTGGACCGGGTATAAGATCATAGAAGATTTGGATTTCACTAACGATGATGATTTATGTCTGATGTCTTGTGGCACAAATTCGAAGATCTGTAGGTGGAAACCAACAGGTTGACAGAAAAGGCATGGCAGCGAGGATGGGACTTCCCTCAGGTGAACGTAGGGAAGACAGAGGTGGAGGTGATGAAGATACCCAACCAACAACAGCATCAACAACAAGCACCAATCACCATGAATGGGAGAAGCCCAGAAGAAGTTGCCTCCTTCACCTACCCACCTACATAGGCAGCATCGTCTCAACTACAGGTGGAACAGGCATAGATGAGGACGTCAAAGCCAGGATTGGAAAGACAGCAAGACATGCCTTCCTTCATTAATCTGAAATCAGTGTGTAGATCTTCTGCACTCAGGATAAAGCGTGAACAAGATCCGAATTTTCAACACTGATGTCAGTCGAGTCAGTGTTTCTACTATATGGTTCAGAAACTTGGTGTGTCACGTAAATCATTTCCAACAAACTACAAACATACGTTAACAACAGCTGCTGCCTACGCCAACTCGATACTGACACTGAAGATCAGATGGTGAGAATGATAAGAATAAGCAAGAAGGAAGTCTGGCTGGCTGGCAGTGAACCAACCAAGAAACTATTGCCCAACAAGTGTGTAGAATAAAGTGGAGATGGATTGGATAGGGCATACACTGAGAAGACCATTTGGGTACATCACGTGCCAGGTCAGGCCTTCGAATAGAAGTCAAAGAGGGAAGGATAAGTTTGGCGTCCGAGGTGAGGGTGATATGGAGGAGATTGTGTGGGGAAGAAATGAAAGGTTGTGGGCAGTTGTGGAGTCAGGTTGAAAAGACTGCAGAGAGTAGAGTGAAATGGAGACGTGTAACTGAAGCCATATGTTCCACTGGGAGCTCAAAGGATAAATAACAATAATATGCTAACTAAATTCATCTCTGCTAAGTGATAATGATGTTAACTATGTTTCCATGATGATACAAGTTTACGTTAAATGTTTCAACAGTAAACCTCAACATATGAACTAGCGAAGTACTTAGCATCGATATTATGTCCGATTAGGAACCGTTCAAATTCCAGACTAGTTAACTCCTACGAGTTAAAACTGAGACTTAATGACCTACATATAGGAGAGGTTGGAAAACTAGCTTCGATGTCCCCAATCCATATGGCACTGGAGGCAGTCAGAAGTCAACTAAATATTGACGCAGAACTTACTGAATTAAGACATTGTTTGATGAGATCATATTAGAATTTAGAAATGTTTAGTTCTGCATCAAAAATATGGTGATGATATGTGGATGACTCATTTAATGTGTTAAAATCGGAATATGTCTACGATTTCCTCATACATAGAAACTCAGTAGTAGGCGCGGTCTAACTCACTTATGAGTTAGAAAATGAACAAGGAGAAATGCCTATGTTGGATTACAGAATAAAACAAAGGATAGACAGTGGTATGGATACTACCATCTGAAAACCGATACATTCCAACAGGACGGGATGACTTCAATAGAGTGGGACAAAACCACTGTACTTAAGTACAATACAATTAGGTAGAGAGATTGATTAATGAATCTTGTCCATCGAATCAACACGCAACACATAATAGAAATGATGCAACACCTATACCAAACATATGGAAAATTTTGCTACCAATAAAAACAACTCATATAAAGTGACATAACTATAAAAATCAAATGTCAAAAATAGTGTGATTACATTGATATGATTATGAGTAATAATTTATGCTCGAAACGTCAAGTAAATAATACTATAATACTGTGTCTTATAAATCAAATAAATAAATCTAATATGGAATTAAATTCTACCAGTGCCCAAGTTTTACACCTATATTAAGTAAACTATCCAGCCTCATGAAACCTTTCGAACTGTATCATGTTCATCATAATTTAGACTGACTTGTCACCATGTAAATTATATTTAGATTTTTAAAAATAGTTTATGGGGCATTTTAAAATGGTATCAGGATGTTTTCCCAGGTACTCAAAAGCGCTTAAATATTATGTAAAAAAGTATTCCAATCAGTCTGAATGCAGCAACAGAGTCTTGTGCCCACATTCAATCTTTGTTGATATTTACTGAAAAGAATTCCTCGAAGAGACTAGTGTTTCTTCAATGATTGAAGGTTGACTAAAGACCTGGGTTGCAGAGGGATTTGAGCCAGTGGCTTATGGGTCATCAGCCCAGAGTTCTACTACTAAAGCAGCATCTGGGTTTCATAGCTCAGATTTTGATGGTTTTATGTTCTCTGAGCTGGATGGTTTAATCATGAAGCTTTGTTATCATTCTTAACGACATCAACACAAACTTCAGAGCTAAAGTAAGCAAAAAACAGAGTATAATGGCTGTGAAATCACCATAACGGTTGGTAAGTGTCAGCCTATATTATTTGATAACTGTATATCAATCATTGGGAACACACTTACCTTAGAATAGACTACCTAGCTATGGACCATACAAAACAAACCAGTTTTACTGGATTCTTACAGTGTACAACTTTTACCACTCTTATAGTGGATCCTAACTTGAGCTGCTGAATTCGAAGTGAGTACTCACACTAACAGTTAGTCTAGGCTTTGCAAATATCTTTATATGACCTGAATTTGCTGAAATAATCGACTGTTTGCCATCTTCGGAGTGGACATCATATACATAGACTGATGTCGCTATGAGTTTAAGTGAGTACTGTTTAAGGTATTTATCAGAGTTCTCAAACCCGTTCGTTGAAAGATAACCTTATTCATCTTGTAGCGAGGGGGTTACAGCTAGGACTGGGTAGCTGTTTCTTACGACACCGATTATCCAAACTATCCGACGAAAGACTTTCTGGTTTAAAAATCATTCTAACATTATTAACCAACGTAACTAATTGATATGCTGAATCTAAAAATTTATATATCACTCTAAATTGGTGTGTCTACATAGATAAATGATTTTTAATGAAATACTTTATGATATAAAGGTTTTTCAACTAACTTCTTGATAATAAAACAATAATCTTCGGCTTCCTTTGGGTTGAAAGAATGCATCGAATTCAGACCACTAAAAATTAGAAAAATAAGATCTAATTAAAAATTAACATAAAAAGCAACGTAAAGTAACTGACATAATACTAAGTCATACACAGCACATGATTCAGTCACCACATATGACGCAGCTTGATATTCAAAGTGAGTGACTTGCCCTACCTTTTAGAATCCAGCATTGAACTTGAATACCACTTGTCTGAAGCTTCCATTACACATGGCAATGCTTCAGACACCGATGATACAATACGATCAACCTTTTTGAAATGTGACTCTCATAGTCCAATCCTTAAACAGAGACTTAACGCTGATGTTAGGAGGACTTATTATGCATCCGGGGTTCAATTAATGGGAGCCACTAAGCCTGTATGTTCTCCCAAACCCCTACAGCATGTGAACAACAATATCATATCCCATTGCGTCTACCAATTCAAATGTACGTGTGATGACACATACATAGGGACGGCTCATAGATCCATGCAAGTAAGGGCTTCGGAACATATTCCAAAGTGACTTCAGAGGCAAATTAAACCACCTGAACCCATAAACATTGGTAACAGACGTCCAAGTTCTTCCATGGCGAAACATATTGTTGAGACAGGTCACAGAATTGATAAAGTTACTTCTTTAGATTTATTTACAAAATGTGTTCAAGACGGACCCTTAAATTTCTTGAGACCTAAACTGTTAGGAAGTTCAAACCACCTTTATGTGTTCATAAATAGTTTGTTATGAGATTAAATCTCCCTTGGTAAATTCAGCTATGAAAACCAACTTTGATGTACTATTATTTTGTCTCGATTGACTTTCATTGTTATTTGGTCTTTAATTCAGCCTTCCTACTTGACCTCTTTTCATTTTTTCACGCTTTATCTTCATGAATTTTCATATAAATACCTATGATAAAAACGTGTGTGAGCAGATAGTTCAAAATGTGTTGCGCAAATACATTACACGGTTCAGATAATTTACGTATTCTTACTGTTTTGTCAAAGTTTATAAAGGAAACTAATTGTTTTAAAATCCCAGTATTCTTCTCAGAAATGATTTTGAATAATGTTTTTATGCAATTTAAGTTGAATTTTGTGAAAAGCTGTTAGGGAATACAGTGGTATTCATGAAAACTTACTGTGTCTTGCCTGATGTTTTGTACTATCACAGATTCAAACGATCGTACTCAGTAACCACAACACAATATTTTAGGCCGGAAGTTTGTGGGGATTAACTGATTTCAAGATGGTATTCATCACGGAGGAAAATCAATCAGAAAACCGTTGTAAACCTGGAAGCCCTGAACAGCCGTTTTCTCTGAGTATGGGAATCCTCAGCAGTGCGCACCTCTGACTTCATCAGGCATCGAATCCGGAACCCTCCATTGAACTCCGACTCAGTAGCTCAATGGTTCACTGCAAAACCTGACGGTCCTGGGTTTCAACCCCTGGGGGAGAGTGGGCGCCCACTGCTGAAAAGTCCCAAGCTGGAAAGGAAGAGCTATCCAGTGCTTCGAGTTTTTCAATGGTTCTACAACACAACAGATAAATTTTAGTGATTCAACTAAAAAAACAGTCACAAATTATAATTACTCACAAAACGTGTTGTTTATTAATTTTACATATACGTTCATCAAAACGTTTGCATAAAACCACTAGTAAGAATACTGAGTAATACTGAGTAATTTTGTTCCCTAAGAAAATGAATGTAAGATTTGGCATGAGGATCAACTAAGGATGATTTACTTATTTGTTCTACTTCTTCATCATTCGTTGCAGTTTGGGTAGTTGTCGAAGTGTTTTGAATCCATCACAAAGCATATTCACTAAGATTTATTGATTATTATTATTATTATTATTGTTATTATTATTATTATTATTATTATTATTATTATTATTATTATTATCTCTCTGCATCTCCACAAGTTGGTCCATATTTCTAAAATGAACTTCCTTTTTCAACGCCGCATCTTCTGTCACATTACTACATCAATATACAATGGTTTCATGCATCTGTTTAGGTTACTCATAATGAAAATTACATGCACATTCAACCAAAGACCAATTTTGTTTGTTATCAACTTGGATGCCATATTCAACTTACTATTTGTAAAAGGCGCATCAAAATAGTCACAGGTCTTTTCTAGGACAAAATTCATGATTAAAACCACATCTGCCAAATTTAAGGCGAATAAATCCACTAAATGAATTAAGTTGTGCACAATGTCACTCACTACACTTTTGGAAAAATGCTTTTCATTTTATTTTAAGTTCAGATTACTGTTTCATAAAACCGGTGCTCATTTGAACAGACTTCTTCATTGAACTAACCAACAAAGGGTACATTGCATCTTTCGGTGACAGCATATATTAAATTAGTCACTTGAACATTATGGTGACACAAAGCAGAGTGATATTTGAGTCAGATGTCGATGAATAAAAAAATTGGCAGAGGTTCCTCAAGTATTTGTTAGGTACTTCAAGATTTCTGAAAGTGTAATAGCTAACTTTTCAGCCGAGTGCGGTGACAACATATCTATTTGATATTAATTTTTTCGAACTTTGATCAAAAGGTATATTCCACTACTTTAGCAATAATTTGGCATTATTCACTGATTCCCCTTTTGATTTTGAGTAGTTTTAAAAGGCAACCTAAACCATCTATTTTGCAACTAAAAATGTTTAGTTATGAATCACTATATATCTTACGATGGATGAAGCTTGTGAATAGTGTTCAAAGCCTACTATTTCTCCCCTGATCAAAACAGATTAGGTTGCCTTGATAAAACTTATAGCAAACTGAGCCATGGAAAGTATTTGAACACACATCTTAAAGTGGAGGTATATTGGGATTTGAAGTCAATACTCATATTTGTGAGAAGTTACTTCATTGATCTCTTCTTCCATTAATTTATGGTAAGTCATTTTTCATTTCATTTCAGTCTAGGTCTAAAAAGCTCATTTTTTTCTGACCAGCCATTTACAAAAGATCTTTTTAATGTAAAATGTTGAAATGATCAATTATGCGAATAAGTCATACAAACAGGTTATTTTTTTCTACACTATTTACCTCCTGTTGAATAGCAAATTTCTTATCCAGTCTTACTTTTTTATTCAGGCTGTGTCGGTGCAAACTAATCAAGTTAACCACAGTCCAAGAATAAAGTTAGGTACTGAATATTGACTAAGAGTAACATACCCTACTTCCACTGTCATATTGGTTCTCTAATTATTATCACTATGGCATAGTAACAACTATGCTTTTCCAAGCTTATGTTAGATTCAACAAAAGATCAAACGAAACCCTGGTTAACTCTCTGTATAAAGAGAGCTTGTTCAGTCTTCTTGCATGTAAAGGTCTCTTGCTCTATTTACGATTAAATATCTGTGTAGCGGCTTTATGGGCCATAATTTAAGGATGGGAAATCTTCAAGTAGTAATAAGATTGTTCTAAGCAGTTGTGTCTATCCAATGTATCCCTCAAGTAAACGTATACTGAGTTTCATACCATCAACATCTGAGTTCTGGTTTCATCAAGCTTTTGGGACAAAAGTTTCATACTGGATAGCGGTAAATATTTAGTCATCCTTACAATAATAACATTTATATCTAAACTAACTTTTGGTTTTAGATAGCTTAGTTCCCACATTGTACAAAGGAATTGAATATAGTATTAATTACTAGTATGTTGAAATGCTGTTGTACGTACCTTATCATCCATTAATAAAGCATCAGTGATTTGTTGTGCTTCCAGCTGTGTAGCTTGAGCTAACTAAAAGTAGAAATATGAATTCAAAAGCTTGAGAATGAACATAGCACATTACTGATTGGTGTTTATTACAAGCTGAGAAAGTGAGGTTAGTTTGAAATGAGCAAACAAGATGTCTAATTTTTGTTTTATTGAAGTTATCTATTTTGCATACTTTATCGTGAATACAAACATAGTTATTGAATTATATTCTTAATAAATTGATACAACTACTATTCCGTTTATTACAAATGAATTGGTTGAAAAACATTTTGGAATACGAAGTTGCAGAAATGGAATGACTCTGAAGACCACTGTAGTAACTCCTGAAATAACCGATTTGATTTCTGTGTTTCAGTTACAAAGCGGGTAACGCTTTGGTGTTCGTGTAGTAGGTTCAAGTCTCCGTGGAAACAACATCAATCACTGGAGTGCAGGCCCATCCAGCTGATGAGTCCCAAATGGTACGAAAAGCGCGTCCTGGATTGCACTGCTAGTGGGTTATAGCCGAATAAGAAATCGGTCAGTATCGAGGCAACCTTATAGGAGCGCGTCTGTCAACAGACGTCGAGCAATTCTATCCGGTGTAGCAACGAGGGATTACAACTACCAAACAATAAAGAAACCTAACTAGTTATTTCAGAAGTTGCTAGAGTGGCCTTTGGAGTCATACCAGAAATGTATTTCTCTTATCCTACACCATGTATTCCAAAGGAGTTTGTTCAACCACTGAGTGGTTTTTGAAGATTTACTTCGGTGTCAACACTCAACATCACTCGCCTTCCTTTTCATTACTTTAGTCACCCTATATTTTTCCTCCGTATTGTATTCTTTGAAACTTTGCTTTCACCTTTTTGAATTGCAATCATCTACCAACATTAAATCGTTAATACCTTATAATCACTAGCATACTTTTAGTTTATTAAGACTTCATTTTGTTTATTATACTATCTGGTACTATTGAGGTGGTTTGGTAGGTTCATCCGTAATTAAATAACCACTAAATTTTCAACAAAACTTAAGTCAGTACGATTCGAACAGGTAAGCCGTTGATGAGACTTCTTGTCACCACACAATTCTTATCGTCTGAAAAATTAATAAAACGTTAATTTGAATCCCTCTAGGCCAACTTTTATTGAAGTATTTTGTTTTTCAACCACAAATGAAAACTGATAATATTATTTCAATTGTTGACGCAAAACGCTCCTCTCCCCAACTGCTACATAACTAATTCTGATTAGAAAGAGTTTAATTAGAAGCCTAAATGTTTCATCCACGCAGTTAACGCTTTTCTGAAACTAAATTGTATTTGACAGTGAGCTCGTGAGCTCAGAAATGACATTATGTTGAAAATTAACTGAATAATAAGTACTTACCGTCTGAATTATATAGTTGTGTCTTCCATCCACCTTAATAAAAAGAATTAGGAAATACGAATACTATTAATGGAATGAAGTTACTTGAAATAAAATTCTGTGCAGGTAATAATAAGTCTATTGTGTCACTATTTTAACTCGGTTTTTACTGAGACTAAAATGTTGTGGAAAAACTGGGGTCATTAAAGTTTAAACAGCTGTTTTCTCTTAGCGTGAGACCGCTTCTGAAATAAAGACTTCTTCTTTAAGAGAATATTAGGGATAAAGCAACTATTTGCTGATGAAAAGTAATTTTGAAATACTTTACTGATTTTAATCCTGACGTCTCTCAAAGAAAAAGTTCATTTAACAGTATCGTTGGTAGTATTGAATAAAGAATATGATTACTCAAGATGAATTAGAAGTCCTATTCTTCAACATTTGATTGATTTCAACCATTCAACCTACCTGAACAGTGATTTTAAGTTTCTCTATCGAATTCGCTCATACATTTTGTATTTTCTCCGTCTTCAACTTCTAAAGTCAGCAGATGCCTTGGCTACCCGTGATCTGAAACCTGACCTTTGTGTGCAAAAATGTACGCAGTCTTTGTCTCTCTCTACCTTTGTCTTAACTTGGTCCTAGTTTATTCCATTTTTTTTTCAACCCCCCTCCCTTTGTTAGACTAATCTTTACACTCTTATTTCGCCATTATCATTCATTTTATCCTTACATTTAATAGGTTTCGGTGTTACTAATTTATTCTTTTCAATCATTGCAACTTTTAGCAAAGCATTTTCAGCTTATCGCAATTAGCTTGTCTCATTCATATTCAAAAAAAGACATTCCCCGAAGAGGATTCTTCCCAACGAATTATTTTCAAGCTGTACATTTGTGTATACATTTATACTACCTAGTCCTTTAAGTGAGTATTAACTCCACCATATTTTACCCCTTTGTAATCCATACGCACCTTGCTATCATTCAATCTTCACATCGTCAACTAGCAACATTACTATTATTATAATCACCATTACTCTTACTTCAGTCTACCACTATTTAATTTTAATCTTCCCCAGGGGATTGCAGATCACTACCGAAATCCAGTGAATGTTTTAAAACTTCACGAGTTCTTTTAAGTTTTTCCAATTACATCAAGACCCAATATTACCCTGACTTATCCAGTGACTTGACACCTATTCATCTGAGATCGAAAAAAAACTGTTTAAAACACGTAATTCTTTATGTCAGACATAGTAGATCATACTCCAATCCAGCTATTTGAATTTAATATGTAAATTTTTCAAGCGAAAGATAACATTTTAGTTCTTGTCTCAAAACATCTTTCTGTGTGCACTTAGACATCTCTTACGATCGAAGTATGTGTCATTTGAGCCTCGTGCTATTGTCTTTTCCGTTGTTTATCCACTTAGTTGAAATCAAATGCTTCAATTTTTGCGACCAAAACATCACATTTCTGTCAGTGTTATTAAGGAGAACACTTTTATGAAATAAAAGCTTCTAAAGAAATACAACTAATCAACTTACAGTTACTCGACGTTCTTCTATCAACTGTTTTAGCCTTTTGGTTTTCTGTCGGTTGGCTTCAACTTGACTAATTAAATTACTTCTAATTACTTTTGAATCCTAAGCAATACGGAAGAAACACTTTTGTGCAAGACTGGGGAATAATGAAAGTTTGTAACTTTAAGTTTGTGTCCTGGATGTATTATCAAGTTAAGGGGGTATCTTCAAAATCATCTTTTTGAACTCATGTCAGAAACGACTTAGTATGTTGTATTCATCTTGGTGACTAGCAGTGGAATCCACAAAGTGAGTTTCGTTCTATTTAAAAACTCGTCAGCTGGATGTACCGGGACCCCGGTGAGTGATGCTGTTCCTACTGATACCAGTTACACAAATGGTGGCTATCGTGCCCCAGTGGCCCAGTGGACAACGTTTTAGCGTTTGAAGCGATGGGTAGTGGGTTCGGGTCTCACTGAGAACAATATCACCCACTGCGGTGAGGATACCTGCAGCTGACGAGTCCTAAATAGGACGAAACGCCTGCCCTAGACTCCTTTGCTAGTCATCAAGATGAATACAGCATCAAGAGTAGCCGGAAACAGAGTTTTTTAGTCTGTGACATTCAAAGCCATACCGTTTAGGACTACAACCAAAGACATTGCCATGAAGACATTCAGATCACAGTAGATACAAAATTCTCTAGCAAGATAAAGACAGACCAAACAAGATGGCTATATTTCCGCTCAGGTTTTAATGCCATAAGTGCTAACATTGGTTTTGTTTGGATTCGACCCTAAACAATTAGGATTTGGTAATATTTGTTTCAAATGACTCATATTGATTAGTAGTGTTCTATATACATTACATTTGTAAGTCCTGTGGCCTGTAGTCCTATAGTCTATCATGGTTAAACAGGAAAATAACAACTTAGGTTTCGTTATTTTATGAAAATGACTAAATTTCTAACCGATATAAATAATTTAGTTTGGAGATTTGTAAGACATGATTCAAGGTAGTATTCAGTGCGGGTAATGTCATTTGAAGAACCATTGAAAACCCGAGAGCACTGAGTAGAGGTTACACCTTCATGTGGGACTCCTCAGTAACGCGAATCCAAGACCCTATCAGAGATCCAACCCAGATAAGTGTGCCCTGTTCAGAAATTTCATACTAAGACGAAACAACCATACTATGCTCCCAGATTTTCAATGGTTCACTGACTGATATCATTCAGTGATGAATACTACCTTAGAACGAACATAAATAAACCTAATCGGGTGTTTCAGCGGTTGCTACGGTGAACTTTGAAGTCACTTGTGATCAGTCGAATAATTAAACGAATGCCTATTTTATTGTCAGACAGTACTTTCCCTCGAACTGGACTATGCATTAAAACATGCTAAAACACATGTGCATTTTCGCTCAGTTGACAAGCTGTATACTCATTTGAGGAGTACCTTTAAAGACCACCTTAGCCAGACGAAATGAAACATCCTGGTTGGTTATGGCAGCAATTGCTAAGTGGCTTTTTTCACAATATATAGAATGCCAATAAATACCAACTTCAAAGTAATCATTCCCCACAAACTTTCAAAAAGAGTGCTAACTGGATATTTCAAGAGTTGCTAGTGTGACCTTAATAGTCGCTTAATTGATGCGATAAAACAAAAGAAAAAATTATGTTTCTCATCAAACTATCCATGTGATCAACTGATTTCATTTCAATCTAAGTAGATAGGCAGTATGCAGTGACTGGCTTTATTGTCGATTGTTTAAGATGAGACTGTCTGGCAGACTGCTTTTTTATACTTTAGTACTGAAACCTAAATATTTACTAAGCTAAAACTGAACCTAGATCGTTTAGACTGCATGTATTACGTTTCACCAGTAGTACTAGAAGCTAAATGTTAACCCCTTTAATTTAGACAGTAGTGTGAAGAGAAACTAGGTAGTTGAGGATAATGCCTATGGTTCGATCTGAGGATACCAGATTAGTAACTTATGACCAACATATTTGAATATGAGCTGCGTTGTTGTTCAACTTCTTTTTTCAATATTACAGAAGCTAAATTTTCTTTCCTAAATGATAAGCGTTTTCAACATGTTAGTTGACAGTTTTATAAGGCAGTAAAGTCTACGTTAAGCACTATTAATTAATTGATCATTTTTGTGCGGATATAAATGCTAGCAGAAAGTAAGAGAACTTACATTGTCTTTCTCAGTTGCATTTGGTTGGTCTGAAATGCAGATAAGTGCAGCAATATTGGAAGTGTAGACAAATCGCGATGAAATTACATTGATATATCCAACAAATAGCAAGTATTGAGGTTTGGTCATAAAAACGTTAGAAATAGAGTAAACCAGCTATTAGATAAAAGGTTTTACCTGATGAACTGAAACTCTCTAAGCAATTTTGATCTGTCTATGTGCAAGCTACTTGTGAAACTTTGAAAGAAATCTTGACTTTAACAAAACCAAACTGTACTCACCGAGTTACTTTGGAATGGGTTATTTAAGAGGATTTATTATCATCTACTGTTTTCACTACTCTTATTGTTATGATTAGTTTAAATGCGACGTACATGAACATATAAGCTGTTACTTGAACAATTATGTTGGTGCCTTCGGTAAAAGATATTTTCGTTAGCATAAAAATAAATTCACAAAATAACGAAAATATCGTACAATCACCAACTTCTAAAGGATTTCTTCATATGTACATGAAAATGAAATACATTTTAACACTACTGAACGCTTTTGCTTTACGTACATCAACTATTAGTAAAATGAGATAGGGTTGAAAAAGATTTCCATCGAAAGTCGTTCAGTGTCACAACATGAAAACAAAGAGAAACTGGGAACACTAAGAGTTATCAAAAGGAGTTGCTTATTTAGTAATTGGTAATCTGCAGTTAATTTTTATTGATTTCAAATTTTGATGTGTTCTGTTACAGTAAAATTTGTATCTTTTTATTATTGAAAGAATAAGAACATCTTAAGAGCAAAACCCTCCCTAATCCTTTTAATTTCATGCTCCTATAGTGCTTAGTTAACATTTTACTAGGGATTTATATAAATCCCTCAGTGGAACAAATGCAAATTAATTTCAACCGAACTACATAGGCTAATAAAAAACTTTCAATGATGTCTAAATTTAACCTGAATACAGATATGAGTTAATATCAATGATTGTAGTGATATATATATGTACTTCAACGAGAAAAATTTATGGTGTATTTTACCAACCTGATGAAATCAAAGGTGGAGCGATTTCTGTTTGATTGTTGGAAGACATATTGTTATTTTCGTCTTATAACTCTGGGCCCCAATATCGTCAATGGTAAAATACTATAAAATAAAAAAAAACACCTAAGGATGAAGTGCCTTAATGACATTTTATTTCATATAGTCTGATACATACATGCTGAAGTTAAATCAGAAGATGTTATTCATTCTTTGCAATCTGACGGATAAATTAACATGTAGATGAATTCCGTCAGAAGTTGACGCTGTAATCGATGAGTCACTGAAGATGTACTTAACATGTTATCAGAACTTGGGATTTGTGACAACGCGTTTACTACTCACTGGTATGGTAGCAGCTTGTGACTGAATCGGCATAAAGACCTGAGATTACATCATAAAAAACAACAGAAGAGTGTATTCTAGTGAAAGCTTTTTAATCTTGCAGAAAATGAGATAAGCTGCTTCCTGACTTCCTATAGTTATTAAAGCAGTATAATTTTTACAGTGAAAATCCCCCACTGATTTCAAGTGGTCCGACTAGTTTCTTGGTCACATACTGTAGCTTTATGATCAAAAACTGATCCATTAATAATGTTGTATACATGAGTAGTGGAAGCCGGTCTACTGAATCTAAAAACCGTTGGATAAGAAGCAGGATCCAATATATGGCTTCCTAATCTTCTATATAAACATATCTGATAATCCTAATCATAAAAGACTTTTTCTCCTTTGACTGTTTGACAAAGAATCCTAGAAGAGAAAATACTTGTTTATCGATAGCACGTGAAGTGGGTTTGAGATTTTCCAATCAGAGTTTAGACTCACAATATAAATAATCATTAAACTCTGTTTTATTTATGTTGTACCATGCTAATGTATTCGGAAATTATTCAGTGCATATCTTCACTTTTTTCTAGCTGAATAATTTATTACAAACACCCTTTGGCTGTGCTGAGAAAGTAGTCTGGTTTTGTGACACTGAAGTTAGTCTATCCAAAGTACTACTGAATAAAATCAGTAGTTAGGTGTCACACTCAATCATCAATGACAGGATGTACCAGCAGCCATATGTAATGAAATTGATGGCCTACTCGTTAATTAGTTTGTTTCCTCAAGGGATAGACAGGAGAATGCTCACTATCAGGAGAGTTTGAGGTGAAATTTGCAGTTAGCTTCTGTTCTGAAAATGTTTCTTCAATTTTATCCATAGGTTATCTGGCAGTTTTGCAACAAATGAAATGATTTGTGATGTTTAAACAGTTCAGTTTTACCAGGTGCGTTCATCCAAGAAAACTTTTGATAAGTTTGCCTTTAGACTTGGAAACCAACTAATTTTCTTGAAGATTTCTTAGCTTTGATTGGCGAAGTGAAATGGTAAATGCAGGGAATATTTAGGTATTTATATTGTTCACTGGAATGTACTCCAATCACTAAGGGTTTCTCAGACTGTGATTTGCTAGTGAATATCGTTTTTACTTTATGACTGTTTGAATGTTCTTCCGGTTACGAAGTTATTAAATCTCACTGCCAGATTAGTGTTGAATTATGAACTTTGTAATCTTTCCAGAGTTTCTGCAAGGATGTTTAAAATCCGCGCAATTGACATATCATTTTCCAAATGAGGCTTCGTTGTAATGACATTTACTACAGTTTTGGTACAGCACAGTCTCACGTTACTTAGCTTAGTGATTACGTTGCAAATTTGACCAACTAGATTCTATCAGTGCTAACCTTTAAGGACTAGGAAACTACATCCGCTACCCATTGGCAACTTATTTGTACACATTAAAATATCATTCTTTACAAACTGAAGGCTGACAATGGGGCATATGCTACGGTTTTGACTGAACGTACAGTTGTCAGTACCATACGTTGAAAAAGTATTTCGTTACAAACAATGATTTCGTAAAACTTCATAATATCAACGTCCTTTTCATATTTTCAGATGAATGTGACCAGTGACTGTTTCGTTCCTAGAAACCACTCAGGAATGTGTCATTTAACCTCAAGAATTCTCATCAATCTTCAAGAAATACCATCTTTGCCAAAATATGACATAATTTGGGCAAATCAATCTTCAAGACATTTTATCGTATCGATAAAACTAACTATTCTGACTACAGAAAGTTCCCAATTTAATTTTATTACTATTATTAGTCATCCATAAATAAAAAAATTAAGAAATTACTTCTTATTCAGCCAAAGCCCATTTAGTCAGGTTGTAATTAATGCAAGAAGGATTTTATTCACTGTTATGGAAATGACATGAATATGCATGTAAAAGACCGATTTCAATGGAAAGAAAGACAATCTCTGAGAGCTTTCAGTACTAAGTTGTCAGGTTCATTGAGAATCTTTTTCAATGAACTTAATCAGCTGTGTGTTATTAGTTATTACAAAATCTTACTATGTGGAAATATTTACCTTTGTATAAATCATGAAGTTTTTGTTCCTTTGATTTTAATTCTAACTTTTGCCATTCGAGTGAAAATTACTCTGCCTCTTAGATGGTCTGTGGGTTGTAGATAGTGTCTTTAATTCAGTTATAAATGAATTTAAAGTAAAATCATTTTAAAACACCCATTTCTAACTACAATATACATTCAAAGACATTTGATTAATTTATGCTACTGGTTTTCATCATAATAGTGCTTAATACAAATCAAAGCTGTCCAGTGAGTAGAAAAATAAATTTAATCGTCACCGTGCAGTTGCTTGTCTTACTACATGAAAGAATAGAAGAGATTATCAAATAGAACTCTCTCAGTTGGCAATCAGTGTCTGTAATTATTAACGTATGCTTTGTATTGTCGAAGCTAAGAGTGATTTAAAAGATTGGGAGGAGTCTATGCGCCCACTCATACTTGGCAGTAACTCATCAGAAGTAGTGGGAATTTTTGTGTATCTTGACAGTTGTGTGAGAGCTGGTGAAGGTATAAAGAATGAGATTTCCAGTCGTATTTCAAAAGCCGGAGTAAAATGCAGTAATTTACATGGTCCGTTATGATATTTCTACCTTACTTTGACTGCACAGTGATATAGTGCAAGCAACTGTGCTATACAGAGGTGAAATTTTCTTTCTCTGAACTGTGGATGTTCAACAAATCGGAGTACCTAATCAACGTTTCTATCATAAAGCTGCACGAACTCCGTGGGAAAATTATGCGAGCAATTCTGAGATACAGCACAATGTATTTCAGTGTTATTATGCAATGTCATATTCAAAGATTATCTTCACTAGTTTGAAAAGAAACCTCTATACTGCTAATCCCGGTGTTCGTTCAAGAGTTAGGGGAGATAGTCAACTTATGAAGTGGTACCATTAGAAGAAGGATAGTTGTAATGTGTTGGCATAGTTTAGTGTATTTGTACGTTGTTGACGGAATCTACAAGATCATACAACTCAAGGACTTGAAACAGTAAACCATATAGCTTATAAGTAAAACTGAAGGTTGCAATGCTGTAGTTCTTCTGTAGTTCCTGTTACTCAGACAATGAATTAAGGCAGTTAAAGAGTTTTCAGTGCGCCTAACACGACTTCTTTGTTTCCCGTGACCTCGTTCTTCTTCTATACGTTCATAATTCTGTATGATACCTGTATTGCATCAAGTTTCTTTCGACGAAAAATAATAACAATGAATAAACTCTTCAAGATGATAACTATTTTACAACCGACTATGTGTTTTCATCTGCTGATAAATCAAGTGAAAAAAAGCTCTAATAAGATGTGAACTCAAGAGGCTGAAACAACTCTGTCTAAATCTGTGATTGAGGAACGTTTTCTGTTGATAAGTTTCAGTATAAATTAAATCGCCTAATAGTGATCTTTGATCAAAATGCCCTAACATTAGAATTCGTACACAATAAATATCAGCCTAAAAAGGTTTTAAAAGGTAGAGGAGTAGAAGAATACTCAAGTATCATTACAATAGTTTATTCTTACCTTCTCAATTGATTTTTGACAATACACTGTCAACTTTGACTGAATGACGTAATTCAGTGGTTTTTATATTGGTTAAACTACAATAATAGCCATGAAATAATGTTCGTTGTAAGTTCCTATTCTGAACATTGAAAATATTCGATACCCATTATTCATATCAAATACTAACCTTTAGTTAACCTTTTAAATGAACTGTTTCCTCATAGTTCACTGTTCATATTTGAATTTGAGCCAATCGAAAATGAAGTACGGACCAATGAAAGGTAAATTTTGTCTTGTTTTCTATATCTTTCTTACAGCAAATATCATTATTATTGTTATTTATTTCATCAAATTTGTTAAGTTCATATTCCTCTATTTTATCTTCTCTTTAATTCTATTGGTTACTAGGTTCAATATAATTTTCAGTACTAGCAACTGTTGCTAAGAGAAGTACTGTAAACAATTGTGCACAATATTGATTTGCTGAGCTAAGTAAATTCTAGCAACCAATTGAAATGATTCCACATAATAAAATAATCATACAGATATGTATTTTTGAGATGAATGGAGATTTTAATTTAGAAGTAGTATTCATCATGGACTGACATCAGTTGGGGAACCATTGAGAATCTGGGAGCACTGGACAGCTGTTTCGTCTTGATGAATACTCGATGAATACTACTTCTAAATCATACAGATCGCAAAAAATCTGCGTGGATTAATTAATTTAACATTTTATTTTCCAATGCAGTTAAATATTTCATAAAAAGCGCCATATTTTTCTAAGAAGAAAACTATGTTAGAATGATAGCATACTGAAATCTATCGATTAATCTATAGGTATATTGTTGTCATTGACTTACCAGCCACATCGCGACGCGATCGATAGGATGTCACTAGATTTTAGAAGTTGACAGAAACGTGCGTTACCGTCCAGTGACTAATCTATTTTCTGGATATATCAAAGGTAGACTTAACTTGACAGACAGATGTAAGGTAAGTTACGAGTCTACAGATCAGTGGTTGGATATCTGTAAACAGGTTACAGACACTTGTGGAATTTCAGTTTCTGAAAAATGTTATTTCTCTAGTGATAATTTCTGGCGTTTAAGCGACAGTATTCA